CCGAACTTGCCTGCTAGGCTGCGGTATCACTACCGGTTACGGTGCTGCGAGAATCACGGCCAACGTTGAAGAGGGATCCAACATCGCGGTTTTCGGAGCTGGTTGCGTCGGTCTTTCGGTTGTCCAAGGCGCTGTTGCCCAGAAGGCGGGTAAAATTATTGTCGTTGATGTGAACCCAACCAAGGAAGAATGGGCCAAGAAGTTTGGAGCCACCGACTTTGTTAACCCTACCAAGTTGGATGGGCAAACGATTCAAGAAAAGCTCATCGAGATGACCGATGGTGGTTGCGACTACACTTTTGACTGTACCGGTAACGTTGGCGTGATGCGAGCAGCATTAGAAGCTTGCCATAAGGGTTGGGGTCAGAGTATCATCATCGGCGTCGCTGCCGCCGGCCAAGAGATTTCAACTCGACGTAAGTTTCAAACTTTTCTTGCCAGAGGCTTCGCATAAAAATTAACACTATGAACAGCATTCCAGCTAGTCACCGGCCGCGTATGGAAAGGCTGCGCTTTTGGCGGTGTCAAGGGCCGATCTCAACTTCCCGGCCTTGTCAGCGATTATCTAGGAGGCAAGCTAAAGGTGGATGAGTTTATCACTCACCGCGAAGATTTAGACCACATTAACACCGCGTTTGAGACGATGAAGGCGGGCGATTGCATTCGTTGCGTTGTAACCATGAAGGAATAAAAAACGACACCTGAGTCAATATCTTACCTTGCCTGTAGAGCCGACTTGGAATCTTATGAAAATGGGGCTGACGAGTCATGAAAAATAAGTCGCAAAGTGTATCCCTAGCTTTTAGTCTAAGCAATTTATGAATATTGTCCTTTGATAGTGAACACTTTATTCCTTTTTGCTCAACTGACAACGAGGTGTAATTTCTAGCGTATAAAGGCCTCTCACCAGCTACCTTGAAGTTTTGCTAATATGCAAAAAGTCCCTAGCTTCCATGTCAAACGTTATCGCGAGAGCCTCTCCTAGTGAGTCCGTAGTTCAAGGCAATTGTGGCATTACCAAGTAGCCAACCCATGGTCTCTTTCATGAAACGGGCGCTAACATGTAAATGGGCCACGAATATGCCATGCGCTTCTTGTCGACATTGGAAGGTCTCACATAAGAGCAGTACTGTTCCATATGGACACTTCGTTTCGTGGAAATCGTTGGCGGACAACCGATAGCTCACAAATTCGGGAAGAGAATCAAAGAGACGGATACCAAACAAGCTACTAACCTAGTATATACGTATCTCGGATAGGTTTAGATGGATAGGTTTAGATAGGCGGTCTAGATCCTAGAGGCTAGAGTAGGTAAAAGAAGCCATCATGCATGGGATCCAAGCCAAGTCAGGCATTTGATATTCTTGGAGAGCCCCTAGAGTACCAATATGCACATGTGTATACATATGTAAAAGAGACCCCCTGCGCCGTCACCATTCGAGACCCTGCTTGCATCGCAGTGTGGCTCCAATTCTCCGCAAATATCCACCACATGATCGATGGGTTCCCGCAGAAAGCGCCTGAGCTGCAGATATGTAATACTTATTATTATATACGATGGGGAACGAGAGTACATATATAAAAATACGCGGAAACGAATGTATTCAATCGTTAGCTCGATAGGGTTTGTCGATGTGCAGGCGTCTTGGTGGCCAATTGTCTTACACCTTGGCCGGACACGGTTGGGTGATCTAGATCGGCATCATACATATACGGACGTAGTGTACACGAGATATGTAGGAGTCAGTTCAGTTCAGTCAGTCAGTCAGCATAATACATATCTTACCTTAGGTAGGTAGGTAGATACATAGTCATTTCGACGTCTGTATGGCGCGGAACACTTTAGGATGATTACTATTAGTCTCACCACAGACGATAACGGTAGTCCGTAGTACGAAATCTAGCCTCGCGTGTTCGTATTTAGCTAGTAACATAAAGGTTAGATCCGGAGGCGGTTATCAGTATCCCAGCCTCACCCTTCTAATACGAGTGAATGACTGACTGACTGACTGACTGACTGATTATATGTATGTACGTACGAGTCGATAGAGTTCATTAACCAACGCCAGCGCCAACGTCGTTCGCGCTCCACTATGTAGGCGAGTCGTTGTCAACATTTCAGCTTTTCGGGGTGTGTTCCCGCGAGCAATCCGTCTGGCCAGGTTTCAGTTGCCAAGTTGATCAAGCGGCATTGCATGTTCCACTCTGACACGACAACAACGACAACGACAACGACAGCGACAGCGACAACGAACAAACCCGACCACCCCCGTGCTGGGTGAGGCATAACAGAATTAAAGCGAGCAAAATAAAATTTGTAGAATGGACGGACATGTGGCAGTCTGAGAGGCGAGGCCTCGGGAAACAAGCCCGGCGAATGGAAACTGGTCGCTTTAACAGGTAGGTACCTAGTAAGCATTGCGGTGGAAGGGATGCATATTTATCTATTTGCTCGTCTGATCACGTAGATGAAGAAGGTCTCAGTTAGCGACGCACGTTCTATCTTCCCTGCCATGTATGTCATGTATAGTATGTGGTATATAGCATGTGGTATATAGCATGTGGTATATAGCATGTGGTATGTATGCAGTATGTAGTATGTAGTATGTAGTATGTAGACGCAGAGGTAGGTCCGGAGGCGGCGTGGTACGCTAGATACAAAGTTGCCCGATATCCGGCGGGTTTCTCGGTGGGTTGTATCGCCCGTATGGCGTGAGATACATACATATAGGGAATCCGGCAGGGCTTGTTTTTTCTTTTTCTTTTTCGTATAACTATACCTATCTCTATCTATTTGTCCTCCCGTGGCTTTTGGGTCAGGCAACTTATTAATAAGAATTCAATATCGATCATGGCCCAACGTGTGTCCATCAGAGTTTCGAACTTATTAACTTCAATATTAGTTGGAAAGGGGTTAGGTAGGTACCTACATAGTTACCTACATACCTAATCATCACCACTTATGTATGTAGGAGTTGTCGTGGTCTGTCTTTTTTTTTACGCCGAAATCCCGAATTAAGGTACTTTGATGACTTGTCTGTGTAATCCGTAATCAAGATGGGGATGTAATCCGTATGCTTTCTCCATCTCCATCCAAAATGGGCCCACCCGGTCCTTGTCGTCTCCTTGTCCTTGTCCCGTAATCATCCCCCTCCTCCCCTGCCCCCGGTATTTCGCTGATACGTGCATCCCTACGGCATATCCCACTTACATAGGTAGTATAGGTAGTATGTATGTAGACTGCTTAGACTGCTTAGACTGCTAGACTGTTAGATTTTATACCTAATCGGCTTGCCTCCCGTTTTCGGAGCCTTACACGGAATAGTCGTCATCAGAATTGATACCTGCAGACTTGCCCGCTAGTGACTGGAGTCCCTTGAGTCCCTTGAGTCCCCGGAGTCCCTGGAGTCCCTGGTTCGTTGGCTTATGACTAGGCAAACTGACGATCACAAATCCAACAAGGAACCCGTTCGCCTCATCCTTTTCGTCTTTCCACCTCACTAGCCCATTCCAAACGGTTCCATTCTCGCCGCCACAAGTAAGGAGTCACTCACTCTGTCAGAAGTATCCTCTTCCCTTGTTGCTGTTGCTGTCATCAACTTCGTCTTCTTCTCTCCTACATTTACATTCACTTCTATCTTAACCTAATCACTCGGAAAATACCAACAGGGCACCTCCTTTGATAGGCGCCAAGCTTTACGATCTGAGCCTGACTTTGTATGTAAGTGACCCATACGGCCCGAGGTTCATTCACCTGCAATACACACATTACACATAATACACGCAACACACACACAATACGTACACACTACCTAGGTAACTACGCACTCGTGTACGGATTACACGCGAACCTATCCAATTCAGCCTCTATTTAGTGTATTATTCCTCCTTTTCGCCTGGTCAAGGCGTCTTCTCCACCACATTTGCCATCATCCGAGTTCTTTTAAGTTTATTTAAAGGGGATCGTCTTTCTGACATTCGACCATTAGCACGCTCTCGAGCCATTCTCCCTTGGTCCTCATTCCACCTATTCCCAACTCGGCAACCCGCTGATCAGTAATACCCAAACAACAAAGACGAGGAAATAAACAACCTTATCTTTTTCCGTCCCGTGCCGGTTATAGACAAGCAGTCATCCTCATCACCCCCAAACATCGTCGACCACAAAACAACCAGAACAAGGAATCACCATTACCACTACCACCACCACCACCACCAACACATCACCATCATCATCAACAATATGGCGCCCCAGAAGCCCCGCTGCAACTTCAAGGAATGCAGGTCCGCCGCCCAGCGAATCGTCGGCGACTGCGGTTTCTGCGACGGCCACTTCTGCGCGAAGCACCGGTTACTAGAGGATCACAAGTGCAGCGGATTAGAAGACGTAAGCATGAGCCCAACCCCCTCGGAATCCGGCGACAGCGACGACTGGGCCACAGAGTGGTGGCTGGTCGGGCTGGCCGAGTATCTCGGCGACTCTGGTCTTCTCGAGGAGGAGGAAAAGGAGGAGGAATGCGGTGGTTCATGTCCCCCTTCAGGTTCACGTGTGCTAACTCTAGACGCCAAATGCAGTGCAAGAAAGAATCGCACGAGCGAAACGCGGCCCAGCTCGAGGCCGAGCGGACGCAAGTCATCCGGGGCGTATAAGGACCGGTCCGCCCCTCGATCGTCTCGCGTGACAGCTAGACGACGCCGCCGCTGCTGTCGTTCCCCGCCGGGAGTCCGACCGCGAGCCCGCGCCCCCCCATCTTCGCTTCACCCAACCCCCCCGTCTCCCTACCACGACACCCGTTAGCCGCACGCGATAAGAAGCGGCCTACGATTCGGTTTGGTCGGCATCTATTTTACTACTCTTCTACGAGCATGGCGTCCGGGCATTGGCTTAGGGCAGTTTGTATTTTTCAGTTTAGGCCTGCGACGGCGCAGGCGGAAACAAGTTGGACTCCTCGAGTTCTATTTTCGAGTTTTCCAGAAGGAGTCGGCTTGCATGAATTCACGAGTCTCCTACGACGGAGCCTATTCTCAGTTTTCAGCGAATATTGTACATACATACATACATGATTAAGCAATTATGAGACTTTCTCCTATTTGGAGTTAAGACCTCCCTGACGAACATTTGATTTCCACCTATTAATTTCATTTTCCCTGAATGCCTCGTGATATCCCACACCGTGATCGACCCATACAATAACTCCACGTGCTATGCTTTATTTGATCTCCGTTGCCGTTTTGGTATAGCGTTTCTTTGTTTCGGACCGGGCTCCGGGCTACCTTCGGACTGTTCTGCGGGCCTTCCTTCCTTCTCTTCATCTTTTACAGCCTCGTTTACAATGCTATCCTTTTCAAGTACTTCTTCCTCTTTTACCTCTTCAATTTTTACCACCGATCCATCATCTTCAAGCTTCTTAACTTGAGTACTTTCTCGTATCTTCCTCCCTTCAAGGACCTTTTTCCTCTCGGCGGCTTTACACAGGCCGCGTAGACCCAAGTCGCAGTCGCCGCACCGCCTCCCAACAGGCAGACAAACAGCCTGTCCAAACCCGACGAGTAACCAGTTTATTTCACGCCAGCGATCGCGCGGTAGCCAACTCTGTAGCGCAAGTCGCGTTTCCTCGGGGTTCTTAGTTGTATGCCACCCCCACATGTTTGTAATACGATGCACATGAACGTCGACGCCGATTCCCTCGGTACGATCCCATGCCGCTGACAGGCAGAGATATCCCATCTTGGGGCCGACGCCCGGTAGCGCAACCAAGCCCTCAATCGTATTTGGGATATCGCCACCCCACTGATCGCGTAGGATCGGCGCGGCCTGTTTTATATACTTGGTCTTGTTATTGTGGAAGCCGACAGCCCAGATCAACTTATTGATCAGATCCGGGTCTGCTGCAAGTACATTCTCGAGATTAAGGCCCGGAGGAGCACCGGGAGCATGCGGGGGAAGCTCGGTCTGCAGTCGCTTCATGGCGACAGCGTTGGTTGTATCCTTAGTCTGCGATGACAGCATAAGCGCGATTAAGGTCTGGAAACGCTGGTCGCGTGGGCTAAGTGTAGTATCCGCGAGCCGCTCACAGCCCATCGTATCGACGGCCGCATTGGCCGCTACGCCGCCTGGGGACCGCATCACCTTGACAGCATCGTATATTTCTTCCCAATCTGAGGGCGCGCTGACTGTTGTCTCTCCTGTATCCGCGTTGACGGCCTTTCGGGCTGGCTTCCGCTGACGTCTGCTTGTTGGGGGTGCTGTCACCTTTGTCCCGATCTCTTCTTCCTTCTTGATGGTGCGTCGCAGCGAAGTCGACGATGCTTCGAGGAGAGTAGTGGTCCGCTTTCGCTTCCGGATAGCCGCTGCATTCGGGACTATATCTTCGATATCCGCAGGGGCAGGAGTCGAGTTCTCCTTGCTACCGGGGCCATCGTCGCCATACCTAAAGCGCGCGAGTGAGGATCTCGTAATCCGTCGCGGTGACGATACTACCGGCCGAGGAGGCATTGAATTGGAAATATAGGGGAAGTATTTTGATACACTCGATAGATTCCCATGCCGTTAGATGCTAGCCTTGTGCTTTGAGCGAGGACTACAGTGTACTGCAGCCTTCAGTCTATGTATTGGGTGGGTCTTGAAATGCTGCGTAATTGCATTCAAAATATTGATGCATCAGGATGTTGCAGTTCCGGTGTTGTAGTTCCTGCAAGAAGTTTGGTGCCTAGCTCTGTCGGCTCGCAGGCTGGTCCCTGCATTTCAGCTTAATACTAACTCATATTAGGCAAGGTTTGGACCCATATGTATTAAGTATGTAAGCTTGATATCCTAGTGCCCCGCTGCCCCTCTATTGCGTAATAGCGATTACTTCGTTTCATTAATAAGTCATCAAGACTTTTTTATGATCGTGAAAATTGAAATTTAATTATGGGTATACTCTGATATACTCTACGTTGCTTGACACTTGCAAACAGGCATCCTCACTCATTTCTTACAACAAGTGAGTCAGTTCCATCACTCAACTATTCATTGGCATTATGGCAACTTTCTTAGCCCGAAGCGCACTCCGCGCTGTTTCGCAAACCCCACGTCTAGCTTTTCCCAAAGCTACGACATCTCCAGTCGCCTTGAAATCCTGGGCTCAACAACCAGTCTCATGCCGTTTCTTGGCCTCATCGACTAAACCGTCGGAGCAGCCTCGTCTACGGCTCGGTAGCGAGGCACCCAACTTCCAAGCCAAGACAACACATGGAGAGATTGATTTTCACCAATGGCTTGGCGGTTCTTGGGCCATATTATTTTCACATCCAGCCGATTTCACACCAGTATGTACAACTGAGCTCGGCGCCTTCGCCCGGCTCGCCCCCGAGTTTGAACGCCGCGGTGTTAAAATGATCGGTCTAAGCGCCAACGACTTGTCGTCGCACAAGCGCTGGATCGCCGACATCAATGAGTTGTCCTCTACAAACCTTCAGTTTCCTATTATCGCCGATGCCGACCGCCGCGTCGCATTCCTGTACGATATGGTAGACGCTCAGGACTTAAGCAATATCGATGAGAAGGGCATCGCCTTCACGATTCGCTCCGTGTTTGTCATTGACCCTCAAAAGAAAATTAGACTTACTATGATGTACCCTGCTAGCACGGGTCGTAACACCACCGAAGTCCTGCGCGTCATTGACTCGCTACAAACTGGCGACAACATGGGTGTCACGACACCTGTTGACTGGCAGCTAGAGGACGACGTCATCGTACCACCTAGTGTGAGCACCGAAGATGCCAAGAAGAAATTTGGTACTGTGAGGGAGGTCAAGCCGTATTTGAGGTACACTAAGATCTGAGTAGGGGGAAGATTAGCACATTTAGTGTCTCGTTCGGTCGGTGTTCACAGTATTATCACACCTACCACTCAAAGCAATTCGATGGAAAGAATTGTAGACGCAAGACATATAAACCTTCTATGGTATACTTTGAAGGCTCGTCTCTGAAAACCTAGTTGCTTGGTAATTTGTGTCTCGGCATACTCTAACGGAGGCATTGAGAACACACCGAAACAATAATTAAGTCTTGATTAGCTGAAGGGCTAAGTTGAGAATTCTATATAGGTAGTTAATATATTTATAATAATAAAAATCAACGTAACTTATGTATATCCGCCCCAAAGCCTATTCTAACACAATATACACTCACAACTCCACTCTCCTCTATTGAACGCCTTATGTTGGTATAATCTAGCAGGTTAGGTACTCGAACAAATCATGAGCTACGAATTAGATCAGGAACTCCCCACTAAGCCAGTGTCGAAATACAACAAGACCTTCCTTGAATCGAGGTGTGTCGGATCGGACGACAATAGCGGCATGACTATGTTGGTCTTCATGAATCCAGACGGGATATTTGCGCCAGCCAACCTTGTCTAGCTCATCTATCATCAGAAACTGAGAAGGTGCTAGAGCTAAAGTTGGGAACTGCGGGTGTGATTTCTTCCGTTCTAAGGCTATGATCTCTGTCTCGGCCTTATTCAGTTGACCATCGTCGCGTTCGTCGTCCGATGCTCGTAGGTACGACTCCCCTTGCAAGTTGTTAAGGCTTTCATAGACATCTTCTACGGTACCACGGAGATCCTTAATCCAAATTGGACTTCGGTAGTCCTTAACCTGAATGCCTGCGAGCCCCGATTCATGTAATCGAATGCGCTTCGAGCTACGGAATGTTTGTACGATCGAGTTGACTATTAACGCGACAATGCCAACTGGGAGAAAGACAACTACCGCGGTTATGAACAACACCCTCCGTAGATTCCCTGAGCTACCCGTGGTGATATCGGCCATCGCTTTACCGGCACTCTTAGAAACTAGAGGCGCGACCGGGTTTAGAGGGTCTAGAATAATATCTTCGTAGCCCTTAACAAAATTGGCCTTGACTTTACTCAGGTCCGTAAAAGGGTCTGTCTTGGCTATGGATGTAGTATAAAATGTTGCGCTCCTGTCGTTAACCACATTCGCATAGAGCGTTCGACGTTTAAATCTCTTTAATCCTGTTATGAAGATCGATTCGGGATCGGCAAGCACCTCGAGCAATGGTCGGCCGGTGTCACGGAAGTCGTCAATTATGAACAATTGCCTTCCAGACATACACAACATACGTGCGCCCAGGACGTTCCAAACGTGGTTAAGCCACCCCTTTAGAGGAGATCGGACACCAAGATGCGGCGAGGCGAATGTTACAAAGTTCTAGATGCCATAAGTAAGCAAAAGCGAGATTCTAACGCGACTAGGAATATCGTGCGTACCACCGGCTCAACCTGACGAAACACATCTCTCATCTCGAGTAATCCAACGGCATAGCGAGCAACGAGGCCGCCCAATGAATATCCAACAATGCTGAGCTTTGTTATCTTGCCGCCTTTGCTCTTAATCTTTTCCAGCTCTTCTTCAATCTCGAGGCATACGCGCTCGCCCCCGAGTTCGATGCCATCGTACGTGAAGCTACCAGCATTTCGTTCGGCGACTAGAATGTAGAGTTCTTCTTCGGGATAGGCGTCTCTCAGCGCTTTCGCGACCGATCTCATATGGTTCGGGTTGCCCCAGAGCTAAAAGGTTAGTACAATTGTCAGTAATGACGTGCATATACAAATGCACTTATCGTATTATTGTATTGTACTACATATGTAGTACACAAGGGATGGTGGCAGGGGTTCGATGATACCGACATACTCCATGAACAAGCACGCAGAGGTGATCTGCTTCTAAACTACCGCCGGTATATTCCATAATAAATGTATTTGTATTGTCTGAATATTTGGTTTGTGAAGCAATAGTGGACAAGTTCTCAATTTTAAAGATCTAGGTTAGTTAGTTGTAAAGTAGTTAACAAGTAATTAAATCAGGAATCGCCTTCAGTAAGATGAGATTGTCCGCGTGTCCTAAAATAGTATCTAGCCATCGGTGGTCCTTGTATTCCGACTGCTAGGTAATCCGTCTCACCCGGACAATATTATGTACCTATGTACGAAGTACATAAGATAGTGGAATCACGCAGGGCTTAGTGCTGGAATGTGTTGCTGTAGGATGACAGTTAGGTTTCCCAGGCTGACGTAAGGACTTCATTATGTACGACTGATAAGGTACCTTGCATAGAGGTGCACAGTAAGCTCCTAGCTTAGAATTGGGAAATAATTTCTAACTTTTTGGGAATTATGGGACAACAAAGTCGGAATGGGACTGGTAAGTTGTTATAGATACCTACCTAATCCATTTATTTTGACGCCAAACTTTCATATACATAGAGAAGATAGAAACAATTGTCTTTTCTAACAGATTTTCGAGACGATAAAGCAACCTGCGATATTCCGTATTACATAATGTATTTATGAAGGTCTTCATTAAGGTCACAAACAAAGTTTGATTAGCACCAGTCGACCTTGCAACCTTATACATATAGTACAACCTTAGAACTTTACATAATATGCCCCGGTTTTCCCCAAAGGCAACAACCTACGTTTTACTTTGTATTCCGCTATTCTGCACTGACTTGAATGTTCAAGTTCCAACTCTGATGAGAATCCGAAATACATCATTAGGTAGCATTCTGCCTTCTAAATACGTAGAACCAAGAAATTCAGGACCGGTCATCCTAAATATCTCATTGTTAACGACGGAGATATTCATCTTCTAACCTACTACACGCGTATTGGGTCTTGTTCCCCGGGGAGTTTCTCGCGTTTAACGCATCGATTATTTCGAGACTCGGATTGAACAGCTGCAAGTGACAGCCCACAGGTGTTGATTCCCCGTCTCAACCATATCAGGAACCACCACCTTGTTTTCATCCTTGACTCATCGACTTTATTGTCCCATCTCATCATCTCACCATCTCACCATCTTGTCCTTTGACCTGTTTATCCGCCACCTCGTCGTGTAGAATCCTGACGTGTTTTCATAATGGCTGGCTCTCTCGCGGCGCTTAAGAACTTACCTTGCCCGGCAGGGGATGATTGTAATGCTTTTCAGTGCCTTTTTAAGCATACCAAAGATGCTAATATAGCTGCCACTGTCAAAAGCTCTGAGCAGTCACCCGCCCATGCAACCGCTACGCCATCTTCAGATCAAGCCTTGCCGAGAAAAAGAATTAAATTGGACTCAACATCGTCCTCATCGTCACATCTAGAACCAAAAGAGCGGCCACCTACAGCATCCGGGAAACCTGCGTCAGCACAGTCTCAGATTAAGAAACCTCAAGGGGCCATGTCTCTTCAAACCGAACCGGCAGTTGGTAAAATGCCCAAACCTCTACTTACTACAGACCGGAAGCGCCATATATCAGCCGGAGAAGCTAGCCAGGTCGATAGTAGACAAGATGAAAGCTTGGTTGGTAGCTATTCTTCTAAAGCTCAAGGATTAAAGAGTTCATCAAACTCCACACGCGCGCACAACACCCTAACACCTTCCCCTGCGGGGCAATCATCTAAGCCAGTACCTAAAGCAACCACTAAGAAACCAGAAGCACTAAATCCCCGTCTCCTCAAGTCATCACCAGCTAAGCACGACACCCGCTTGAAACTCGTCAAGGCTCTACATGAACAATACGTCCGCTTGAACACTGAGTTGAAGAAGGATGCCGATAAAGGAGCATCTAAGCTGGTTCTTTCCGACCAGGAACTAATCGTGAAGACGCTTGATGACGAGCAAGAGATGGCAATCAAGCGATTCCAGATATATGCCAATGCCATAAGGAACAAAATTATGGCCTATAAGCGCATGACTGTTGTCCAATGGAAGGAGGAAAGGATGTCAGCTACTAAAGATGATAACGTACAGAACGAAGGAAATGCACCAGCTGCGCCTGAACCCATCATTACTGGGTTAACGCCGACTCAGGAGGTTGATTTCTTGCATAGATTGGTCTGGCCTCTGGATGGTCTCGAGAAGTATGGGTATGTGGCTTCCATCCCGTCAGCCGAGGACATCGAAAAAGCCAAAGAGAGCGTTGAGGCTTCCGGTAACGTGGAGGTGTGCGACAGGTGCACACGACGGTTTCAGGTCTTTCCTGGTCGTAGGGGAGAAGATGGAGCCTTGACATCTAATGGTTCTTGCACATATCATCCGGGCAAGATTTATCATACGGAGCGAGGAGCTGGCAAGTTGGCGAAAAGCCAGAAGAAATATCGTTGCTGCCACCAAAATGTCGATGATGACTCGGGAGGATGTACTACAGCCCCTACTCACGTCTTCAAGACAACAAATCCTAACCGGCTTGCGAGTCTGCTCAACTTTGCTGAGACCCCCCCTAATCCGAATATCCCTGCGGATAGAGCCGTGTGCTTCGACTGCGAGATGGGTTATACCGTTTATGGGCTTGAGCTCATCCGACTGACGGCAGTGTCTTGGCCTAGCTACGAGCTGTTGCTAGATATCCTTGTTCAACCATTCGGGGAAGTTTTGGATTTGAATACTCGTTATTCTGGTGTGACTCCAGAGGATATGGTTTCTGCCGAACGATGGTCTCCAGGAGACGACCATAAACCAAATTCCACTACGTCTGAGCACAAGCCAAAACTTAAACTCGTGCCATCCCCTAAGGCGGCACGAGACCTCCTATTTTCGCTTATCTCTCCGTCGACCCCTCTTATAGGACATGGTCTTGAGAACGATTTGAATGCCTCCCGAATTATCCATCATACCTGTGTTGACTCAGTCCTGCTATTTCCACATAGGCGAGGCTTACCACATAGAAACGGCCTTAGGATGTTGATGGAAACACTATTAAACCAGAAGATCCAGAAGGAAGCGGACGAGACTACACCAGAGGGACACGACAGCGCAGAGGATGCCAGAGCTGCGGGCGAGCTGGCCAGACTGAAGGTGCGGGATGAGTGGAAGGATCTTAGAATGAAGGGTTGGTCTCTACAAGACGGAGAGATCATTCCGCCGGATGAAGCATGGACAGTAGTAGGAGCAAAGAAGTAAGGCATCCAACGGAGGAATTAGCCCGTTGTTCTACGTACGATTGTTAAAGGTTGCTTGATTAGGTACCTACCTATACTGCGCGGCGCTGGTAGTTTCGTTTAGCTAGTGTTATTTTCTTAGAGCGTATTCCGTTGCGTTAATGGATTCGTCTAGATGGGACAAGGAATGCAGACATGAATAAATATCTAATCAACAAGGAACTCCTGACTTTTACTAGTTGTGACACATGATTCGTACCCCGAAGTGGAGAATCGGGCAGTTCATTGCTAATATACACATAGCCCCATTTTTGGATATCTTCTCCTAGCCGTCTTACGCCTTGCCCATCGAAAGTAAGAATTGCCCGTTGCTGCCCCCTTGCTTGTTGCTGCCGGGCAGATACGAAACATTTGGATTCGAAGCCAGGGTCTGAGCGATCTCACGGCTGGCCTCGATCTTACGGATCTGGATGAGGCCGTCGCCGGACTTGGCGATGGCCCTGGAGATGGTCTCGGCACTCTCAGCCTCTCCTTCGGCGCGGATGACGTTGGCCTGGCGCTCCTGCTCGGCCTTCTCGACGATGAAGCGGGCGCGCTCGGCGTCCTGCTGGGCGATCTGCTTCTGCTCGACGGCCTTGGTGAATTCCTTGCCGAAGGTCATGTGGGTGATGGACACGTCCTCGAGCGCGATGTTGAACTCGGAGGCGCGCTTCATCAGGTCCGTCCGGATGCGCTGCGATACGGCCTCGCGCTGCGTGATCAGCTCTGCGGCGTCGAATTGTGCGACGATGGACTTGAGGACTTCGTTGCCGATGGAGGGGAGCACACGCTCGTCGTAGTCGGTGCCGAGGTTCTGGGGAGTGGGGTTAGCTTTGGCTGCTGCTTCTACAATTCCTTCTGCGCTGTGTCCGTCTTTCGCAGGAGCTTGGGTAGAGAAGAACGCACTTGGTAGATCTTGGGCAAGGACTTGACATCGGGGCGATGCAACACCCTCAGCGTTAAGCTGACCATCTGCAGATCCTTGCTTCCGGTCGTAGTAGCGATGTTCCTAGGCTTGGTGCGGACGTCGAAGATGATGCTGCGCTGCAGCCATGGTACCAGGAAGTGGGTGCCCTCGTTGATGACGGTCTCTTTGACTCCCTGTATCCTGTCGAATATGACGGCCCTCGAGCCGCCGCGGACGTCGTATATAGAGGCCTGGAGCAGGGCGGCGGCGCCAACAGCGGGGATTGCCAATCGGTATATCTGCCTGAGACCGTATTCCATTGCTGCGAGTTTGGGTGCTTCGCGTTTGGTTCGTGATCCGCTGCTTCTTCTAAGCTTCCCCGGGGTCTGGAAGATATTGAATGGAGCTCTAGGCGTTGAGAAATCGTTACGATGTTAGCGTTAGCGGGCGGACTGGACGGGAACAAGATGGTCTGTGCACTATGTAGACTTTTTTTTTGGAGGGGCTAGGTACCTAGGTACCTATCATGCGGGTTACTTTAGTAATCGGTGCTAAGGTTACCTATCCGGGAAGTCAAGCCACATGGGGCGATGCATCTTAGCTAAACAAATCCATCCATGGATGTTACCTCTGCCAATAGAACCCGGCTCGGTAACATCTTCAATTTTGACGTCGCGAATTTCAACCGAAACTCTATTCCTCACCTTCTATCTCCCGCAATTGAACTACTCGCGTGTCAATTGAATCCGATATTCACGATGCGACCTACTCAAGCTCTTATGGCTGGTGGCGAGGGCCCTATCGGCAGGCATGGAAAGTGAGTTTTCTTTGAGACCGGGCTGCGTCTTTTTCTCTCTAGATCCTAGCTTTCGCAACGAGCCAGCTACGCACGCTGTACTTGTGAAATACATTTCTCGTAGTCTTGCTAACTCTGCTATTATAGGTTCCTAGGCGGTTGGGGCAACTTCGGTGAGTGAAATATATTCGAATTCTAGCTGGGATCGGTATAAATGTTAGAAAGAGTTGGAATGGGTCTATAAAATGGATGGATGGATGGATGGATGCTGCTGCTAGACAATAGACTAGCTATCGGGAATCGATCGGATATTACACAGACCACGAACGTTACAACGATATACTAACGAGGAGGATTGCAGGTGGCATGCCGCAAAAGGGTATCATCAGCTACACCCTGAGCGCAAACAGGCAGAACCCGCTCGCCGGTACCGTGCACGCTGCCGTCTTCAACTCCTGGCGACGATTCAGCGCACAGGTCCTCTACGTCGCTCCCCCCATGATCTTCTTCTACTACGCCCTGTCGTGGGCCACCGAACGGTATGTTTCATCTTGGACCTCCATAGCACAAATGAATGGCTCTTCGAATAGACTAACACCGCTTGCAGAAACCACTACCTCAACTCCAAGGCCGGTCGCCAGGAGTTCGCCAACGAATAGACGGGACTCGTGGATTATAGACAACGGAGGTTTATCTGTCGTGTGTAGACAAAGCCTTGTATACCTATTATCAATAGACTGGGGCGCAAGAGCTACGAATATCCAAATTCCCTTTTATTTCCGAGTCGGTAGCATACTTGAAGATGAGCTTGTAGACATCTGCTTTGTAATTTCTACGCAAGTATTCCATATCATACGTCAAGTGCTCGATAAAGTCAAGTACACAAGGCCGACACGTATGTGGTCGTATATGAGACTATAATAAAGAACATAATAGCTGTAATAACCCAGGGCAATTATTCAACTATATTAAGTATGAAATGTAACATAACATAAAATACTCCCAAGCACTTTGGTTTTGTAATTCTAAAGTCCCAATATGGACCGTTGCTTCTTACATGTAGGTACTTAGGTACAAGAGTATTTGTCGACCAAGCAGAATTGACGTAAAGGTAATACAGCCGGTAATTCCTCGGCGAATCCTTAACCAGAACCAATGGATCTCGTCTCGAAATAAGCTCAACTTCAACAACCAAGCGAGACAACATCCGAATACCTAGATCTCTCCCCTCCTAAACAGCCGCAATGGCCTCCAATGCAGTTGCAAAAGCTGTAGGAGGCGTAGTGAGCATTAGCCAAGTATGTAATGCCTCTTTCTCTGTCAAATTAACGGTAATTAGCAACGCCGAGGTCATTATTTGTTAACGATCATGTCCCCTAGAAACAAACCCTCCAGTCCACCGGTATATGGGAGCGCATCCGGCGCGCCTTCGCCGTCGACCCGAACCGCTCAAACGGCATCCCGCTTAACCCGCACTACCGAAACCCGACGCCGGGTGGCCAGGACCCGTTAAACTACGACGACCCGGTGACGATACCGGCGGGCGACATCGCGGACAACCCGTACTGGAAGCGAGATGCGCGGCGCGCGTACCCGAAGCTGAGCTTCGTCACGCAGGGCGACGCCGTGGCGCTGCTAACCGTCGGCAGCGCCGCGGCCCCCAAGCAAGAACTCATCGGCGAGGCGGGCCAGAAGCAGCTCGTCGCCGCGCAGGAGGACGGCAGGACGGGCGGCCTCGCGGCGTACTTCGAGAAGAGCAAGGATGCGGCTAGGCAGACTTTGTTCGTGGGCGGGCTGCCGCCGCTGCCGAGCGGCGAGAAGAAGCAGGGCGATGGCAGCTGGAAGGTGCATGACTACGCGCTGGATGAGAACTCGTACCCCGAATCGTAAGTACACTGCCAATTGTAGATTGTGGTAGAGTGTTATGAGATGAGAGCGTTGCTAATGTGCTGCATAGATACCCTTGCCGGAGTTTCAAATAGACTTAGGCACGCATGCCATGTGTACGGTGGAGCAAGTTGTAAATATGAGAAAGCCAGCTCCTAATATCAGATTCGATTCCCTTGTGGTTTACAGACTCTTGGGCGGTGACAGTACTTTCGAAATTAATAGTTTATTTGGTCTTATATTAACCGACCTAATTGTTTCGTTGGCGTGTGCCTGGTTCTAGATGCCATGGTATAGGCTTCTTACACGAAGATACTAACTTAAGGCATTCATACATTGCCCATCACGACTTCTGTCCTCTGCGGTATCCTCCCGATGTCCTCGATATTCTCGTTCTTCTGGGCTGGCTGGCGGTTCCTGTTGGTCGAGCCTTTATCACCGGCTCCTTCACCGATGGCCCGCTCGATCATCTTGACTCTGGACTGGGCGCCCTTCAACCTGCTGTCGAAGTCATTGACCGACTCATCGTCGTTTTTAGTCGACAGCGTCCCAGGCTCCAGTATGCCATACAGCATGGTGATGTTCTTTTCCAGTCGCGAGTTACTGTTGAGAGGTGGTAGCCCTTTTGGTTCGGAGTCCTTCTCATCTTGAGAACTAGATGATGACCCAGTCTGCGCCGCCTCCTGCTGTGAATTGCTATTGAGTGTAGATGGTTCCGGTTGGTTGGGTAACCGGCTTTGCCAGACGATAGCTTTGCCTTGCAGCCGGCCCGCTTCTAAGAATTTCTCAAACCCCGTCTTCATACCAACAGAGCGGCCTTCGATCCGACCGGCTTCAGTACCATCCTTGTAGCCCTCGTCGTAGCCTTCCTTGTAGTACTGCTCTTCTAGGTTCAGAATATCATCAAACAGGTCGTCTGAAGGCATTTTTGAAGGCTGTAGATTTGAAGATGTGGGCTAATACCGATAATAACAGATTTTGCTTTTTATGTGTTTCTTTTGCTGCCGATATATCTTGATTTCGAGCATCTGGTATAAGTTTACTTTACAGTAGAAATGGCCGAATCGGAATGGAGGGGCAGATACGTGGGGCAAGATGAAGCTGAGCTGTATAGGTACCTAGGTACCTAGGTATGCATTTAAAGACGTTATTCAATATAAAGAAAATACCTGGTATTCCTAAGAATATTAGTGCAAGCGGAAAGTAACCCCGCCAAACTCTATTTAGGTACTATCAATAATATTAATAAAGCTTTAGTTGTGCGACTCTTTAAAGCTCAGGTACAAAAGCCGTCATAAGCTACCAACTACAACTACACGACGACCCGTCGAACACCGGAGCCTCTCCTTTATAGCAAGGGACAAGGGCACAAAACAGCCAATTACACCAACAAGAAGTAAACGAAGGACACGGACAGACACACAATGGATATTAGGCGCCTCGAGGCGCGGGACATCCCGCTGATCCAGCATGCGAACCTGGAAAACCTACCCGAGAATTACTTCATGAAATACTACCTATACCACGCCCTATCATGGCCTCAGCTCAGCTACGTCGCCGTCGACGTGTCGCGACCCAAGAAGACCCCTTACGACTACCCCAAGATCGTAGGCTACGTCCTTGCTAAGATGGAAGAGGAGCCCTCCGACGGCGTCCAACACGGCCACATCACCTCGCTATCCGTCATGCGCACCCACCGCCGCCTAGGCATCGCCGAGAAGCTCATGAGGCAAAGCCGTAAGTTCCCTCCCCCTTTTCTCTCCTCCTATCCATACCTATATCGTACATGCCTACCTACCCACTCACCCACCCAGATACAAAGGACCATATACTAACAACCCCCTCCCCCCTCCCCAACAACAGAACTCGCCATGGTCGAAACCTTCGGCGCGCAATACGTAAGCCTGCACGTGCGCGTCTCCAACAAAGCCGCCATCCACCTCTACACCAAGACCCTCGGCTTCGACCAAGAGAAGACCGAGCCCAAGTACTACGCCGACGGCGAGGACGCCCACTGCATGCGCCTCGACCTGTCCTCCATCCGCGACCAGATCCGCGACGCCCAGCTCGACAACGACAACGACGACGACGACGACAATAACAACAACAACAATAACGACGACGAGGGCGATCCCGTTGGCGACGCCGGAAAGGCCGACAGCAATAAAGATCCCCTGCCCAGTCGCCCCAAGGAGACGAAGCGCAAGGTCAAGGTGGGCCGCGCGCTGGGCGTCCAGGCCTTGGTCGAGAAGGATGAGAGTAGGCATTCTTAGAGGGAGTGTCTTTGTACGTGAAGTTGGGGCGGGGGGTTGAGGAGGCTATGCCGTATAGCAGGGAAAGATGACTCGGGAACCGTACATGTTCTTTTGGGGACTGGTTTTTGCTTGTGGCATGGCATGGCATGGCATCAGTTGAATAGCATTTGCCCCTGGTTCGGAAAAGGGCTAGTATACCTAGGTTCTCCTTGAGAGTCATGTTGTTATGTCTAGGTGCATATTCTAGACACACTTCATGTTTTTACGCATAAGGCACGGGTGTTGAAGCGGAAAAGACAGCATTCTATGAGATTTGTATCTGTTAACTGGGTGAAATCATCGTCTCTTGAAAATTGTTCTACATAACTGTCGTTACTTGACCGAAATCTCGAGCCCCCAGGAAACTATACTATAACCGTAGCTAGCAAACTCCCGGCGCCTTTCATGAATAGCTTAGTTCCGTGTCCTCATGTCTGTCGATATACCCTCAACCTTGCCCGTCCATACCCAGAGTAAATTGCAATATCCATTGAAAAGTTTAGCCCCTAAACATCCCCTCCAGCCTCTTTAATGCTGTGGTTCTCGTTTCATCTATCCGCGCCGATGCTCTTCCTCTTGTAACCTCCTCGCAAGCTCCTCATCAGCCTGTAACTGCAGGCCTTCAAACCGCAACCTCTCCACATCCTGTTGCAGCCTCTCGATATCATCTTCTAGGACCGAGGCCTCTACCTCCTTACTCGTGCTCTTCTTGTCCTCGCCTCGTTCTTCTTCCCCACGCAGCGCCGCCTCTGTCTGCTCTCGCTCAATCGTCTCGCGTAGCGCTCTTAGCGAGCGCATCTTGCCTATGATCTGCGCGTCCAGGGTGTCCGCTGCCTGGAGCTTGTCGTTTGTTGTTGGTGGTGGTGGTGGTGGTGGCGGCGGCGGCCCTGAACCCCAGGGAGAGGAACCCCTTGGAACAGATGCCCACATAGCGGCAGCCGCCGTGGCTGCAGCTTGGGCGCGGGCTGCATTCGCTGTTCTCTGCGCTTCAGCCCGCGCCATGTTCGCCTCCGCTTGTGCGTGAGCTCTGGCTTGGTTTGCTTGTTGCTGTGCAAGATCTCTCACTTGCTCGGCCTGCTGCTTTGCGTTTTGGAGGTACGCTTCCCAGTAGCGCGTATGGTGGCCACCAAAGGGTCCGCCTCGCCCTCTGCCGCCGCGACCGAATGGGAAGTTCGGTACGTTCATTGGGTGATTGCCAGGGACGTCGCTAGGCACGCTAGGCATAGCAGGAATAGGCATGTCACCGAACACCGGTGGGAAAGGGTGGGAAGAGTCAGCATCACCAGGACCACGTCTAGAATGTCCTCCCATCTCGCGCTCGGCGTTTCTGACGTCGCGCTGTAGATTTTTCCTCTCGCGCTTCTCGGCCCTTTTCCGCTCCCGGCGCTCGCGCTTCAGTGCTTTCTTCTGCTCTCTCTTCTTCTTACGCAGCGTCCTCGTGCGTCGCTTTTGCTCCCGCTTTAAGGTTTTAAATCGCACGAGCAAATCTTGCACCTCTCGGCGCGTCGCCTGCTTATTAACCTCCCATGCCGGGTCGTTAGCTGGTGGAGGAGCGTTCTTCGCGGCCTTGATTTCGGACCGCAATGCCCTGAGCATCTCCTTGGTCACGGGCTGCTCCGGGTGGTCGAGCCACGCGCGGATAGACTGCTTGGCATAAGGAAGCTGAGAGTCGTTCAAATCGTCGCAGTCAGGAAGGCTGCCGATGCTAGACCCCGAACCTGAGTCTGACGAGGAAGAACAGCTAGAGCTCGAGCTGGGTGAGCGGTCGCGCGAGCCCCGGTGATCATGGTCAGGGCGATCTCGCCACCAGCGCCCTCGGCCACAGCCACGCCCTATGCCGTGTTCGCCAAAACCTCTTCCTTGCTGGAAATCACCAAAAGGACCGGGTCCGGCAGGAAAATCGCGGGTTCCTGGGCCAGCAAAGGGGGAGCTGCCATCAGCAGATTGACCTCCCCAACGCACGCCGTTGCGATCTACTTCGAACGAGTCGCCGAACGAGACGCGATCATTGTCGATGGTGAGACGCCCCATACGGAGGCCTCGGCTGTTTGCTTCGAGGGGTCTGAACGGGTTCCACCACGATCTAGAAGATTGCCCCTGGGGTTGGGGTTGAGGCTGGGGTTCGACAGGGGGGATTTGTTGGGTAGCGGATGTTCGTGATGTGCTGGGGGGTTGAGGCGTAGCTCGCTCAATAGTTACGCCTCTAGGGCCAAAGAAGCCATCATTCCATTCTCGGATCATGGCATCGACGTCATGCAAAGACTGCGTCGCCAAATTAATAGATGATTTAATTTGGCCTAGTTGCGCCTCGGCAATGCTTCTGCTAGTATTTGACGATTGCTTCTCATCCTCAGCCTGTAATTTACGCTCGATTACATTCGAGTTCGCCCGCGAGGCATGATCCGGCAACAGATAGTTAAGGAATGTCCGCCAGTCTTGCTCGGTGGTGTCATGTTCGCTTGCCCAGCCCGGGTATGGGAAATCATTTGGAGAAGCATCCTCTGTGATGGCTAATGAAATCACGAAGGGTTTGTCGGTCGCACCTCTGATAGTAGGGCGCGACTCGAAGTAAGAATGAGCAGAAGATGTTGTATGATTATCGTCACTACCAGGGAAGTTGAAGTGCGACTCTCGCGGGGTTTCCGGTGGGGTGTAGACTGTAGTACTTTGAGATGATGTGGTAACAGAGACATTGTCGTCGTTCACCCCGGGTTGAGCGACAGGTGAACGACTTGAATGTGAATGGATATCAGTTTCGGTATACGGGGGTGGCGGAACGTCGTCCATCGTGAGTTCGTTGATAGAGAAATATGGTGTTGTTGTAAAAGGGAAGATACTAATCTACTACTAAAGCGTAGAGCTTAAGTAGGTATGTATGTACCTAAGGTTAGGTAGGTTACCTAGGTATGTACCTATAAAAGATACCTAGGTAGGTAGGTAGGTACCTATGTAGGTTTAATACCTGTGTTACCTGCTAAGGACTCGGGTGAAGTATAAACATTAATATTTCTTATATGAGTGCAACCTGGATGCATTTTTTAAAGACAAACATAATCAGAGATATCCGATGGGCTTAAGGATACTTTTTATTTATCTACGTGACCGACCTGTTCAAATCCTTCCAAGAGAAACAATCACGTCCCGGTCTGCGCCTCTATGGAATGTGTTTTAATTGGCGGCTGAGATGTTCAGCCCTGGAGACGAATCCCTGAATGAGATTCGCTCGATCCCGAGTGGAGGAGGGCCAAGCTTCTGTCAATCAACCCACCCCACGTTCTATTGAACCGCTCCGTCAGCGTTTGCTCGCCAAGAATCCCTGCACTTGCATCCGAAGCTACCTGTTATTGCGGTAAAGGTGACGCGGCCACCACGATTACACACGATTGCCTACACAAGGCTGCCTCAAAGATGAGTCAAATTACCGGGGTATTCGAATGAGCTTTGCATCCTAGAGATAGATGCCGGTCTTACTCGGGGAAACATTTCCTACTAGAATCATCCGCCTTCACATTGCCTATACATATGACTACCATCTAAATCATCTCTGGATTTTCCCAAAGAGGTCAAAGTTGATGTCTTCCTCCTTATAATGGTCGGCTATAAGGCCATGCAAGTGGTCTTTAGAGTGCGCGCCCCTATGGTGAAGAGTTAACAATTGCTAGACTCGTAACAACTCATACTTTGAAGAAATCACTTACAAGTTCGTAATATACGTGTTGACAAGGTCGGTAGGAATAAACTCAGCGATAGCATTCCTTACTCTCACCTGTCCAACCATTTCGCCGTCTGCGAAGTTAACATACTTAGAAGGGCCTCCCCATTCGACAAACCCTTCATGATAGAAACGGCTATCAGGACTGAGCTTATAGACGCCGCCTAGGACAATGACTGTCCGGCCTTGCTCTCGAGCAGCACGAGCGATGGCTGCAGCACCGGAGTCGACAATAACTCCGCCCTTCTTTGTAATTGCCCGAGCTCCGAGAATGACTTTGTTGACTTTCGACATGTAAGCCATGAGACCGACGTTCATGATGTTAACTACAGTCGATCCAGAGGACGACAAAGATTTTCGTAGGGAAGTATACGGGTCATCATCGGTAGAGGCTGTGGATGGGTCGACAACGAGAAATACCGTAAACTTCCTTTTCGATGCGGCTCGTAGAAGAAATTTCTGAACTGTTCTTGAGGGCTGGTGAACTAAAATGTAATCTCCTGGGTGGATGACGATCTCGGCGTAGGCTTGGACCTGTTCATCAACCTGCCTTATCTCATCCATAATTTCTTCGATCCCGTCAATCACTTCAGACCTAAGTGCTTGTATATTTGTAGACTGGGGAAATCCCTGTGGTGTCGAGGCTCCCGAACCTAACTTGGGCGTGGAACCCGGCGAGGGGACAAAGTCTGGATCTGAGAGAAGGTTGAACATTGACTGCGTGCGAGCAAAAGACCCAAGGGCGACTAGTGAGGGAAGCCGAGTTGATTTTGAGATGGGGATAGGCTCTATTGCGGGAGGTAAAGCAGGAGTTCTGTCAGTAGGCGAGTCGCTACCCGCGTCATTTCGATCCTCCGAGGCTTCATCTCGTATTAATCCTAGAACTCGCTTCACAACGTTGCCAATAACCAACTCGTGAGGTTGCGCTGTTACAAGTTTCCTACCGACTAACTGTATGCGCCCGACGAGTTGATCAACGTCGGACCATTTATCCTTGGCGACGACCTGAAGTAGTATATGTGCTGTAGCTATCGCGCAAGATTCGGAGCCTCGTATCTGCCGTCGCTTCAGGAGGCTACGCCGCATATATCAGTCCCAACCTTAGACGGCACGGCATAAAATTTCGCTCTTACGATATTAGGAATTCCACAGAAGCGTCGACCGGTCGACTCTTTAACGTGTCGAGAAATTTGTCCAAGTCGGGCGCATAGCCCCCCTTAGGAGGTGCCATTTCTCGTGGTCTAAGAGTTGTTGAGGAGGGGTATCTGGCTGTATGCGAAGCTTCAATAACTAGTGAGGCGATCTTGAGGATAGTATTGGTCGGCGCAAATAGAGCGCAATCGGCAACGTCTAAATCTTGCTGGGAAGTAAATTTTTAGAATTTAAAGGCTTCGGTAGGTAAATTAGGTGAAGACACAATAACTCGTTCGCATCGAGTTGGCTTAGTATCTCTGTAATAGAGAGATAAATTGCAAATATTTGCTGAATTATCGATATGGAGTCTTTTCTGAGAATTGTGAGTCAACGACGATCATAAGAAGAAAGAAAAAAAGGTACGTAGATGGACCAGATCTACATCCATACGTACAATTTGAACGTACCTCCCGTACGTGCAGGACATGTACTAGGGTATCTCGTCGCATGGCGGGGTTGGTTGCATTGTGGACACGGATATTCAACACGTGATAGCTAATTTGCTCCTTAAAAAGGTACCTAGATACCATATCATGCTAAGAGGATGTACCTAGGTAGTAATGCGTTAGCGGGACAATGTCACTAATTTCCAGTGGTACGGTGGTGGCCCTTGTGGTGGTCTTGGCTCCAATAGTTCTATTATGTTGGGTCCCCCCCCGGCGCAGCTGTAATATCCAAAGAGACTCTATCGCAATAAACTCCCTAAGACTGCCCTACCTTACCTCCCTAATCTTTTAAAGTGAGGCTTCTAAGAGCTCTCTTGGCCGAACAAAAACGACATTTCGTAGCACTTGCAACATTTCGCGACTTGCGTGTTTCTTGAATCTGACCTACCACAGCGACAAAGCTTTGATAATACGATAATACGTACCATACCCTATTCTATTACCTGTACCTAGCAGGAATGAAATATTTGGAAAACGCAGGTAGATTTTACCATCACAGTTGCGCGTAGCTCTCTCAGCCATCATATTCCAACCGAGGTTTGAAAAGAGAAAAGAGGAAAATTAACCCCAATCGCTCTCATCCGAACCCTTAGGACTTTCTTTTTTTTTTTTTTTGTACAATACGTCCACAGATTTTTAAAGCATACAAAACTATACAGACCATACGGACAATTATCTCGTCTATCAGCCCCAGCACGGGAGCAAACGCGACTCGGGCAATTCAGCCCGGCCGACCGACCTTGAATTATATTGTCCTTTTTTTTCCACCTTCCGCCGTCGCCTCCACCAAATATTTAGCCGTCATAATAAACTGCGAATCTTGCTTGTTATTTAGCGGGCATAATCGATTCTTCATGGCTTGCAGGTCAACCGGAAGATGAACTCCCTCAATATAATATCCGCGCGCGTCTCCCCGACCTCGAGTCCCGCCCCTTCGCGATCAAACTCCCTGAGCCACATCGGCTTAGCTGTCGCTCAGTCTGATGACAACCCAACGCCTCCAGAGGAACCATCGCCCAACGAGAAATGCGCAACCACTTCCGAACCGATCGATAATACATTCAGCAGAGAAGCCCACCTAGGCAATTTTCTTAGCGCAGACGAGAAGACTCCCTTATTAGATAAAGGCGATGCCAAGGAGACAAATATCCGCTATTATTCGTGGCATGTTATCCCCGGGCGCATAGCAAACAGTCTGATAAATTCTATCCGTTGGGTTCTGTCTACCATCGCCGCACCGGGAGTTTACCTCGTCGCTTGTTTTTATAATGCACGGGGGGAGTTTGCCCCCTTGCGACAATTCGGGAATCTTTTCGGTATCTACGGGGGCGATGCGCGCAAACTAGCAGCTAACTACCATGAGAGCGTCGCGCTTAATGAAGAGAAGCAAGTCTCCTCTAAGCGTGGCGGCCAAGGCTCTCGAGGAAAGCATGCCTTCGCAGCCTCCCGACCGGTACCTTCGTCAGGAACTTCATCCTCGGGTATATCGTCAGAGTCGGAATCGGATATGGTTAGCAGGAATCAAGGTGTCCGCCGCAGCTCCGGTTCTTCCGGTCGCCATGTTCGGTCTAAGTCTCTTGATCCCGCCGAGGAGGGCTCGCCAGCAAGGAGATCGATAAGGATTAAGTTAAATAACGATGAAGCCATGCGGCAGCGAAAACATAGGAAGGCCCAGTCTATAAGTGCTAGTGGTAGCACTAGCAGCGGCGACGCTTCAGCAGATTTATCGGCTCAACTAAAGTCTCCCACTTCTCCTGTCGCGGCTTTGACGAGATATCCTAAGACCCCTGCTCCCCCTAGACCGTTAATACCTCGTCGGCAACCTTCATACGTACCCTACGAACCTATCGATCCGAAGCAACAGAAAACGTTGATATTGGATCTAGACGAGACGTTGATACACAGCATGTCAAAGGGAGGTAGAATGGGTTCGGGACACATGGTCGAAGTGCGGCTGAACACGACATATGTTGGAAGTGGAGGCCAGCAGGCTCTTGGACCTCAGCATCCTATTCTATACTATGTTCATAAGCGGCCGCACTGCGACGAGTTTCTTCGAAAGGTGAGAAGATTAATATATCGATAACACTGGACTATTATGCTAACCGTGGTCTGCAAAGGTTTGTAAATGGTTCAATCTCGTTGTCTTCACAGCATCGGTACAGGAATACGCAGACCCGGTCATCGACTGGTTGGAATCGGAGAGGAAGTTCTTTTCAGGGAGATACTACCGGCAGCATTGCACATTCAGGCACGGCGCATTTATCAAGGATCTGAGCTCGATAGAGCCAGACCTGAGCAAGGTCATGATACTAGACAATAGTCCCTTAAGCTACATGTTCCACCAAGGTAGGATATCCCCTGAACACTATATCAAAGTTTGTTTGCTATTAGTCTGCTAACTAGAGGATTTACATCTGCAGATAATGCGATTCCCATTCAGGGTTGGATCAGTGACCCCACGGATAATGATTTATTGCACCTGGTCCCTCTTCTAGAGGGATTGCAGTACGTTTCTGATGTTAGAGCATTACTTGCATTACGGGGTGGGGAAGACGGACAGCATATGATGACGTGAAGACAATGAAATACAAAACCTCTGAAGGCAAAAGAACATAGCGGGTGTTAATTCGTATTGGGCGGAGAGGGACTCGATATACCGAGCTAGCATTCCAAGGAACTTTCTACCATTACGTGCTTCGTTGTACAGGTCTACGTTACGTTATGGCGTTAATATAATAAGTGTATATTTTTTTAAGGAAGCGGGAGACTGCGGAGGTTGGTTCTGTAGCAAGGCAACATGAGAACATTTGGGGACGTATCCTAGTCCGATACGGTTACAACAACCCAATGTAGCGCAGAATAATGAATAGAGACTTAGTTGGTTTGCAAACCGGGGTATTTGTTTAATTCACATCGTCATCATTTCGTGAGCTTCCGAAGCTATGACGGTTAAAGGCTGACAAAGAGATTCCATCCATTTGCTTCCGGTAACATTCAAGCCATAGCCGAGAAAGCGGGTCTTCTTGTGACCCACCAAGGAGATGGTACTCCGGTCTAGTATCCATGGCCATGGAATGTAACCTCGTGGGTCTGGAATGTACATAAGTCGCAACCTCCAATTACATAGGTTATGTGTATTTAGCACCTGGTTGATGAACAATGTACTAATGTACGTAGGTAGCTTTAGGTAGATGTGAAATACAACCGTACCTACCCACAAATTTAAAGATTTCGATTTGCTTAATCATTATTACATGCATATCCGTATTTATATCTTGGTGCTATTGGAGATTAGGTAGGAGATACCTAGGGTAGGAGATAGGCTCTTAGTTGTGGGAATGGTAGATAACTACCTATGTACTGAGAATAGGTAACTAAGAAACAACGCCAATTCAAGAGAGAGAGAGAGACAGAGAGAGAGAGAGAGAGAGAGAGAGAAGCAAAAACTACTACAAGTTCTTTTTTGTAACTAATAGACCAGAAGCTCGCAATATTATAACCTAGAGAAGCTCCAGCCACAAATTAATGAGCTTAGATCGGCCATTCTCAGATCCACGACTCATGATCCATCTAAGCCCCGCGATCCAATCAATAACCTGGTGGCATCAACGACATTTAAAGATGTCTATTACGTCATGTTGAACGCCGAACCGAGACTTTGGTGTTTGAGAGGCTACAATACTTGGAGGAGAGAGGCTTTAGATTTCACGTTGCGGTTACGAAACCGGGATCCATGTATGTAGCTTCAAGTAGCCTAAGTAGCATAATGTACATACAGCTAGAGCCTCGGATTATACCAAGTTCCTAGTTACGCCATCTGATGAAAATGTTGTTTTCGTCATCGGTGCCGTAGCTTGACGTTATAAGAAGACCTTTTCTCAACGCCCTCCTCCTTCTTTGAATCACAAATCAGTAAGAACTTTTACCAGCGATATCTACCATCTACAGACGATAATTCGAATTAAACATCATCATTTTACGATTACATCTAACTATCAAACTGTAATATCTATCTGAACACCATCATCATGTCTCTTCATTGTGAGTAACGAATACCTTATCCCATTGCCTTCTGAGTAAATACAGTTATTAGTCTGATAGGCGTCTCGACAGCCTTCAGATCTCTAAGGCGTGACCATGAATTAGCTATTTGTTATGGACTTTCAAAAGCTGACAACACCAATCTTCAGATCTCCCTCCTGTCAAGCCCTCGGCCATTGCCCTCGGTACCGTCTTCAACCACGGTATTGAACTAGCAGTTCTGTCCCCGTTATTCGGCCAGACCTACCAGCGAGCCAAGGCTGCCAACACCAAGGAAGAGTTCATGCGATCGAAGGAAGCCGCGTCGACTGCTGCCGCTATAGGAACTTCTCTGGTCGGCTCTGCCCTGCAATCATATGGTATTGGTGCCCTCATCAACGCAACCGGCACTCTTAGCTACAAGGGCGCCGCTTACCTAGGCGCCCTTATCTTCGCGGCTACATCCGCCCCTACAGTATGTCTATCCTGCTACTCAGACATCAGAGATCTCAATCTAACATCATAACAGTATCTTGCACAGCTCTTCACCGAGAAGCGACCTGTTGACACTATCGCGGTCGGTGCCACATCAAAGATCCTCGAGACCGTTGGCTTGTCTCTATTCCTCACCTGGTGGGGCACCCGAACCAACCCTTTCGACTAAATTAGGAATGTTGTAAGGACCTGTGTTCATTAGTTTCCCTACGGGTTGATATAATGCTAGGAAGCCGTGTGGAGTCCGCGAGCTGTCACTAGTTGTATAATAAATAAATCAATAAATGTTCACAAATTATCATCTTATACCACCCCACTAACTTCACCTCGTAAACTGTAAGCTAGACTTGGGTAATACGTAGGTAACTAGCCAAATATTGTAAGCGCTTTTGATCACGACTCGAAAGGACCTAGATTCATTTTGAACCAATATGAAGTGTTTTCCCCAACGCCAGAGGCTACGCCTGTGTAGCCAACCGAAACAGTACGTACATTTCGGTCCGAAGACCTTGGATGCTTGAAAGGACAGCGAAGAACGCCCGCGACCACGGACCGCCTTCCTAGGCTAGCTAATAAATGGCCACGTCGAATGGTGATCTCTCATACAAATACCCCCCTCCCGAGGCAGAGATAACAACCGCAGTAAAATGAAGCTAAGCCTACGTGAACTTGAGTTGCTTGCTCTCCTTCTCGACCAGCTTGACCAGGTCCTTGTACGCATCGGCGAAGTCCTCGGCGTCTTCTTCGGCTATCTTCTCGTCGGCCTTGTCCTTCTTGCTTCCGGTCCGCTTCTCAGTGACCATGACAACACTAGTGGGTCGCTTGGTGCTGCCGGCGGCGCCTAGCTCAGCCCGCGACGTGACGAAGATATACGGCACGTTGACGTCCTCGCATAGCACGGGGATATGGCTAATAACATCCATAGGGCTGATGTCGCCGGCCAGGATAACAACGCCCGGGAATGAGGTGTTGCCCGGTCCGCTGGCGGGCGACTTGCGTAGTGACTTGACGACTTCCTTCACGCCACGCTTGAGGGTCTTGTGCTTCGCAGCTATATTTAAAATCGCGTTAGCGCTTAGCTGTTCATTAATCTAATAAGAAATGCAATGGAGAAATATGCTACTGCTGCAGCTGCAGCAAAAGACATGGATTTAAGATGGACATACCCTTCCGCACGGTCTTCATAATCTTCTTGGTGCCCTTCTCATCCGCCAATGGCTTCGCAAAGGGTACCAGAGCGCCCACTACGGGAACCAGGACCTTAGCAACCTTCTCCTCGCCATCCTTCACGACGGTGACAGACGCCGAGGTATCAACTTCTAATTGGTCGTCGAGGGTAGCAGTGACGACAGTCTTCAGCTTCTCCTTCTTATCTTTCTTGTCCTTCTTGTCTTTTTTAGACTTTGTCACGCCGTCGGCCTCGCTGCGCTTCTTGTCCTTCTTTTCCTTCTTCTCCTTCTCTGGCTTCGTCGACCCCATCTTGTCTCTTGGCGTTCTCGAGGGAACACACGCAGGTTTTTATTTGAGCGACCGACTTGATCAGACGTACGAGGCCGTCAGGATGGGGGAGTTCTTTGGTGTCGTGGGTGGGCGTTGCACCTCAATGGATCAATTTTCAAATGGTATCAATTGACCGATAAAAAAATAAAAATCGAGCTGGAAATTTTTCTTGATCGATAGGAAGGAAATCTTAGCAGCTTTTCGCGGGGAGCAAATTTAACCAATCAGAAGCCTTGCTGGCTTGGAGTATTCCCGCTTTAGTCTCCAATCGACAGGGGCTAGTACATATGTGGATCTAAGCATTTAGGTACCTCGTATGTACATGTAGTTTGGAGCTCACTCTTTCATCTTCTGCTTCTTCACCTTCAAATCACACAAACACTCTATCTTACTTCCTACCTACGAGTATGTAGGCACATACTAAATAGGTTCTCTGCATTGGAGGCGCAATTCTTAATTTATAAATTGTGTATTATAACGTCACGAAATAAGCACTAATAATTCCGTGTTTGAATCTCTTCCACAGTTAAGATACCTACCAGTAATCATTTTAGCTCTCAACATGGTCGACATGGTAAGACAATTGGAGCAGTATAATAATCCTCTCGCAAGCTCAATTCGAATTGATTCGAGCCGCATTGGTTACACTTTCTTCCAACTTAGATCCTTACCTTCTCAAGACTTTCCTATTACTACGAAACCGACATCTTTTATGCCAGAGTAATGAAAGTTACCAAAGCATGCTGGTAATTCAATAATATCAAACCGCCTCCAAGATATTATCTTAGTAGGTACATTTCTTAGCCGCAACGGAAAAGGCTTAGTTCATTCAAAGGCCCGGATAACTTTTCCATGCTGCTGTGGTCAACGATGGACCTCTTGGCTCCTCTGGTCATACATAGCCGAGTATACGAGATGCTATTCTGAATCCGGGGTATTTGCACCCCGCCTTGACATGCGATGTCACTCGGGTCTACCTTGTGACATGCCTTTTACGGATTATCGGCTGCTCTTCCTTTGTATTTCGAGCTTCTCTTTCCTCTTCATTTACATATGTAGCTATCACAGCTATGAATACCTCTTAGTATTCCAACAATTGAAGTATGTTCAACTGGGCCCAGTGAGAATATAACTGCCTCCCAAGATGAAGGTTCAATTACTTATACAGTCCCTCTTTGTGGCTATATTATGCCAAACGGCTTCTGCAGATATATCTCGGCGGGATATTAACACCTCTGTTAGTGGTTATGACTTCGTGGATCCTCTAATCGGCACTCGTAATGGAGGTGAGCTCGCTTATATTCTGTTATCTTTACAAACTACCTAACTAATTATTATTATTATAGGTCATGTCTTTGCCGGAGCGACCTTGCCATTTGGTAAGTGGGATCAACAACCATAATGTCTACCTAATGTATATCAAGCATCTCTAATAGAATAATAGGAATGGCGAAAGCAGTTGCGGATGTCACAAGCGATAACCAGGGAGGGTATGCCTCAAATGGGAGCCCGGTTACAGGCTTTTCCCATATGCATGACTCGGGCACTGGTGGTGCCTCATCACTTGGAAACTTTCCAGTGTTCGTTTATCCAGGCTGCGCGAATAACGACGTAAACGGATGCATTTTCCCCAAGACCCAGCGTAGCGTCCAAGTTGTTAATGGGAGTGTTTCAGCTCGTCCTGGCTATTTCACCATCGATCTCATTTCTGGTATAAGGGCCGAGATTACAGCTACAAACCACACAGCTCTTTACGATTTCACATTCTTCGGCAATGCTACAGGAAACGCTTCTGTAGACGCACCCTTAAGCCCTCTGTTCATTTTCGATCTGACGGATCTGCCCGATACTCGCCTCAATGGCAGTGCGTCTATCGATCCAGATACCGGTAGGATCTCTGGAAGCGGAACCTTCCTGCCTAGTTTTGGAACCGGTACATACACACTGCATTTCTGTGCCGACTTTCCTCAAGGAGTTTCTATACGCGAAACGGGAGTGTTCGTGAACACTAGGGCTGGTAGTGAACCCAAGAATATCGTATTAGGGCAGGACAATAATTCCCCTCCTCTGCCAGCAGGAGCCTACACTTGGCTCAATGAGGTTGAAACAGGCACCACAATCACAGTTCGTGTCGGGCTTTCATTTAAGAGTGTTGAGCAAGCTTGCGGGTCCGCTGAGGCAGAGGTGCCAGACTTCAGCTTCTCAAAAACATTAGCCGCCGCAGAAGATGTTTGGAAAGATAAACTCTCAGTCTTAAGTATTGATGCCACTGGTTTTGAAGACACCTCTTTGCAGACAATCTTCTGGAGTGGCGTGTACAGGGCAATGCTAAGCCCCCAGGATTATACTGGTGAAAACTATCTCTGGGAAAGCGATGAGCCGTACTACGATTCATGGTACTGTATCTGGGATAGTTTTCGATCTATCCACCCCTTCATTACCCTAGTGGACCCCCATTCCCAAACTCTAATGATCCGCTCTCTCATCGATATTTACCGTCACGAAGGGTGGCTACCAGACTGTCGAATGTCCCTCTGTAAAGGATGGACTCAAGGAGGATCTAACGCTGATATCGTGCTGGTAGATGCGTTTCTCAAGAACATTACACAGGGTGTTGACTGGGACACTGGGTATGAGGCATTGGTAAAAGATGCAGAAGATGAACCGCCGGTATGGGATTACGAAGGCCGTGGCGGTTTATATAGTTGGAAGAAGTATGGTTACATCCCCGCAGACGACTTCGACCCGTACGGCAATGGCCTATTCACAAGAAGTGTGTCTAGAACTGTGGAGTACGCTTACAACGACTTTTGTATCGCTGAAATAGCGAAGGCGCTAGGCAAACAAGATGATTACGAGAAGTATACCAAGCGGTCCGGAAATTGGGTCAACTTGTACAATGCCGATCAAGCCTCGGATATAAATGGCACAGACACTGGCTTCACAGGCTATCTGCAACCAAGGTATTTAAATGGTACCTTTGGATACCAGGACCCGACGCTTTGCTCTTCTGTTATGTCATTTGACTCTTGCTATCTCAACCCGGGTGGCCACGAGACATATGAGGGTAGCCCATGGCTTTACAGTTTTTTCGCACCTCACGATATGGCAGCCTTAATCACCACCCTTGGCGGACCCGATACATTTATCAGTCGTTTGGACTATCTTCACGAGAGCGGTATCCTTTACGTCGGTGACGAACAGGCATTTTTAACCATATTCCAATACCATTACGCCGGCCGCCCTGGTAAATCTACCGAGCGAGTCCATTACTATATACCCAGCCAGTTCAACACCACAACGGCAGGCATCCCTGGAAACGACGACTCGGGCGCCATGGGTTCATTCGTAGCCTTGGCGATGATGGGCATATTTCCAAACCCTGGCCAGGACATCTATTTTATTACTGCCCCTTTCTTTCCGTCCGTTTCGATCACCAATCGCATAACAGGTAATACAGCAACCATCAAGACCAGTAACTTCGACACCGCGTATAAGAATATCTACATACAAAGCGCAAAGCTTGACGGGAAAGAATACACGAAGAATTATCTCACGCATAGCTTCTTCCTCGAGGGCGGTACATTGGAACTCACGTTAGGCGATAAGGAGAGCACGAGTTGGGGTACAGGGGATGATGATATACCACCAAGCGTAAGTACGAGTAAGCAGTAGAGTTACTTGTATTATAAATACAGATAGTATATTCGTGAAGACTGAAGCATGTGACTACCAGACTCTTTGAGATATTGATACGTGGAATTTAAGTACCTAAAGTACCTAAGACAAGAGAATCAACATGTTCGATGGTTTTTCATGTAAGTTCATATGTTGGGAATTTTAAGCACTAGGCCTCCGGATACATAGACGGTTACGGGTTCGTAACCTTGAGTTGCCTATGCGTTTCGCATGGACGAGCGGTGCCACTAGAGGTAGTCGACGATGGTTCCGACTCTGATCTAGACGGCTTGTGATCTAAAGTATCTACCTGATAATTACTAAACACGTCAAAATGCATTATAAGTTAAGCAAACCTACCTGGTTGCGGCTCATCTTGCGCCGTGTTACTTTGGTCATCATTAGAGCGATGGGATCCCTTATAGGACTCCCATACATTCATTATTTTTCTCCTTGCCCCTTTTTCCCAGAGCACACCAAGGATTAGGAGAAATATAGCTGCACCCATTATACTAAACCCGACTGTGTGTCCCGTTTCCGCGGATGGATTACGCAGAGAAGGAAGAAATGGTGCTGCGATGTTCTCGTCGTCGTCGAGTCGTGAAGGAATGAGGTCCCAATCCGGACAACCTTGATCGCATGGGTTCTGTAAACACTACGTTGAAAATATAATAGGTAAGCTTGCTGGGCCCTTAGAGTTTCAAGTTTTGCGTCCTGTCTAAAAGCAATAGGTCCTCGACTACCTACGTAAGGAGGGTTTAATCTCTAGGAGGGGGCAATGGGATTAGGAAGAGGAAAGAAACTGCTCGTTACATACGCAACCCATGAACCTAGGTGTTGCAAAGTCGCATGTATACCATTCACGTTCGTCATAGGGGGCAGCGCAACTCTGGTGATGGCCTGGATAGCTGACATAGCTGGCTGGGCGAAGCTTGCCAAGTAGACACTGGCCTTCATTGGAGCATGGATCCGTTTCGCAACACCCGAGGAAGCGCACCTGGCTAGATAGGCAGACATAAAATGAACCTCCGAAGGGACAAGAAAGTCCATATTTCTGTTGCGGGATTTGATTATCAGGGGAAGCCATATATAATGCTGTGCGTCAAAATTACGACTTGTGTGATATTCTAAGAGGGAGTCGTGAACGGCAGCGGAAGCTCGAGATTTTAAGGCTTTTCTGCATCGAAGCAGTTACATATCAGAAGCGACTGGCGTATACGGGCGAGTTCTATATACACCTCCAGCACAGGCTGTCTACCACCATTCTGTTCGCTATATCTCGGGAAGATGCCTTCGATAAGTGATTAATTGAATTTTGGTATCTACACGATTAGCTAAATACTATTCAAAATATGTAGGGGTGTAAAAACGTGCGATATCGAGCTGTTATTACGAGGCGTGGTCGTCTTTGTCCGAGTAACATGACACCTCAGACATGTTCCACAACGAGGAAATGTTATCACTTACCTACCGACTCCGTTGCACAGATTCGACTCAAATATCATAGGAATAACCAGGTTCTTAGATGGCAAGTGTAGTGTTTGATTTTAGGCTAACTTTCAAAATACGAAACAATAGTAAACTTCGAGAAGGGAGGTATAGTTAATACTCTTAACGGTTGTCACACGCAGGGTGAATATCAGGTCGGTAGATAGTGTTGAACTAGTAACGCCTGGCCTTCTGTCCTGTTACGAGGGCGCTGCTCGCCTCTTATATAGTAGCCAAATGTGGCAGGATGATGTACGTACGGTCGTTACAGGACTTGAATAGGGCTTCTCGGATTGGCGCAGCACAGGTGATTAGAGGATTGGTTTCGGTTTGGCTCGAGTTCGGAATCCTAGATAAACTTTGCTATACGTAGTCGATAGTTCTCTGTCGGAATGTAGAAGCTGCACTCCAGTCGTTGATTATTGTCGAAAGCTCCGCGGAGTCCGTCTCTAGATAAGTCATTTAGTAAGAGACAAATTATACATCTACGATTTGGATGACCGATATACCATCGTCCCAAGCAAAAAGCTTTCAGCAATATTAGTTACTCGGAATTAGTGTGCTGGTGGTTCTGCACCCTTACCCAGATAGTAGCCATTATGTTGATTTTGAGTAAGAGAAGTGTATATAGGGTTGTATGACAGGGTATAGAAAGGGATGACCGATCATAAGCAATAATCCACGGGGTGAAGTTACTATTTATATTCTACGGATTTGGCGAGGAGGACGAACTTAAGCGAGATATTAAAACCCGGCATTTGAGTCCGTTCTGAATCCCTGCTCACCATTGCCCGACAGCTCTTCTTAACATATAATCATTACAAGAGGCTATATAAATAGGTAGGTTGTACCGGAGCTATCATATTTCTGATATTGTGGCGGCTTATATTGTAGGGCAGGATCAAGATGGTATTGTCACGAGGTGGAACTAAACAGCAGGGAAACAACTTCGTTGTTCCGCAGGGAACTCTAATCTATCTACGAGAGCCTGAGTCTATACACACTGAATATGTCCTTTGTTATAGATGCCTCATATAGAATCCTGACAATAGTGCCTATGCCAAGTCGGTCCAATTTTTGTCAGTTTTATACTAATAGTACGCCCTAATCTAAACCCGCGAAGAATCATTAGTTCTAGTGTAAATTAATCACCCACTACTTACCTTCAACGTAGGAAACCCCTGAAACCATAAATACCTGACAATCGAACCGAAATGGGACGGTGCCTACGGCTAGAACAAGTCTTACACTCGCGCAGGCGTGATACAGAACGGCTTAAAGCTAACCCACGGCGCCGCAACAGGCAACCCCTGAGTACTAGTATTGCACCGAATAAAGCTTTCGGAATGGCCTCTTCAAATGCATTATAGTTCTAGTCGTTGTTACCTATCTGGCCCCAAACATCAACAACGCCTTTACATGTCACTAGGTGTAAAAAGAAGACCATCGATCCCGCTGGAGCCGCTAAGCATACGACCCTGAGAAGTCAACTCGATATCACCTAGCTCGGCCTGTTCTCAAAAGACTACCAGTTACTGGTCCCAAAGTCTATTCAACTTGCGAGAAACGCCTGATCTATGGGGGCTAGAATGGAAGACTGCCATGTTTACTTGCACTAATAAAGTCTTTATATTTCTCGTACAGTTTGCGTATGTAGAGATAGTCTTTAGAATCTTTCCATGCACAGACGTTGAAGTTTAGTGGACTATGACTAAATCGCAGGAAAGCCTGTTTTTTTTAAGCAACGAAAGAGATATTAAGCCTTGGAAGATGTGAAAATCTTTAATATCCGCGTAAAGGTAATTATATGAAAAGATGCAAACCTTGTAAACCTATCATCCTGACACCCAATAGTGGAATTTATATCTCTATGTAGTGTAAAATGTATACTATTCTACCTTTTTATATAATAGCGTTGGTTGATATTTCCTTAGCCTCAGATATAGGTAATCAATGAGGCTGTTAATAGGGGTTATTCAGAGTACATACTATGTATGTAGGAGGTTGCTCTGGCCCTTACTGGTCATAGACCCTCGTTCTCCTAATTTCGGAGATTTATTTACTGGCCATATATTAAGCCTCTAGGCGTGGCTGTTGTGTTACTGGGTTGGTCAAATAGTATTCTTTCTTTCCAGACTTGCACTCGAACAATTCGGTCATAGATAGTGGACCTTCGGAGGTACCTAAGTGCGGGTACCATTTCTACCCATTGTGGAGCGCAATGGATTACCCCTGTTGTATCACGTGGATTTATTAGTTCAATAAACGATAACTAACCTAAACTAGGACTGACCTAAATTAGGCTGTCTGATTTGAACTCTGCCCCATTAACCCCATCAGTTGAATCGGATCCCGGCAGTTGCTCTTTCATATGTAAATACACTAGGTTAGTATTATTATTAGACGTGACGTTTAGGAAAGCGCCTTTGAAGCGTTAAGGAGTTCAAGATGCAAGAAGCAGTGGACCAGTCAATCGAGTCCTACCAACTCCAGCTTCTTACACCAACCCAGTTTGTCAACGTACTGAGACTCGCAGAATGGGTTCAATGATTTTTAATAGTCAGATCGTCAGGCTATTCATCTGTTCGTGGCCACCGCTAGGTTGCCGTAATTGCCGTGGCGATTGTTGGTCAGTGTCCATCTGGTCATCATCATCGTCACCTTGGTCGACTCACTTGTATGTACATGAGCTCCTTGTACATATAATAAGATGGGTACCTACCTTTGGCATTCCGATTACCCGTATCACGGCATCGGATTCCCGTCTGCCCACATGCATTCCCTTATACATATGTACACTATTCATGATCGCCACAAGGTTAGTGTAGTGGAATTCGTCATAAAAGTCTGTGTTTAAGTACAGACTTAAGTTGCCGCCTCAGCCTCTACATAGCAGATTCCGTAAGTCAAAGCCCAAAAGCCCCCCCAAAAAAACTTAAAATCCGAGACACTCTCACCCATCAAACAAAAGAGAAACCTACATCAAAAGTTACCTGCAAGGACGCACCTAAAGCACACACGCATGCAAGTGGCTGCATATTCGTGCCGTATTACATATCGACTATTATTCATTACAATTAACTTCGACAATAACCTACGTTTAGGTACCTATATTAACTTCCTCGGCGTAGCGTACCTATTTCCGAACTCTTGCGTATTCCGTCTTACATATTCCATATTCCATATTCCATATTCCATACATAACTTAGGTACATATTTTTAACCCGAGTTTTGTCCTCCCCCGCCCTATCCGATTCCTAGATCTTTCTTACCGACTTTGCAACTTTGCAACTTTCTCCTAAATCGTACCGAACTCTATGTCTCGAGAAGTGTAGCGATATTTCTCCTGACAACGCGAACGTGGACCGGATAACGGCACCAAATTAATAAGACCTTTACTGTCTCCATTTTCTGGGATTGTTCAAGCGCGCGGTTGATTGTTTGCCAAGCAATTTTCAATACAAAGAGCCGAACCCTGCCATTCTTTCTTGGCATTGGTGTCAGCCCTGGCTGGAAACTCAGCATTGCTTTCAGGGCTACCTCCTTTCAGGTCTACCTCCTTTCAGGTGAGCAAGCATTTCTGTCCGCTCAATCATATTCGTCAGCTGGGGCGCAGCTCGGTAGGCTGCCAAAATACTATCAAAATACCAGAACAAAGCCGCCCGAAATCTTCAACTACGTCAAGTGACGCTGTCCAATTATATTTCTAAATGAGCCAATTCGCTTTTCTTCGCTTATCGACGTTATTCCGTCCGAGAGTACGGATTAGAGAGTAGCCAGGGGTAGGACGACGAAGCGGATCAGATATTTATCATGATGATATTCATCACCATCGCTCAAGGAGCTTGATTCCATTATTATGCCACCCCGTACCACCAGATCTAACAAATCTAACAAATCTAAATCTACGATCTTGTCTTCTCTTCCTGTTGTTTCTACTCTTTTCCTCGTGTCTCAATCCCTGCCTATGAAAATCTTCGGCTTCCCCCACATGAAATAAAGCTTAAATCGAGGTGGTCGTGTGTGTACATAAGACTCGGCCATAACTTACATCTTTCATTGGATACAAGGCCTCGTCCTCTACGGTACACAGAACTAAGACAAAGCTATAGACTATTCTGTCACCATGTCGGACTCAAGCAGCAGTCGACGGACAAGTCGCAACTACGATACAGGCTTTCCGGATGCATTCGCTGAATATACCACTTCTCTGCGTCATCCAGAAGCAAACGTTAGTCCAGGGGCTTGTATTTCAGCCGAGGATATTGATCCGTCGAAAACACTACACCGGACGCATAGGTCCTTCCTAGCGAAGCATAAGCGTACCATCGCTCACGGTAGAATCGGTCAGAACACGAGCCAAAAACACTCGAACAGTTCGGTCGTGATCCTTCCCACAGCTGACAGTGCTGTTGACGTAGGTGACCTGAAACGTACAGGCACGAACGGAAGCATTGGACATTCATCTAAGGATGGGGCTGAGAGCATCGATCGCATGGAGGTATCTACTAACGGGGATAGCTCTCCGTCCTCCCCTACAGACGAACATGACCTCGCTGACGATGGGCGGCAAAGAAACAAGCTCTTCCGAAAATGGCGCGTTCAGAAGGACTAAGGGAATTGGGGCGGACGGTCGACGATAGACTGCGACAATTATTGAATCACGGGTAAAGAGTCGGTATCAGATCAGCTGTTAGGAGCCAGGGATATTAGGTAGGTAACTAGTAATTTGCGACTTGGGAGACTTGGGGGCTCGACGCCGAGGGGCTTGGTTCAAACTTTGGTTCTCAGCATGGAGTATGGTTCATGGCGGAGTTTGAAGGGTTTGATAAAATAATCAATTAGAAGAGAGTTTGGGAATAAGTACGACCTTGGCTGCATATCACCTAGGAGATGCCGGCAAGGTTGAAAATACCTAACATCCAGATTGCTTAAGCTACATGTAGTTATGTACCTAGGTACATTTCTGAATATGGTTTACGTCCTTTCAGAAGGTACCGTCACAATACATGTTTAATACATGTTTAATCTCTCTTTCCTCTTTCCTTCTTTTAAACACTACTGAATCCTATATTTATTTCTATGTTCACGTTCTCGTACAATCCTGCGGCGCATTCAGCAGTATCTCAACTTTTTTGTAAATCAATATCGTCTCGAATACGCCGAGTTTATTTACATCCAACTAGGTTAACTGTATCTTAAGCACGCCAGTATGACAGATTCATCCACGATTAACAATGATACGCCAGAATGTCCCAGCGACGCGGTATCTTTCCCGCTTCAGCATCTTCCTCCTGAATTGCGAGAGTTGGTCTGGGTGATGGCCGCCGAGCAGGCTGCAGACGCGTTCAGACACAAACATCCCGACTTCAACCGCTTCTAGTTCACTCGGCACAGGGCCCCCTATATTTGTTTCTCAGCGCACACGGTATATCGTCCAGGTAATCTCCATCCTTCCGTTGTACGGGACGTGCGAGATTTCTTCTGGCCGCTCTTCCTAACGAACACCGAGAGTCACGCAATCGTCAGCCGATATGTCTTGATGTTCCACCAACGAAGAAAAGCGCCCCAGCTCGCTCTCAATTTCGTCGATATATTCCCTCTAGAACCAGCTTTGCTTGACTACATCATCGAGTTCTCAAGACGATCGACTGAGTCACTAAGAATCAAAGCTGGCATAAAATCTAGTGTTCGATATCCCGGGGTGCTACAAACCGCTTTCGAGAGCCAGTTGGACGAAGTTACCACGGTCATGAACGTGTCGATTCGCGCTTCGATGTTCTTTAAACCCGAGACCAATCAAGCGCGTCTATTAATGCTGCTTCGATTTATAAACCTGAAGAGAGTGTACATCAATATGGGCGACAAGTGCTTCCACAATTAGAATAGCCTCCGTCACAACCAAATATGCGCATTCGTAATAATGAGCGAGTTCCGTAACGGCAAGCTCAGAATGAAGCACAACGACTTCGACAGCTTCTTCCAAGCGTACCGAGACCCGTGTGATAGGTCCGGCGCAAAATTCGGTGCTACGAAAGCATGGCAAGACGTGCAGGTATAGGAGCAGCAGGTCCTGCCCAATCTCCTCGAGGTGCTAGACGCATTAACTAAGAAAGACATCGAGTGCATCATCATCTACCCCCGCACTACGAAGGGCCCAGATCTCCTCCCAAGATTATAGTATCCTTGAAGGAAGTATCTGTTTGCTGAGGGGGCGTATCTTGGGACTGGAATAAGATATACGGACTGTATCACGTGGAGAACTTGTACGATGAGTGATGAGATCTTCTCTCGGGGTTCGTGGTGTTGAGAATTCTGCTTGTCCTCGTTTGATTGGCATGCTCTCTTTAGACATGCCAACTTGTGGTGGAATAGCACCCCAAACATTATAGGTAGATTACATCAGGTAGTCATGACCCTTAATGTTAATTAGTATCTTTAGGCGTATGGGATGATTCCCTTTAAAGCTGTGAAGGTAGACGGCTTCTACAGCTAGCTTAACAACACGATAAGAACGCTTCAGGAGCTTAGCGCTAAAGAAATAAACAAAAAGATGAATATTGCATGTGTCTTATCCATACAATAGCCTCTATGGAACCAAAGTCCTAAACCAGCCAGTCACTCTCCTTTTTCAACGATTCCTTCCAGCTCTCACCATCCAATCGCGAGAGCTGCTTAACGCTGTCGACGTCCTCGGCGCCAAAGTTGCCGTACAGATGCGGACATCCCTCAATCTCCCACGTCGTCGCGGAGTGAAACTTGGGGGCAAACCGGAGCTTAAGAACCCAGATAGACGTTGCCTCTTTGAAGAAGAGGTCTGCCGTTATGGGAATCTGGCAAGTGGTGTAAGCATGAAGTGCGGCGCGGTTATGGGGGGGATATGTACGATATATCTAATGTAGGTGGATGGCGCGCAAGGGAGAGGCGAGAGTCTGCGATCCCGTGTGCAGCTGAAGAGATACTTACTTGCGAACCGATACTCAAATGGACAAATCCATCTTTCTGGTCGAGCTCCGAGGGGGGATACTCGGATGGGATTGGCGATGGAGGTGCCGAAGGCACAATCTTGTATACGAATTCCGGTAGAGGCGATGGAGCCATTGCTAATATAATGAATTATAGACGATTCAGACGGGATGAGGCAAAAGTAAGACAATCTCCAACTTGCACTTCCATACTGAGGTATATAATTGAGCTTACTGTGGGTTCTGACAGCTGTCATACTTCTTACCACCTGTCAATATTCGTGATTTGTTAAGCGCCCGCTAGTAAAAAAAGGGGGGGATCAAAAGCTAGAGAGAGGTATACAATATAATATTGATGTTAGTATAATATACTGAACCGCCGCTTGCTGTTTGAAGAAGCTTGTTAGTAAAGTTGGTGTCTCCTACGCGAACGAATATACTCGTAGTAAGAAGTAGACCAAGACAAATTCAACCTAAGTATTACCAATACCCATTCGTTTTCATATTTTATTATATTGGTATATGCCTACGTATTTAGATATGCAGACTCGCATCAGCCTTGCTCTCTAAGTAGGGGCTTAGGATTTTATAGTCCTACTTCGCGTAACTAAGCTCCTCTCTCAGTCGTTTCTCCAATAAAGAGCTTGAGATCTCGCGTCAGGAGGAGTTGGCTAACTCTGCGTTATGTGATCATTACGCCGCCGTCCTATTATCATTCCTCCCAAATAGAAGCTTGCCCTGTTTAATCATACGTCTAGCTATGTATGGTTTCTAAATTCTAATAACATTGCTAGTTAATGTAAAACTTCAGTTTCTAGGAGTGGCTATTGATGGGTAAGGTTCCGCTGCGCTCATCCATCTCCCTCCCCAAATTGGATATCGCCCTCCCTAGGGGAAATCATTCTTATTGTGGCGGATAGGCCAAGAATGCCCGGGTGGCATAAAAGAGCTGACCCGTCGAAGAACGGAATCGATCGAACAGCATTTCTAGGGAACAGTCCCCAAAACATGGGACGAGCTCAGCAGCTGCTTTAAATGGTCCAGGTATCATTCCTGGTTGCCATGTTCACATTTCGCTAAGCCGAACTAATATTTTAACCTCATTTGTGTACTGTCGTATTTTCCCTATCCTTCTCTCCATCACTCTAAGTGGACAGGCATAATTAGTGAGTGTTTCATGTCCTAATAGGGCAGTACCGGCACCATGAGGTCTATCGACTCAGCCGTTTTTTCCATAATGACCAACCTAATTGTGGGAGTGTTGGCGGAAACTAGTGAGTTTCAAACATGCTATAGAATCGACGGTGCTGTTCTTCCGAATGCCGTCAGATGTGAAAACCCCGTGGATTATCTGCGAGAAGGGTGTACCGATTACTCGTGGAGTGATACAGCATGTTTTCAGGTCTGTCCGTGGTGTAAGTGTTGCCACGGCTCTTCATATGGGGTCATCCGAGTTAACATAGTGTTACGATTCCCCTCAAAGACGTATCAGCTACTACAGTTGAATCGGCGTCGCCCCCTACACTAGTCATTAGCACGGGCAGCGATATATCAACAGGGCTTCTTACAGGCGAAGCGACACGTACTGGGTCAATACCCCCGAGTCAATATACGAATGCCAGCGCAGGCCCTACAGAGAGCGGGAGTTCATCTACCAATGCCAACTTATCAACCGCACTAGGTGCAGCGGGATACCTTTGAAGGAGATTCCGACTTAAACGGAGAGGTGGAGTTAGTGGTTGGAATTAATCTCGCCATTTCAAACAACACTACCTCTTCGTGAAGGTACCTATCCTTTTAGGCCCGATACCTGTATGAGTGTGTTGACTCTGGGGTTCTAGAAATCTAGTATCTTGGAAATATTATACGACACAAATGAGTCACGAGTGGACGAGGAATTAATTTTACTGGTATATATTGATGGGCATCTACGCGACTCGATAATCTAGTACGGACGAGTTGTTTTCAGGGGCTGCACATGAATTAGGTACCTCTTAACGAAGTTGTAATGTAGAGAGGGGGGCAGGAGAGAATCCAGGATCCCTGTAATAAAAACGCAAGAGTGTTTGGCAGAGACTGCCTACCTACCTTTTAATGGCCAGTGTGAGTCAGAAGGAGCTGACTTTGCTATCGTGACATGTTGCTGCTTCCTGGTTTACGCTAAAAGACACAGTAGCACAGTACCTAGATTAAGTGGCTTGACTGGGAGGAGCGGTACAGAATGCGTCTGGCAGCTGCTCGTCACTGCCTGCTCAAGTGGGGTTGGTGACTACCTACCTAACCTAGGTGGTCATTGCTGCTCCCTAGCGTAGGAATTCTGCCACCGCTGACCGCCTCCGAGCACATATAAATAACTGGCTTCCCCTCCTCGCTTTAGGATTTTCCTTCTTTTCTTCTTTAGCTCTCTTTGCCTTTTGGCTTAGATCAAGTGTAGTATCTGTTCTTTTCAGTTTAATCTCTGAAAGAGTTCTACTTGAACTCAATCGTGATTATTCTTATTTTTGTATCGAGGGAGCGTATCCTCTGGGCTTGCCCATGATCGCACCCACCGTGTCCCTGGTATTACACTGCCTCCAGGCGACGCGAACACTTTTCGTTGCAATCTCTAGCTTGCCTAGGGTTGTGAGGAAGAGTTTTGATAGCAGTATTTATGCTGTGTTAGCAGCTCGTAGTAATTGTTCTGATGCCTGTATTGTAGAATTGATTGTAGCAATGAAATTTCGAACGCGACGAAGCTAGGTGGTGTTTTACGGCTTGCCTCATTCTGCGATGCTGTTCTAATGTTCTAATTTTTCGTAGCGTTGATGGTGAAATTGAAATACGCGTGAATGTTTGCTGTAATCTGTAAATCAAAGCAGTACATTTCCTAGTTTACTGGTCATTGAAATCGCGGCAGTCTACGTGCTACGTACATGTTTTCTCCATTTTGAAGTAAATACGCGATTTCAACGGCAGCGCTGTTTGGTGATCATCGAGGACGATTGATTGAATTGTAAAGCAAAGCAAGGACGGCAAGCATCATCGGGCTTTCCCGTTGTTTAGCCCTGCCCCTCATTGTCATAATAATCCCATTGAAAAACTTTTGACTCTTCACATTCTACCCAACGAACCTCAAAATGGCCGATAACGGTCCCTCTAATTTGATAGACCCGTCCATTTTCGAGTACCTCAAGGCTCATGGTGAGGAGGAGATCGAAGTTGGTGACAAGCTTCACCACATCACCTCTGCTCTCAATCGCCACATTTCAACCTGTCAAGGCTTTCTCAGCCGTATCCATTCGACCCCCGGCTCTAAGCGTGAGTACATATTAACATGATATACTATACACTTATGGTGGATTTCGTGCATCGCTGATACCTATTGTAGTGTTGCCTCTATTGAAGCAGGTTGAAGAGGATGGTATCAAGCCCGAGATCGAAAGCGTTGGCGAGCTAGCCCAGTTTGCGTCTAACTATCCTTACTACAAGTACTTCACCAGCCTTCTCTTTACACTGCTCAAATAGCTAACGAGAGAAAAGGTACAACCACAGGTGGTCCCGAAGCATCCAGAATGTTGTTGGTACCATCTTATTGACCGGCTGGCTGGGTGGTTTGGGGACCGAGTCACGCCCAGGCGAGCTTGGTCGTCTTCTGACTATCGAAGAGGTCGGGCAGCTTTTGAAAGGTATGTTTACTTCCTAACTGTCACACTGTCGCTGGTACTCATTCATCATATTCAGTACCCGTCAATCTCAAGGATAGAGATGCATTTCATATTACTATCGAGGAATACATCCTAGCCCTGACAGATATCACCGAGGAGCTCAGCCGGCTAGCTATGAACTCGGTAACAATGGGTGATATCGATCTGACGGTCAGAATCAGCAGCTTCATCAAGGACTTGTTTGCCGGCTTCCAGCTGCTCAACTTGAAGAACGATATCGTTCGAAAGCGAGTTGATGCCGTCAAGTACCACGTTAAGAAAGTTGAGGATGTTATCTACGATCTGTCACTTCGTAACTTGATCCCCAAGCATGACACCAGCTCTTGATTTGATGGCATGTCAACTTGAATTTCAACTTGAAGTAGTATATTCAAAATCAAATAACTGGCTACCTAGGTAAGGCATATTCATAGCAATACGAACCTTGCAATAGGCAATGTATTGATGTTTGATAATGGCTAGAGTTACGTGAGACTTCATAATAATTACCAAGTAACTAACACAATTCCCCTTATTTTATGGACCCGCACATTCGCACATTCGCATATTCGCATATCGACCATAACCTTAAAGTCCATACGAAGTACCTACACCTCATAATTGCGATAAGCAACGTTATCCATTACAGTTACACGTGACTGTAACAAAGTCCGTGCGTCAACCGTTTGGAAGGTAGCATCAATTTAGAAGCGCGACTTGACTGAAGTTAACTGTGCCGTTTAATTGTATATAAATATAATCAATAAACATCACATTTCTTTCATCCGATGATATATCACACCTAACTAAATCCATTATGCCTTCATCGGATTCAGTCGCCATCTCACCACCAGCTCAAAAAGCTAAGGTTGGTGAGATCTCCAAGGACAAGGATAAAGATGCTCAGACGCAACCTGTTCAGATCATAGCATCCTTGGAGGCTCAATTTGTTAGACACCTCCAGCCAGCCCTGCTCCTCTCCTTGCTCCTCGTCCGCTTCAAAGCTCTAGTGGCTGATCCGGTATCAGCCATGTCAAGCTCTCTTCCCGTGGTTGTAGCCATACAAGTCACATACGCCGTTGTGTGTCTGCCCGCTGTAGGCTCTCATGTTGCAAAGCCAGTTAAGAAGGCTCGACCCGGAGAGAAGAAGAAGGCTGGATTGGAGAGCACGGGACCAAACATAGCGGTTGTATGTTCTCCTTCTCCGTGAATGCTTCGTTTATAAGCTGACAATGTTCTTAGACAACACTTGTCGCCCTCATACTGTCAGCCATAGCAAGTGTGGCATTGCATGTTGTCCTTGTTCTCTTTGGTGCCCCTTTCTTAACCCACATCGAGAATACGTTCTTATGCTCGACGCATCTGTCCGTCTTAGGTCTTTTCCCATTGTTCTACACACGTGGTGTGTCGAGCAACGACTGGCATGAGATCCTGAGTGCCAGTGCCCCGTTCGACGAGGCTTTTGGGGGCCTCATCGGCGCCTGTGTAGGAGCTTGGCTCGGCGCCGTTCCTATTCCTCTGGACTGGGACCGGGAGTGGCAGAAGTGGCCTGTGACCATAGTTTGTGGGATTTATGCGGGCTACTTGGTTGGGAAGTTACTAGGAGGTACTGTGGCCCTCGCAAAGAGGCTTTCTTGACATCAGACTGGCAGAGCTTGTAGGCGGACTGTGTGCTCCACGGCAAGTATACATCGTCACCTGTACCATTGCCTCTAAGGGCTCGGCATCAATATTTCGTGGGGATTACTTAGTTTCCACCCAATCAACTAAATTCTAATCAGTACTGATCCTGAGGCTTTACTTTGTTCATCTCTACTACGTCTCCTTTACTTGATCTCACTCTGACTTACCCTTACTCTACCAATCCTATAACCTATATCCCATTAATGATATCCACCCCGAACCCTATACCCTGATATGAATTCACTTGGCGTAGTGCCCCTGCCGACTGCCTCACAGAACGTACCGGCAGAGTTCAAGATGGCCGAATCATGGGATGTCGAGAAGAAGCTTGCTGTCGCAATGGCCGTAATAACGGTCATAGCGAGGAACAACCGCAGAGACTTGCCCGCGATCCAGGTTGATTGGCAGGAGGTGGCGGATGTGGTAAACAAGGCCAAAGGCTATGGCCTCACCGCGGACGCCATAGGGTAAGTCACCTATACTTCTATACTAGTACCAATTCGTAATTACATTCTCTATCTCCAAGGGACTCCATCGCTAACTCCTTTTTTTTTTTTTTTTATATATAGTGATCATTTCATGAATGTCGTGTACAGCGGTTTCTTGGAGGAGGTTGGCCCCGAGCTTACCGGCCCGCCGGTTATCCCTCCTGGCCCTTATCTTCGTCCCCCCCATTCCAACCACTGGGGTTGGAAAAGCTTCATGGGTTCCCCACAACTACGGCTGCTTGTCTATCCTTATCCTCAGCCTCTGCCTCAAACCCGAGCTTTGACTACAAAGGGTATTGGCAAAAAAGGGAAGGATAAGAGTCCTACCAAGACCAAGGCCGTACAGAAACGCAAGGCCGCTGACGAGCCGGGCGGCTCGGGCGCTGTCGTGAAGAAAGCCCTACGAAACGACGATGGCGACGATGATGGCGCTGTTGCTGCTGGTGGCTTAGAGAGCTCACGTTCTTAGACCACTTGCTTAGTTCGAATTAAGAACGTTAGCCGGTCCTGCACTCGACGAGGAGGAAACCAGGCTGGTTAAGCTTTGCGTTCTTGTCATTAGGCTTGGTGGATTAAAGAGGACATTAGTTGCAGCAGTAGAAGATGTTGCGGTTCTAGCGGGAGAAAGAGTTTGTCATGATTCCTTTTTTCCCCTTCGCATTCACGATCAAGATACCCATATACGTAGGTACGCAGATAGTCAGTCAGTAGACTGATTTAAGGCTTCTATTCCGCAAACTTAGTATTTTCTCACGTATATTCCTATATATTTTTCCAAGTATAATGCGTAAACCACCCCTAAGTCGTTCATCTAGCCCGTTACACATCCGGCGCCGAGTGTAGGAAACCACTATATCTCCAAGAAACATGTTGCGTGAAAGGTCATCGCTATAAGGCGCTATTTATGTAAATGTCCATGTTCCTTATGATATTCCTCATCTCTGGCCATCCTAAAAATAAGTCTTCCTGTATATATCTCGAAGTCACCGAGTCGCATCGACTTGAATAACAGCAAAGCACCATTCTCATTATAAGAAAGTAGAATATACAGGCAGTTGGTATCTCTTAGTATAATCATATTGGCTACAAAACTTCGGCTTAGGGGTAACACTCACTATACGACGTGGTTGTGTTCAACAGAAACTGTGTGATAATGTTGGCTACAACTTTCGCATATCTCTAACAGCCTATAGACTATCGACTCTAGTATTATGCCAAGTTATAATATGACCCGTCAATATTTCATCATCGAAAGTAAGAGTATATGTACATTCCGCCTAGAATGTGCCCCCTAGTTTGACATATTAGCAACGGACATTTTTGAGAAGAGGGTAAACAGACAATTCTATTATACATCTTGTTAATAAGACAAGATCACTATATTCTTCAACCAACACACTCCCCCTTCCTATCTCTATCCCAAGTCCCCACCCCACGTCTTACGAAACTCTGCCATTAACCCCAAGGGATACGTAGGATAACCCAGTCCAAAGTCGAACTCAGGCTCACCCCCCATTAACTACCTAACTACCATATCTAAACATACTGACGTATATCGCCAGCCCTATCTCAAATATCTATATATCTATCTTTCATCCCCTCTTCCTGCCATTACCGTCTATACATAACCCAACGAAGCGACTCCTAAATACGAACGCGTAGAAGTAGAGCTGATACCCATTACTTACTTCCCCAACGCCTTCGGCACCTGTGTCCACGGCAACCCGTGTTTGAAGAGGTAAATATTCACGACGATCAACATGCCGAGTATATACCGCGTCCACTCGAAAACGCGCCATGCGCGCGCAGACAGAGGCACACCAGACGGCCTCCTACTAACCGCCGCGCCCTCATTTTTCACCTTCTCCTCCTCCGCGACGCGTTTAGCCACCTCAAGGAATAACTTAGGGTCGTCCGTAACCACGCCGTTGAGCCCGTTGCGCACACACCACTCCATACGGTCCTCATCATTCACGGTCCAGGAATGCAGCGGGTGTCCCGCCTCCTTCACCTCCCGGATGAAGCGCGCGCCGACAACCGGTAGCGCCAGGGAGTGGTATAACATACTAATCGACAGACTAGGCTCGTGCTTTGCCAGAGCCCGAGCATATGTGGTTGAGAAGCCTACGTGCGCGAGCGGATATTTAGGTAGGAATTCCTTGCTTAGCTTTACGTGTTCCGCCTATCTACGGTTTAGCACCAGGCCGGAGTGCGATTCTAGGAATGGATGAATGAATGGAGGATATGTAGGTAGGTAGGTAAGTATGCTTACAGTCCAGCAGCAGGGGAGCACCCTCTCGTGCCACGGCCGAATCCCCGGCACCGAATCCAGTGTTTCCGCCGTTCGCCGGATGATCGTGGCTGGGTCGTCGTCTCTCTACGAATTCTATAATCAGACAATAACTTTACATTTGCGCTACAATTGTAGTAATTATACACGAGAACCGAGTTTATTTACCTTGATGTCAAGCATGATCCAAATGTGCTGCAGCTCGGGCTGATTCAGATACTCCAGCAGCTCGACGAGCTGAGGCATAGGCTGCGGGGGCTCGCGCACCGTGCGCAATTTGCTCAAGGAACTCCAGTCGTGGTCCTTGACTTTGGAGTCGTCGCCGTAGCAGCGCTTAAGCTTAGGGTCGTGCATCAAGACGACAACGCCGTCCTTGGACAAATGCAGGTCGGTCTCGATAGCATGCGCGCCGGCCTCGACAGCGGCGCGGAACGCCAGCATCGTGTTTTCGGGAAACAGAGCCTTGTAGCCTCGGTGGGCTATGGCCTGCGGCGGACGGCGTGGTTCGGAGGTAGCATCGCGGGACCGGGGTGCGGGAATACCTGCTGCTTGTCGGGCACGGGAACCGTTAGCAAAGCCTTGGTTATGGGTCGGGGTTCTTGGCGAACCCGGGGTATATTCGGTATCCTCCCTTTAGGATAAAACATACCCGGCGTCTCGTTCTCAACGACGTGGCCGTCACGCTTTAACAACGGGGTCTGCTCATTAGACATGGTAGCAGCTGGCTTGACGTTCTTCCTAGCCATTGGCTGTTCGGAGACCAGTTGAAGGTGAAGATGGCTAAACCTATATGATATATCTAGGTCTAAACGTATTTGCTCGTTTGCCAAGGAAGGGAAAGCAAAGAATATGCAATCAACGGCTGGCGTCTACTATGTAAGTCTCTTTCTCTCAGGTGGGTTACAGTCACACCGTCGGAGGGCGGGGCAAGACTTCCGCTCAATCCGAGCAAACGCCAGTATGCGGCACGGATGTGGGATGGGATGTGATGTGAAGGGATTGTATTGTCTAATACCTAATACGGCACTTCGCACTTCGCAGGTAGCCGCAGATTACGGGTTTAGCTTATCTAAAAAAGCTTCTAAATCCCGAATCCCCGTTTCTAAAGTCGGTAATCCGTATCTCCTACCGTACCGTAGCAACGGCTTTTACGTTACGTACTTCTATGTAGGTACCGGTGTATCCGTACCTACATCCAACCAGCCTGAATACACTGTATACCTATATGATACAAACATTATCATCACATGCCACATGCAAAAGACACAAATACTTCCCATCTTTCTTTTTCTCTTCTTCCTAATCAACTTAACTCGTGGGGCCGACCTGCTCCGTCGCACCCCGTATATATATATATAAATACCTAACTAGCTTTTACAATAAGCGTGGGAAGATACATAGAAAAAAAGGTGGCATATGTAGACAGGTGAGTATATCAACAGACCAAATATAGACCAATATAGACCAATATATCCCATAGGCACGAGCTCCAACCATAGATAACCCAAATGCCGCATATAAAACAACGCCAAAAGCGTTCTGATCGCCTTGAACACCTGGAAGTCATTGTCCCGCCGTCGCGTGGTTCTCACGACCACGCGACTCGTAACCAATCCCGCCATATAAATTTGTCCCTTCTCTTCTCTTCTATATCGACGCCACGTACCAAGGAAACGGATCTTACAGATCGTGGATAACAGAATCCTCGCCGGCTACCCCGCCTCCGATATTTGACATGCTCGTGTCATCTCGCGAGAAATTACATCCCTAAATTCAACTCAAGACCGTCCAGAACTAGGTTATTGTCGTGACTCGTCCGCGGCGGCGGCATTAACCCGCCTTGGTAGTCCTCGCTCCCCATCCTGAGGTACATCTCGCTCGATGCGAGATCATCCCCGGAGCTGAGACTGTCATCACTGATGCTGAGTACGCTCTGAGGTGCCCCCGGATTAGTCGTTAGTTCGCCAATATTGAAGCCAGAAAGGTCCCACGACTCTGGAGACCATTCGCCCATAGTACCTGCACTGGTTGGTGTCTCCGTAAGTGACAAGGCTGGTCCTCCGTATATCGCGTCGTATACATTGATCTGGCCTCCGTCCATTGCGCCGAGCAATGCTTCCCACTCTGATATCGATACACCACCACTTGAGCCGCCCTTATTAGCTACTTGATTTGGGTTATATGGCTGGGGGCGTTGATGTTGGCTATGAGCCAACGACTGCGAGGGATTTCGAGTTTGATTCGGCGGCGAAGACTGCTGCGTCTCAGTTTGCGCATCGTTGAGTGAGAGGTAATCTAGATTTCGCTGTTTAGATCTGTGACCCGGCGACATACGCATCATCGTTTGCTGAATTTGGGATATCGAGAATCGGTGATCGCGCCGGGGCATTGCCTGTTCTGCACTCATATCAAGTGATGCACGTGATTGCGTGCGATGTATTTCTTGCCGGGTAGTTTGAGTATTAGGTATGGCTATACGGCGTAGTTTTTCTTGCTGAGATAACAGGTCCGTCTCGCTCATAGCCGCGCCGGCAAGTCGGCCGGCACTGTAAGGCGATTTCTTCCTCGAGACATTCAATAACGGGGATGTCCTTGATGGGGGAGCAGCCATGGCCGTATCAGGACTGGTCCGCATTGACGTGGATTGAGATGGTACATCGATAGTGACAAGCGTTGATGCGACTCGTTTCAGGTCGTAAGAGCCGGGAGCTTTCGTTTTAAGTAGCATCTTGAGAACGCTGTTGACAAGTCGTTCAACATCTTTCATAATCTTGCTCTCGTGTTTCAATTCCAAGCTTTGGTAAAGTAAGCTCGTCCCACACAGAACAAGAACGTCTGTCTTATTTAGGCAGAACGTGAATGACATACTTCGCTCCTCTAAGAGTTCAATGATCTGCACGATGTGCTTGCTGGACTCTCCGACCGTGATAAGAGCTGACGCAGCCTTGACTCCCAAGGTAGAGCCCACTGCAGGGCGATGAATAAGTCCCCGGACATAGTAGTATGCCAATGCCTATCAAGATCAGCCTTTACTTCATTAACTAGCACATATTTTCATCCACATACCAGAATTGGGGATCTACTCCCAGTGATATCTGTTGATGGTTTGTCTTGGGCAAAGTTTAGCCTGAGGTGAGCAGGCAGGTTCTCATACCAATCTGAGAGATCTGCGTCCAGCGCTGAAATTTGTTGTAACGATAATTCGTAAGATGTAGCGGCCGGGTATATCTTTTCAAGCACATTTGCAAGAATTCGGGAAACTCTGAATAACGCTAAAGCACTAGATAGCCTCGTATATTCTCCTGGTAGAGTGGGTTGAAAACCCTTCTCCGTAACGTATTCATCGTCGGTATCTGACGGATACTCGGCGTGGATGTCATCTTCCTTCAGCAACTTGGGAAGGCCAAGCATAGCAGCAGAAAAGCTAGGGGGCTATTAGTCAACCGCCAAGCGATATCGGATAGATAACGACTTACCAATCGAGTGTATACAACGTCCAGAAGACTTTCTTTCGTGTCTCAATCGTAAGAGCGCCGAATGAGAATCTTTTCTGGCTTTGATGTAACCCCAATCTATGGGATAGACCAACCGCAACACCTTTGTAGTGCTGCAACCGCTTGTAATCGGCTCTGATAGTGCAATAGATCAGAGCCAATACTAGACACTGCAGTGTAATCATCGTGTTATCCATGATGATTGCGTCAAGGGCCTTTTGCCACTGGGCTTCGCAGGCGGTTATCTGCTCCATATCTGGTGCGTCACTTGAAAGAGCGGCGATACTGAAGACGAGGTAAAGCTGGGCGAGCTTATGGTTGTTTTTCACCTTCTCCGAGTCGGCAACAAATTCTTCGTATAACCGGAGAAATGTCGGTTTGTGAAGCACAGGAAAGAGTGGCGCCCATTCCTGGAAATAAACATTTACACATCTATCCGAAAATAGGCGAGGTGGTACTCTCATCGACTGAGGGGGCTGTTTAGCAACCAGAGGGTAGCATCCTTGGATGTGAAGGAAAGCCTCAGGGTTGAAGTCAGAACATGGCTTTCCGTTCTCCTGAAGCTTGCGCTTGAAAGATTCTAGAAATATAGTTAGATAGATATTTCTCATTAGCACGAGGTAGATGATACGCTTACCAATAAAACCACGCCCGCTCGATGGCCCCATGAAATATGAGTCCGAATTCTCGACACCAAGTAATAATGGAGAGGCCTGCACACGGAAAGTATCTTCTTTTGGTGGCGAGTTAGGATCCCTTCTCTGTTCCGTCATTCTCGGGCTTCCGGCGGCTCCCATAGATGGTTGGCGATGATCATGCATTCTCGACAGCATATCGATCTTTTCGTCTTTCTCATCCAACAAATCCTTCAGTTCCCTCACTTCGGATTCCAACTGCCTCACTCGTTCTTCAAGCGATTCTGTATAACCTCGAGGAAATGCACGCCGACTGAGTTTGTCACTAGTGCGACATTCGAATCCGACATTGGCGCATTGCGAGCAACAGGGACGGATACCATCGCAACGGATCTTCTTACTTCGGCACCTATTATCGTCTTAGTAAGAGATATCAGAGAATAACTACCGGAATATCCTCTTCCGCTTCACATACCTATCACAGGCTTGGGCGATGCGGCTCTGTGAGCTGGTGCCCACCTTAATCACCTTCATAGGTAGAATTCCAGGCATTTTGACGGTGAATTTATTTTGTTACAAGGCGATCCCGTCGATAGAATGTGTTCGCGTCAAATCCAGCACCCAGTTCCCCATTCCATGGATATCGGTATCGGTATCGGTCGGTCTCTCGTTAACGCCGATTGCGTAAGTCAGCAATTTACCAGGAATCGCGAAAATTGCTCATCTCTTGCTGCCTAGCCACGTGCAAGCCCAGGGGAGGCCGTGTCGTAATGAAACCCGCTTGGACGCAAACTTGCTATGACCTAGTGTTCGTCGGTAGTATAGGTTGGCGCGTGGTAGATATATTCGTCGGTAGGAGGAATAGGCGGAGAGATATGGAAAAGTAAGAAAAGCAAAAGGTGACAGGATTGAGGATGCGTGGGGACAGGAATATTAGTGGAGGGAAGGGCAAGAAACGGAAGCACCAATGCCCGCTACTCCAGATGGATTTTAGAGATCGGCGGGGTACTGTACTAAATTGGCGTGCGCTAATGAATCTGGGGGACGAGGGGAAACGCTTTTTTAGGGCAGGAAAGGGAGGAAAGTAAGTACAAGTTGAACAGGTGTTGCAGCATCCAATAGCTAAAAACTATTAGATCAGGTTTTTATGCCCGATAATCTTTAGCTCGAGAGGCTAGAACGGTATAGTAGTAGAATGATGAATAAGAGGGAAAGAACCGGGAGTATGGTTACCTATTAACCCGAGAGGAGATTAAGTAATGTGGTAACAATTAAGGAGAATAGAGAATAGGCAGGTAGGTACCTAGTTAGTTAATAAGAGTCACTTATGCTAACTACCTGTTATAAGTTGAAAGTGGCAACTTGAAAGTTCTATTTTATGATAAGTACCACCTACATACCTACATATATATAATATGTCACGACTGATCACGAGTTGCCATTTCGTTCCGGCTAGAACAAAAGTTGTCTGAATGCCGAAATCGAAAGGAACCTGGGTGCATAGATGTGTTAGCTAGAGCAGGCATCCCCGGCTTACTGACATGATTATGTATGTAAAGACAAAACGTTGAGAGACTTAACTTCCAACCTACATCATCCTTCACTCCAACGTGCCTTTCCCATCCTAGCATTGGTGCACTAGCCATGCAAGAAAGGTCCATCACGCACGTAACTATGAAAGGCCCAAAGTAATGAAGCAACAATGGTTGGCTAGAGATGCCAATATTGGTGTGGATACCACAACTGCATGCATTAGGACGCTAAAGGGCTCGTGAACTTTCCATTCTTTATTCCTAAGTCCCTAAAAAAGCCCCTAAGACAGTCTAGTCCATGATGTTCTCGACTCCAGGGCTTGGCACGCCATGGCCAAACAACGAAACAATGACACCACTTGTGCCACCATCGTAGTTAGCTCCCCGAGTTCAAAGAGGCACAGCAAGGCCAATGCTTCTGGGATTCCGAAATATCAGCCATCCCCATTCCCTTTTATCTGGGGAATTACCCCAGGTTTCTATGTTCCCCAGATACGCGAGGCCGCTTCACACATGGCGACGGTCCACCTGCTCCTAGCCTACGTATGTATATGTAATAAGTACGTATAACAAATGTGTAGGTATACACCAAGCAGTAGGCAGTTTCGGTGTGTTATTGTACCTAAGATATGAAATACCTACCTAAATTGTGGATGGCCGCAAATCATAGACTTATCCTTGGGTACCTAAGTTACTCCAAAATACAGATGCAAAATACTGCCCTATCCAACTAGTCAATAGTTGATACATATATGTATGTACCTAGGTAGATATGGTAGGCTCTGTTGTGGGCTGTTCACGAGCGAGGTGCAACTGTCTATATGTAGAACCCGCATATTCCCGTAGCTATAGGCCGGCGCCGTTCAGTACCGAGGTACTTACATAGATATATCCCACGTTTTCGAGTCCTACCACGCCATCCCCGTCGCACTGCTCGATCGCTGCAGCTCTCGGAATGGTCGTGACCGCCGCCAAGACACCCTCCCTGCGCCAACCGACGAGTTCCTATATCCTACCTATATGCAGTGCGACACTTGAAGTAGACGCTGATGTACCAGAGCTACGCTGCAAAGGTTAATAACCCGGTTAGTTAGCGACTCTTAGTATTATCTCTGGGAGTCGAGACAACGTAAGGAGTGTAACACTAAAGCTAGATGGTACTTGGTGACTACTTACTACATGTAGGGTATAGTAGAAACCCCTTTAGTCATTGACTATACGTTAGAGGCATCATACTAACCTCTATCTACCATAGTAACCATTCGATCTCTACCGGCTTACTAAATCAGCTTCGAAATTCTCGGCCCGTTACTCTGAAGTAGAGGAGTGCCTAACCTAGTATTGGGAAAATTAACGATTCGTCTTCCTACTTAATAGCCGTGATCTCCCAGCAATATCTTGATAGAGCTAACGGAGGCTTATTAAATCGGCCTTTCTATCCAGAATGCGCGACTCAGTCTATGCTTGCCCCCGCAGAACAAACGATCGGCAAACATATAAGCCAAAGACCTTGTTTTTTCCACAGGAACTTCATCTATCAGGATTTCTGATACAGTTACAATCTAAATTCTAAATGGAATTGTGAAAGAATCTGCATTCTGTCGATCTAAAGCCGCTCTAAGATGAGCGAAATTCGAACCCGGCCATTAAAGGGGCCATCAAGGCATCCCAACCCCATGCTCATGATCGGTTTGAACGCAGTGATAGGCGTGAAAGGACAGGCGATAAATTTTCATCCAAATAACTCTCTAACATACGGCCCGTTTTAGGAGTTCATCTTCAAGGAAACAACTCTTTTCTACATGGGGATGCCACATGGAGGGTGTCTCGTGCGGCTGTAGTAGAGCCACCACCGGTTAAAAGCACCTACGTCGTGGATAAATCGGCAAGGGAGATCATGGTACAGAGTGCTGGGCCTTTTCATGTAAGGAACAGGACTCGTATGCGGATATAATTGCTTGTATAAAGGGAGTACCGACCGTATGCAACTTGGGATTGGCTCAGGGTTCTCGGACCGAATTATAAGCCCAAAGGGTCCTCTACGTCCGCTAGTCACACTTCGTATATTGCTTCTTATCATTATACAGTTGATCAACGGTAAGTAAGTTCACCTTTGAACTTCTTATGATGCCCAACGGTCCTTAGATATGAACGGATTGATCACGTCAACCATCTTGTTCTTGATTCTCTAACGAGGTAGCTAGCTCATCAAAAGTGCTAGTCCCATGATGTCATGCCACATCTGCAAGAAGCTGCTTAGGTCTGTAGCAATTAAGCTGCATCCTAATCTTACCATGCAAATACATTAAATACGCTGCCAATGTGGGCCGTACCATGTCTGCAAGAATAATCTATTGACTGCCGTATAATCCGAAGCAGCAGGGACGGGGACGGCATTCGGAGACGTGCATTAGCTAAAGTCCTCCTCTTCGTCAGCGGCGGTGTCGGCATCAGGGTCATTTTGACCAGATCCCATCATCGTTAAGTATTCGACCACTGTGTCATCCTGGAGGAGGTGGTCCCTCTATAAATGGATTAGCAAATTATCATAATCATTGTGGGTTAGGTAATTCCATCTCCTAAGGGTTAGGTTGATAAAATTTGGAAATACACGTTGAGCCCAAGATCACCCCTGAGTAGGCACCTAGGCAAACTGCGGAGTTTAATCTTACCTGCTCATCCAAAACCTGTATACTCTTTTGGAGGATACTAGTCTCGAGTGACCTCAACTGCGAAATGGCTTGGTAGACTTCTGTGCTTGCCAGTTCTACCACGGAGTCTTCATTTTGAGTGCTGATAAGTTGTTCAAGTTGCTGTTGAACAATGCCCATGATAACAGTTACAGCCCGGAGTTCAAATATTTGGTGTAATTCGTGATCGCTAATGAGGTATTTCATAGTATTTGATACATCTGTAATATCAGTATCTTGCCAGAATATTTTTAAATGGCGGGAGCCGTCCGTCTCTTGTAAGACTCTGAACCGCAGCCCATCTGTAAGTTTAGTAGTTAATATTAACGTATTGAGATCATGAAAAATGGAAAAAATTCCTAGATGGCTTAACTATGCTAATAACAGTAGTCATCTCGCTCGCTAGAATAGCAATAAATAAGATATTAGAAGACTAGAGACCCTCACCTTCTTCATTCAAGCACATGAGATACACAAAAGGGGCAATCCAGTGCGGAACACCACTTTCGTCTTCTTCTAACTTTAATTTCGGCGGTGTACCGAAAGCATGAAGCTTTGGTACCGCAAGCGGGTCATCCTCTAATGGTTCCAGTAGTAGCGTTATACTCCTAGCGGCCGAATTCGGGTCGATGAAGCCATAGCTGAATAGCATTTCTGCTGGCGACTTCTCATGTCCATAATCGATAGTAATTTCGCTACCAGCAGGTACTAGACACCCCTTATGTAGATAAAGAACCACTTCACCCTCACTATTCTCATCAAAATAAGCAGTGGCTTGAGTAGAATGGTTGGCTAAATCGAGGCAAGGCACCATCGATTCTCCAGATTTAGGTAAGCCTAGAGAGCGGGACCGGTACAGGGCATCAAGAAGGATCCAGTCTCGGATGGTGATAGGTTCGTCGATCGAGAGGATTTCATTCCAATACGGCAGGGTGGCCAGATTTTCGCGGAGATCATCGAACTCCTTAGTTAGTACGGTCAGTTTAGCGGCCACCGCTGACTATCTAAACGTGTCAACTTGTACTTAAGTATTAGATACTTTTAGGTAAGTTATCAAGTCCCATTAGCAGCTTACCTCTAGTGAAGTACCTTTCAAGTAGGAAATCTCTAGCTCAGTCCACGTCGTAGGAGTTGGCACATATGACGGTAGGAAACTGAAATATTGAGTCCAAGGCGTTGATGGTCCTAGGCCACCTTGATAGTCGGGGGAAGATAACACTAGTTGATATAAGAGAAATAGTAATATATCTCCTCTAGCTGACTGTATTATGCTTAGTATAGTTGCCTATATAATTACACCGTCTTCAAAGCTAGGTGTATACTAACGTGGTGACCTGCTATATCCAGAAGCTGTCGGAAATATTTATTCTCCTTAGCATGCTCCTCTACACCTTCAGCTGAAAGAACAAGCTCCTTTGGGATTGTCAGAAGCGTTAAGGGTTCCGATTCACCCTCTTGACTGATTAGGTCTTTCTTAGCTACAAGGCCATTACCTCGGCCCTCGATATTAGCAACTGCAACATCAAGAAAATTAACGCCGTTTAAAGTAGACCAGGCAGGGAGGTCATTTAACGAAAAGTGACCTCGTCGCATTCTGAATGTTGAGGGCGTGGATATCTAAAGAGAATTAACGTTGTGTACGGTATTTTAGTTTGTATTTTGTAGGGATTGAAACTTACGATGAGTGAATGAGTACCTAACCTAACCTAGACGGCCCAGGAAATCAAGCTACCTAATGACGCAATGTAACTCCCGAGCAAGCTTGCGGCTGGTTGCCCCTATCTTATATAGCACTTATAGGTACATGTACCCTTTTATAGCGCGTATTTAAGTACATAACCTGAGGCGGGTACCTACCTACCTCCTAGGTAAAATACAGCTGTAAGCTACCTATATACATGCACGGCGCCGTTGCAGCGGGTCTCACCCCTCCGAAACTTTATCTGAATTTTTTTTGAGACTCGGGCAACGGGCGCAAATCACCCCACACCTTGACCTCGACCTCGTCCTTGCACCCCCCGCCTAAGTGCCATAATCCGTCTTATTGAGAACCCCAAGAAGCGCGAAATGCCGCGGGATCCCTTAATCGGCCTTGTAGGCAAGCCTTCTGCTGGCAAGAGCACGACTCTAAACAGCTTAACCGATGCGACGTCTAAAGTTGGTGGGTCGAACCTATCCAACAAATATATTGTGTTCTTTTATTCATCATCGACCCGAATTTCGGCGCTGATATTTGCGATGCCACATAGGAAACTATCCGTACGCCTGTCCCCTGTGTATAGCATCTGCCTATGCATCAGCCTAGAAGACGAGAGAGATATATGTATTCGCAGCAATGTTCATTCGCTCTTCAACTAACGATGCAATTTTTTATTATTTAGTTTCACAACGATTGACCCTCAACGAGCCATCGGTTATCTCCAAATAACATGCGCCTGCGAGCGCTTCGGTGTACAGGATAAATGCAAGCCTAACTATGGATCTTGTGTTGATGGCCGCCGTTCCGTGCCGATAGAGCTTCTTGACGTAGCTGGACTTGTTCCCGGCGCACACCAGGGCAGAGGTCTAGGTAATAAGTTTCTAGACGACCTCCGACATGCGGATGCTCTAATCCATGTCGTGGATGCTAGCGGGAGGACGAATGCCGAGGGTGAAAATACACGAGGATACGACCCCTCTCAGGATATAGCCTGGTTACGTGGTGAGATCGTCGCCTGGATTAAAGGGAATCTGTGGGAGAAATGGGGTTCCATCAAGAGGCGACATGTTGCTATCAAGGCTACTGCTGTTGAGACCCTTCAAGGACAGTTCTCAGGCTACGGAAGTACGGCTACCGTAGTAGCACGCACTCTAGACCGTCTTAACCTGAAAGAGCCGCTGGAGCACTGGACCGAGGAGACGGTGGATCGTGTTGTCGGCGCATTTACTGATGAGAAGTTCCCGACGGTGATCGCGCTAAACAAAATCGACGACTCTGATGCTTACACAAATCTTATGAAGATCACTAAGATGCAGGATCCTAATATGGTGGTCGCATGTTCGGCGAAGGCCGAGCTATTCCTACGAAAAATGGCTAAGCAGGGTTATATAAGGTATACGGAGGGAACTGAGTTTGTGGACACACGCGAAGATCTGATAGCAGACGGCGACCCGGACGGCGGGGGATTAAAGGAGTTGGATGAAAAGAATAAGAACACCATCGAGGAATATAGAGATATGATCTTGTTCCGATATGGGTCTACTGGCGTCGTCCAGGTTCTTTCAAAGGCGGCCGAAATACTCGGTCTCGTACCCGTCTTCCCCGTACGAAACGTGTCGACTTTCAGCTCCGGTTCGGACACGAAGGTCGCATTCAGGGATTGCGTCCTCGTGAAAAAGAATTCAACTGTGGGCGACGTCGCGAGGAAAGTTATGGGAGATGCGCCGATTGCCTACGTAGAAGGGGTGGGAGGCGTTCGAGTCTCGGAAGACGCTGTCGTGACCGCAGGTAAAAACGATGTAAGTATCCGTCCAATCATACAGCAGAATCGTGCTTACAATGGCTTTTAGGTCTTATCGTTTAAGATAGGTCGAGCGTAATAAATAAAGTCACTTGAAAGTCACTTGATTGAATAATCTATTTCTTCTGATATAGTGCTTATACAGAAGACAAAACTGGGCTTTAGTTAAGTGAAGTTATTTATATGCTATATTATTACATGATGCTGCCGTCATTTACAACTTACTAAGTGGCCGCTCAAAAAGGTTATATTGCTGACATGTTAAGCGCGGAGTATCTCGTAGACTCAAACTCCTTATGTTATCATCCCATATTTCAAATCCGTGGAGATGCTAGATATATTCTTTTTTTTTTTTTTTTACCATATTCAGCTGCAGCGATATAACTCCAATTTTTATCTTACAACATTCAATAATAAATGCCTACGATATGAAGAACATGCATTATGTTTGGAATACCTCGGCGCAAATAAAATGGACAAATTGTTAGGGGGTATCGAGATTCATAATCATTAATGCTGGTGGGGGTCTAAAAGTCATCATGAATACATAGAATAAGCAATCAATGCTCAGTTGAGCCGTATCCTCGGCCCATCCCCCCCCTCTCCTCCAAACCGTCCTTCCTGCAAACCATCGCGGTTTTGATTAAGAGTAAAAGAAACAGAGATATTTGAGTCGTCGAAATTATGAGGCGAGCTGAAATGCTGGAACGTGGTTGCATGGACAAGAAGTCGAGTGACGTCTGTCAGAGCCAAGAACCGGTGTCATGTCATGCGATGCATCCCCGCCACTATGTAGCTTGGAAAGACAGAGAGCAATGGCTGGATCCACGGAAACGCCTCCGGGAAATCACGAACCCCTGCGTTGCCACGCGATTGGTCTAACCCTTCAGATATCGTCATTGGTTGAATCGTGCTATGCTGTCGCTGCATTACGAAAAATTAAGGAAAGCCGCAGACCACTCGAGCGTCTTAATATTTCAGAATAATGTACCTGCAGGGAGAATATGTTAGTGTACCGTTCAATCTATCGTCTACCCGAAAAGAAGGTGTATCGGGAACTTACAGCGCGTGTATGATACCCGGGATGTAACCTAGAATGGTGAGCAGGACGTTGATGCAGAAGTCGGCACCACATCCTCGCTCTAAGAAGACACCTAGAGGCGGTAGGAGGATGGCAAGAATAATCTTGCAGATATCGCTGATTGGAATCAAACTAGGTCAGCAGGTGGAATTTATAATACCGGTTGCAAGACGCCGGTTGGGAATTGCTTCTTACCTTGCGGTGAAAGCCATTATGTGAGAGGCGGGTCGACTTGGACGCGTGTAGATGGGATGTTTCGTGGTATGTGATGTAGGAATATCGATAGCTTTTGCTTCGTAATTCTTCGATTTGGACTTGATTTTAGACTTGAACTGGATTTAGAAGTAGAAACTGGAATGGGTTATGGAGATGGCGAGGGGAATGCAGTTTAAATAAGGGATCGGTATCGAGTTACCACGGCAAGGTATTGATCTAATGCACAAATGGGTATGGGTAGGTTGTTTTGGGCCTGGTTTGCCTTTGTACACGGGAAAGAGGTGCCGTTCCTTGAATTCCTTGGACGCAGGCCCCGGAACTATGATGCATATCCAACGAAACAAGAACCGAATTTGCTTTCAACTGCTGCGTCATACATTTTGGACCCGAACAAACACGCTCTAGTGCAACGAGAAGGTACGCGAGGATAGGTACGTACCTCCTACGAATTGCAATTGTGACAATTCTACAGTTTCCACTTTTACATAGCCTTCCAATAGGTACATGCAATACGGTAGTTATGAGGGGCACATACTAGTATAAAGTATCTAAATCGTACTTACAGGTAGCCAAAACTATTTTAAGTACCTAATTTTCTAAAATCTAGCAGTCTGTAATAAGGTCACTTCTCGATTTAAAAATATCTGACACGTTCTAATATGTAGGTATGCATTATGATAAGCAGAATACACGTTTTAGTTAAGATTCTACCCATCTATTGCTCGTGACCTCACCGTTAGAGGATACCTAGCCTTGTATAAGATGACGTCATGATTTGTGGCGCGACTCGGCGGTGGCCTGTGGCTTGACGCACTTGATCTAGGTACAATACCTACCTAGGTACCTGGTATCGATTTCTAAAAAATTTCGACCACCACCAGTTCCACTCTCCTAGGCTAGCGCCTGCATCATCTAAAATGCCTGTATCTGATGCGAAAATTGTATCTTCTAGAATTTATTTATCATCTAACCTACATATGTAATATCCATGCCAAGTTAGTCTGGACCACACCTTCATATGAAAGTTGTGACGCATGATCGCACAAAAGGCAAAAAATCGTCAACTGGAGCCCCACGACCTCGACACTGCCACCATGGAGCTGCTGAACCCTCAATAGCCGTGAGCCTCAATGTAATGTATGTATGTATGGAGGTAGCAATGCCAACCCCTTGACGCGAGCCAGTTTTGGTACCGCCACATCATTTACATAATTCGTAGCACATTCTATAGAAAACGACGACATCATCATATTCCTTCAAGGCGAACACATTATTACTTGAAATTTCCTTACAAAAAATAAGATGTCATTGCAGCACGTCGTTCGCAGCCGATCTTCCGCGCAGGACTCATAACTGCAAGGCTTGCATGATTGCCGAAATGCCGTCTTGGCAAGCCTTCTCACGCATTCCGTGGAGCCGTCAGCTAACTTTATTTAAACAAATGGTCATTCGGGGGGGATAGGTATCGATAGCGTCTTTGTATGCAAGCAATAAGGCAGTCCGCTACATGTGCTACCGACAAACCAGCTATTGGTTTACACAATCGGTAGCGCCGAGGCTTTGCCCATGTTCGTCAGTCATTGGCTTAGACGCCCTAGCCTACTAGCCCCTCGATTTTCCAAACTTACAGGTTTGGACTGGAAGTGATCCATAATGGTATTAGTCAAAGTGATATTCAAGATATGTACTGGACATAGACCCCTATGTAGAAACTTTCTAGATTGCAATGAAAGGGGTATAATATGATTGGTCCGACGGATCCGGTGAATGTGGGTTGTGGTACGAACTCATCAGATCTATCCGCATAATTCTCAATAGGGAGTACACATGCCCTTGAGTAGACGGGCAGGTTTTGAAGTAACAAGATTGACTCGATCTGGTCTATCATAATAAGTCATCTCTGAAGAACCCAACATCACTCCGTATTCATCCACACTTGAGAAGTGGTCTGGATGACAGCTCGCTCACCAGGCCGCCCGTTATGCAGCTCGCCTTGCGAGTCCCGAGATAACGGAACCCCGTACCCCCATCTCCTGATTGTTCTTGTCCTTGAGTAGTGTTATGTAGACGAGCTATGTTACACGCCGTAACACAGGCTCGGTGAATGCACCGCCTCCCGTAAGATTACCGACCGCACCTGCAACTAACCACTACTACCTATCCAAATATCCTTACCGAGTCGCTTGTCTGGTTCGGGTCCCGGAAGCCGAGGATTTCGAAAGCTGCGTCTCCCGATCTCGTAGAAAAGGGGCTCCGACGCTGGGGGGTGTACACTAGACAATTTGTTACCACAGCCGCGATGCTGATATAATAACTGTTGATGCGAAGAAAAGACGACATACTTTCGCCATTGGTATTATTCTCAATCTAGATCAACTCCCTGATGCTTATGAGAGGGTTGTTAACATAATAAATTTCAATTGTAACGAATTGTATCTCAGTACCAAGGTTGACTCCTGGTATCGAATGACTTTGCCTCTTCCACATTTATTGCTTTTTCTTTCTCCTAGTGAAGGAGATTCCCAACATATTAGGCAACTAACTGGTGAGACTCGTTGTCTTGAATCAGATAACTTCTATCAGCAGCATCCTAGTTTGAAGTGTTGATATTTTTGTATTCACACAGCAAGCTCCCTAGAGCTGGCATTTATCTACATGATATTATACATGTCAAACCCGCCTAGTCGGCGCCATTCTGCCCTGTGGTGAGGGTTCATTTTAGCTGCGCCTTGGCATACTCAGGGACTCTAGCTTCAGGTTCGGGGACATTGAAGAATTGTGAGATCTTCTCCTTGCCATCAACCAAGGCGCCGGCTTCCTCTTTCGTCTGATCGAGTAATAGCGACTTCTGCCTCGTTTCTTCGAGAAATTTCATCCGCTCTTCACTCATCCTCCATTCCCTTGGAAATTTGGGCTTGATCTTAATTGGGTGATGTCTCGTATCGAGAGGAACGTCCTCAAACATGTCCGAGGGGTCCTTGAGGGAATGGTGAGCAATGTTTCGTATTAGTTGGGATTGAGTACAATGAATTATATACCTTTGCTCGAGCGATTAAACTCTCGACTAGGTCACCAAGATATCGCTTATTCTGCGCCTGGTGTTCGAACTGCTCACAGCTCATCTTGGCTACATCCGTTTCTGGATTGTAGCGGGGGCCCAGTAACTTCTTCAGCTTTAGCTGCTGGGCCTCGTCCAGTGGCATATCTTTGGGCGAGAATTCAAGAACCACTTTATTCTCTGCGGGGTGGAATTCACCCATATAACTCGTGTATCGGAATCGCAAGGGTTCCTGAGCTGTGGGTGGTTCGAAGGGTCGTGCCAGCTCTGATTTTACGGGTTAATAGATGACTTCTTAGTCGAGACGCAATATGATAGCACTCACTGGATAGAAGAGGCATCTCCCAAGCAGCAATGCGAGCATATTCTCTATGCTCACGGTACTCCTCCAACTTGCCGTGTGCCATGCCCATAATATCATCCTCGTCAAACTCGTCCTCATTTCGCTCGTCCGTAATCAAGTCTTCATCTTCCTCCTCTTCATGCCAGAAAGTTTTTCTGAGTTTGGGTATTCTTTGCGCGTTTGACAGGATAGAATTGGCACTGTTTAACATTTGTTCCTGGATCCGTGTCGACGCTTCAAATTCGGGGTCTCTTAATGCAGTGCGAAGAGATCTTTCCATTTCAACAACGTCTACGCTGCCGTCATCCTGCACGTCATCATCTTCCTCGTCCTCGTCCTCTTCCTTCCTAGATGCGGGACCCCGTTGCATAGGTGTTGAGGACAAGGCTCGCCTCGGAATGTATATTCGTGGGATTCGTGGGGCAACTTTTCGAGGAGTTGGAGGGTGTCGGAAAGCCCGTAGGCACAATCGCACCGACTGTACTCCAGAGGCCATGGCGATTGATGGCTACGTCCCAGCACCCGCTCCAACTACGAGGGTAGAGTCAAGGAAAGGGCTTTTTCCTAAGCTGAGGTTAATTGTAGTCGATTGCATGCGCAAAAGATAAAAATTCGGTGGATCTCGAATTAACCTGAACGCTTTTTTGATTGGCTCCCAAGTCTCAATTTAACTCTATGTGGGTACATAGTACCTACTAGGTACGTACCTTGGCACATTTATGTACTTCGTACATGTACCTTGAAGCTTAATGAATGTCCACGTGATCGGTATAACCCCTTATTTCTACATACACTAGATGAGACATCCATAACAGTCCTGTCTTATACTACTTCGATCGGAAAAGTGTTATGGTAGTTTATAAATAGGTAACTAAAAAGATGAAGAGCCCTATTAATATGATAGTAACGCAATCAATTATATAACACCTTTACCATAGGCAATGAATTCCACCATGCTTATGTGAATCAATAACTCTTCAGTTTCTAATGCCATTCTTAATTTCCCGAGTTCGATTTTTCGATATTCTGCTGTTATTTGGCGTTTCAAGTAGGTGTTTACCTACTTCATCAGCAACACAAGCGTAATGGCACTCTTGATATACAAACGATGAGAAGGCAGGTAGATAAACAAAAGGGCTTGTATTAACCATTGCATCACAAACTAGCTAATGCGTAATGTGCAAGATATATTTTTATATATTTCATGAGTCATTCTATATTGACGGCCATTTACGGTTGAAGATGTGAGATCCACGTGGTCACTTAGAAAAAACCCGATGCTTTGCCCCGACGATTCCAGCTAAGAAGAGGCAAATTGTAATCTTTACACGGTTAGAATAAAATAAATCTTTCTCACGTTTTAGATTCTTGAGTATTAAAGTACGTGGTTTTGACTATTACGAGGTGGAACTAAACAGTAGGGAAACAACTTCGTAGTTCCGCGAGGAACTCTAACCTAACTACCAGAGCCTATGTTTATATATACTGAGCATGTGCTTTGTTCTAGATGTCTCATCTAGAATCCCAACAACATCGCCTCACTCTATTCTTGTCTCTTGCGCACGATATCTTTATCTTCAGCTTAATCACAACGTAACTCACGATTGCAATGTTGTTTTTTCCGCTATCTAAAACCTTTGCTAATATAAATAGGCACCCCCGGCACTTTACGCAAGATGTCTACTAGCAACACAGAAACCACTCTCCAGGGGATTATCAGCAAGCTCATCGGAGAGCGAAACTAAGCGCGCAGTCATTTTCTAATCGCCAACAAGGCCAAGAAGGACGTTGAGATGGAATCCACGAGACTCCGAAAGAGACTCCGCCACCGCTATAGCGAAGTCGACGAGGATATAAATGATAAATACGAAATACTACTGGACGTCAATAAGGGCCTCGCACAAAGTCTAGAAATTGAAACTAGAGCCGCCAAGCGGACCAGCACCAAGCTAGGGGGCAAGATCCTTAAGCTGGAAGGGGATGTCGAGTGTCTCTCCGAGGAGAACTACTGCCTTTCCAGGGAGATCAGGGGCCTTAAGAATGAGATCAAAGCTTTTTCCGAGGAGAACAAGAACCTTTTAGAGGAGAATAAGAATCTTGTTGAGAAGGACAAGAATGCGGTCGAGGAGATCAAGGCCCTCGAAGAGCAGAATGAAGGCTTCCTTGAGAAGCTTGAGGAGCTCTGCGACGTGATCCAAACTCTCCGCAAGAACGAATAAGCTATTTGAGCAGCCGCATAACCCCAATTAAGAAACCTGTACGAGATGGATGTGGGGAAACAACTTGTTAAATATGTTACTTTTACATGATGCGTCCACACAGATGCAGGTCTACGAGAACGTGCAATAGAATAGTAGACGTACTAGTCATACCACGAAATAAATGATCGAGTTTCTCTTAATTTAATTAATATGCCGTGGTAAAATGACACACTAACGCTCCGTAAAATAATATTTACCGTGTCGTAAAATCATCATAATTTGGAAATTAGGCTTTGATAATATAATTACAGGCTATCAGCGATATCCAATATCTATTCCTAATAAAGGGCCCGTTATTAGATAGGGTCGAGATGTACTGCACAGAAAATAACTAGGGGTCACTCCTGAGCACCTAGCCACAGTTGTCGTTGCCACACTGCTACATGTGTGCCACAAAGTTACCTAAGCATGTCTACACTACGTAGGGCAGCTATGTAGCGGTTAAAAGCGCTTAATCTGGTAAAGAACTCTACCTGTAGCCAATCATTCTCTGTCCACGTTTCCCTTCCCTGCAACTTTCGAGATATTATGTAACATTCCCATGCTCTAACACCTAATTAAACATCTTCACGTTCTCTGCCAACATAACGCCGTGAAGGTAGGAGATACCGAGTGCTAATCATCTCCTACACGACCAAGTCAGCACCGTAGGAACCATCTCCCCTCCCCATATCAACCACTTCACCATGGCGCCCCGAGACAGATACAAGTACGCCTTCGTCACCATCGGCGCCAGCGCCAGCTTCAAGCTGCTCATCGAGGAAGTGCTCTCGGAAGCCTTCCTCGCCAAGCTCAAGTCCCTCGACTTCACTCATCTCATCATCCAGTGCGGGCCTGACTATGACTACTTCCTGTCTGCCGAGCCTGAGCCATGTCCCGACGACCCCGACGAACTGCTGATTGTCGGCTTTACTTACCACGACGACATTCGGGGATACATGGAGCTCACTACTGCTGGCTACATTACTCCTACGTTTAAGCGAGAACGCGGATTGATCATTACTCACGCGGGTATGTCGTGATAGCCGTGTTGCCAAGTTAGGCAGTTCTTTCTACTGATAATTCTACCGCAGGCTCCGGGAGTATCCTGGAAGCGCTCGATTTCGACTCAGCGCTGATCGCGGTGCCTAACCCCACGCTCATGGGTAACCACCAATCTGAGATTGCCGAGGAGATGGATAGTCAGGGGCACCTAATCCAGGGCAAGATCGGGTATGCCTTTTCTTTCTTTCTTTTTCTTATTAACATATAACTCCTCCTCTTATCCGCCTATCTCGTATATATGTACTAACGGGCTAAACAGCTCGCTTGTTGATATCATCAACGAAGACATTCTCACAGCTCCCAAGAAGCAGTGGCCCCCGGACCCGGACCCGGAGTCGGAGTGGCCTGGCGGTCTCTGGGACGTCATTAGCGCTTTGATGCCGGAGCGCTAATTCTGCATTTTACCACCGATGGGTGGTTAGGGTTATTTAGTTTCGGCGTTTACTAGGAAAGGGAGATACCCCAATTGCGACTGTTTTAGTTTCCGCTAGGCAACTCGAATTACATTTACGAATAGACCATGGTTCTGATGACTATCCTATAACGTATCTAACATATGCTATACTCAACTTTAACTATAGCAGTGCGTCTATTGCTTGCTTATAGCGCGTAGTATAAATTCATTCCCGTTTACTCTTCAGTAACGCGGAATGGGCTTATCACAATAGTGCGTAAAGGATTCCTAAAAAATTATCTATACGGAGTTATATTCTTAACGACGTTCTTCTCAAAGAGCATACAGTTCAAGGATTACACGCTCAATCGCCCAACAAGAACACTTCGAATGGATTATTATCTACGAGAAGCAAGTCACCTTTGTCAAAGCCAAAGCCATCCGGATAAACAATCCTAAGTCTGGTTCAAATATCCACCTGCTCTTATAGACTATCATGATCATGATCAATACTTCATAAAGTCATCCCATCTCTCATTGCAACCCTTCAACATTCCAAATCTTGATCGCCGCATCTCCACCCGTACTCGCGACCTTCGTCCCGCCATGCACCCAAGCGACGCCATTAACGCCGTCCTTGTGCGCGTTTAGCGCCTTGACGCGTGACCCGGGCTTCGCGAGGCTCCATACGAACACATTAGTATCTAACGCGCCGCTGGCCGCGTGCGTGCCCGCCTCGTTCCATGCGATGCTTGTTACACGGCCCGTATGCGCCGACCACCGGTCCGTCGCCAACTCCAGGCCAGACGTGCGATACGCGTATATTTTGCCCGCCGTGTTTCCCGCGGCAAGCAGCGAGCCGTCCTTCGAAAAGGCCAGAGTAGAAATTTGCGCCGTTGAGTTCTTCACCTCATGGGCTTGTGTAAGTTTGTTACCCGAGTCCGCCTTGTATAGGCGCACGGCGTTATTGCTTAGGCCTATTGCTACTAGTGATCCCTGGGCGGCGATGGCTGTTGGCTGCGCTTCGGTGATTTCTAGCTTGCCTGCAAGTTGATCCTTGACATAGATCTCGACGCCGGCGATGGTCGCCACATACACTTGTCCGTTCGCAGAAGCAACTCCCTTGGGCTGTGCGGACAGTTTTAGTGACTCGCCGGCAAAAGTGTTGGCGGACTCATCGACTATGCGCAGAGTATCGTCCCACCCAACGCTGTATGCTCGCCCAGTACTAGAAGTGAATTCTGTTACTTGGTTTGTGTGAGTTTGCCCGTCGACAACAGTGGCAGCTCCAGAACCGAGATCCCAGCTGCAGACCCGACCATCGAAGCTTCCAGTCCATAGTGTTTGGCCCTTGCCATCCGAGCCAACTCCTAAGGCTGTGATGCTCTTGTTATGTCCCTGAATAACTTTGATCGGTTTCGGGTTGCCTTCTACCAGATAGTTTAGATCTCCGCCAAGGCTGAGACTGATAATCAAGCCATCGCTGCGGCCATGTGGCCATACCACACCAACCTGTTGGTCTGGGATGCTAACACCATCTCCGAATTTCCACGTTTGTGTGACTTTGCCCGCCTCCACATCCCATAGTTTGACCGTCTGATCGGCGCTGGCTGTGACAAAACTCTTCGAATCTTTTGACCAGCTAACTGCGAAGATGCTTCCTGTGTGCTCGTTCTCGCCGATGGACTTTGTGGGCTCTCCAGTCTTCCCATCGTACAGTTGAATTCGCTTATCTGCACCCACCGTAACAAGGGTGTTCCCGTCCGGCGAGAAGGCTGTGCCCAATACGAATCCCTTATGAAGGCCAGTTGACTTGGAGTCAAATTTGAACGGGGCACCGTGCAAGAAACACATAGCCATGTCATCACTCGCGGTTGCAGCTCTGAGGGGCCTCATCTGCCTCACGGCAACCGAGTTGATGACTTTAGAATGTCCGGATACCTCGCCTACGCTGTTACCACTGTCCGCAGTGATGCAGTGTCCGAACCGCTCACGGCCGTCGCCGACCGCAATGATGCGCTGCGAATCGCCATCCCACGCTATATCATTGATGCGACCCGAGATGATATGATATTCGCCTAAGTTGGAACGTTATGTTAGTTGAACATGGATACCACCAGCACACTTTTGATCTAGTAGCTGGTACCTTTGGTATTCACAGCCTCTATCGAGTCCCATACCCGAACCGAGCCCGATACATCACCGCTGGCAACGTAGAATCCACTTGGCGAAAACTTGGCAACAGTCGTTTGGGCCGTGTGACCAGTGTATTGTTTACTAGTAGAAGGGTCGTCGATAGATCGAACAAATATTGATTTCCCGGACTGGCATAATGTTAGATATAATTCTTATCCTGTGAATCCTAACTAGGCCTCGGGGTACCTACAGCATAAGCTATCCTTTCCCCTTTTGCATCGGTCGACAGCTGGGTTGGCTGCCCTCGAGCTGTCACGGGGGAAGCAGCGAGTATCTTCTCGATCGTGATCGACATTCCGGCGCTTGATGCTTGATAACACGATTTTCAGAATATTTCTAATATTCCCATAGAATCATTCGTTTGTCTAGATATCTAAATAGTATTCTTCATGAGAATACTTGTAAGGAGAGCAGATTCGATTCGACGAGCTTTATGTCAGGAGCTTCTGACGACGCAATATTTATGGAGGGGCTATTTACCTTCTACCTTAGGTACCTAACATAATAGCTGCGGGGCAGCCTAATGCTAGCTACCAGGCTGATGCTTAGGACCTAAGTCTGTAAAGACCAAGTTTCCAACCTTCTAATAGGCTGCTTCGCTGTGGCTGAAACGCCACGCGTTACAAGGTACTTACCTAGGTTAGGTAGGTTAGGTACATGTATAGATTTAAAATAGGGGTTCCCGTTTGAACTTCACACCGAATTTTATAATGTATTGATTAGGCTCCGACTAGAAGGCAAATCGTCCTATCCATGTGCAAAAGGGCTACGGAGATTGCTAGACAGCTCAAATACCACCACCAATTATCGTATTAACTTAGTAGTGACCTCGCGATCCACCCCTGTGTAAAACTCATTCGCAATAATACCTAGGTAGGTATACACGACTGCCAATTGGCTATCATGCGAAGCCTGCCTCTCCAGACTCATCGCCAACAGACATTCGCAAAATATTAAGAGTAAACTAAAGAGCCAAAGAAGCCAAGATCTCGAAACTCAATGAGTCTAGATCATCGCGTGGCATTTACCATTCAACATCACCATTAGAGCCCCAGTTGTCATCGGCACCACTCTCAGGTGCAGCTAGGGCGGGCGTGAAGGTAGCTCCGCCATAGTGATCAACACTGCCACTGTTACCACCAGCCGCATCGAAGGTGGGCTCATCGATAGGAGCAGACTCCATCTTGCATCGAACTTGAGTGTGGCCCATCTCACCGCACTTAGTGCATTTAACCCGACTGTCTTTTAGGATATTAGCATGTAGTTCCATAGTATACCTAGTAGACAGAGTATCCGACTTCACTTACAATCGCGGGGCTTCGGGCATTCCTTGGACATGTGTCCGAACTCATCGCAATTGCGACACTTGATTCTCTTGGGGTTCGGGCAGTCTCGAGAGCCGTGGCCTTCCTCGCCACAGTTGAAGCACGCGCGACTACGACCTCCACCTTCCTGAGGACAATCTTTGGCAAAGTGACCGGCTGAAGCATCTAGTTAGTAACACTCATAAGCATCTAAGTCATCATGGTTTATGACTTACTTCCGCCACACTTGCGACACTCAACGTCATCTCCAGCTCGGCGAGGCTCGGGGCCTATGGAATTTGTCAATGAGAAGTCAGAGGTTAGCAACGTAATCACTTACAGTCCGATGCCATGTGGCTTCCTTGGCTATAGTAACAAGTGTGGTTAGTGATGGAAGAGTAATAAGATGTGGATGGGCATATACATACCCGCAGTTTTTACAGCCATACTTGTTCTTGCGAGGTTCCGGGCCTTATCCATGTTAGCGAGCGACAAATAGAATACGCTTAGCCAGACTCACAGTCGCGGATGCGATGACCTGGCTGGTCACAGTTGAAGCACTTGATGACAGCGTGTTCTTTCTCAATTTTCTCCTGGGGGCATCTCTTCGAAGTGTGACCAAGCTCGCTGCAGTTATGGCACTTGGGCACGCCGCGTTCAACGGTTTCGCCAGCATCCTTGAGACGCTCGAGGTTCTCCGCAGCCGACTGAGGCCACTGCTGGACCTCTCGGGGACGGAGAGGCTTGTCGCTCCAGCGATAGTGAACACGGTACTTCTTGTCAAGGTTTCCTTGAAGGTCCATGTGAGTGTGAGTCGCGAGTAGTGAGGGGTTCTCCAACGCGATCAGGTGCAGTTCAATGAACTGAGAGCGGAACGCCTGTTCGAGATTGACGTAGGTGATACCCGGAGTAGAGTTCAGATATCCCTGGATGCCCTCCTTGACCTTGTCCAGGTCCTTCTCCTTGGCTCCTTCCATAATCTTTGCCCAAGCCTTTTCAGCGGGGATCTCGCCAACAGACGAGCGGTCGATCTTGCGTGGATTCTTGCATACAGCAGCCACATGGCCTAGTAGAATTAATGCGCTTAGTTATCTGGATTTAGGGTTGCTATTTGGTTTTGTCTTACCTTCTTCCATGCAGTTTTTGCAGGCCATGGGGGGTTTGTCCGGACAATCCTTGGCCATATGGCCCTCCTTGTTGCAGAATCGGCATTCTCCGGTGAACTCCTGGGGAGGAGCAGTGGGACAGTCACGGATCGTATGACCCTCCTTGTTGCAGTGTCGGCACTTTAAGACACGAGGGTTGGGGCATTCAGCCTTGTTGTGGCTAGATCTGATATTAGCTATGCATATGTATTCAGTACGATAATTCAACTTACCCCTCCTGGCCGCAGTTGAAGCAGGCTTTACCGCCTCCGCCATCCTGGGGACCATAGTGGTCGACAGCCGCGTTGTCCCAGCCAGACATTTTGGCTGCTTGAAAAAGTCCTAGGAGGTTTATTAGCGTGACTTCATAAAAGAAAGGAAAACGTGGTTAGCTATAAGTAGGTATAACTGCTGACAAAAACAAAAGTTTGGCCGAACAGCTATAATTTAGGTAGTATCGGGTACGGAATAGGCGAAATATGAAGTCAATGAATTACAGAACATGGATGTGCGACACGTACGTTCACTTACGTCTCGGGGCACCAGTGGATGGCGGCTGGACAGTAGGGCGTGGTGGCACGACTGTAAAACGGGGGAAGAGGGGATATTAGAGTTATGGAAACTGAAGGGGGGCGAGTTTTCCTCTAGCTTTACCAGCTTCAGCCAGAGTATGGCTCGCGTAGTAGTACGCGTAGGCGTTTCCTGTTGGATAATGGCAAGGCAGAGGAAAGGTTGATGGAGAAGAGGATTAAGGAGTGGAAGGCAATGTAGCTGAGCCAGAGTGCCGGAAATCTGGAAGAATAAAAGATCGTGTTCAGGAAAGTAGAAGGGTAGAAGGGTAGTGGTAAAGTGCGATGCGTCTTGGTGCAAACATTTCAAGTCGGAGGAAACAAGGTGGCCGCGCCGCCCAAACGAAACATTGTGACTTACCTTTACGTGTCTTAGGCAAGTAGCTGTATTAGTAGGGCCCAAGCAAGGCGAATAAATTAGGGTTGACTTGGTTGATTCGCGTTGTCTCGTTGGAAGAGACTGATGACCTCCTGTGATGAGGATGCCGAAGTTGATGTTGAAGGAAGGAAAGGAAAGGATGAAATTGGGAGATGGGATGAAACTTAAGTAGGTGGAGATGAATAGAATGGAAGGCACCTATCTGGCAAGTGTACAAGGGAGAAAGAGTAGGGCCTTCCAGGTTAAAACTGAAGATGCCTTATGGGGACTTGCGTACATAGACTTGCGCGGAGTTACATGGGTTGAATTACGTGGACAGCTGATTTCAAGCCCTAAGTAGAGAAGCTACACTGCATTGACAGCCCAGGAAGTGTATGAAGCAGGCAATACCAGATATAGCAGGTGCTATTACTGCCTGGGTAACATTCATATGATACAAGAAGGTGCATGCGGGTAGTCTCAGACGGGGTAAGTGCTAAGATACAGGCACTTGCATTCCTCATACCAGAGGTAGACTCATATTAAGAGGTACCTTTAAGTATTCTTAGGACATTTAAATCCAGTACAGGGAATAAGGACGGCGTGGGAGGATTATATAACTACCTACTAAGGGTAGTTTGCAAGACAGAGTCCTACGGGTATACAGAGTGCTACGGCCTGCCAATGGATTTCCATAACGAACCTGAAATGCTCTTAGTTCTGTCAAAGTTACTGACTCCGATTCATGTGAGGTACTTCGAAAGGAGCTTGAAAGGGACACAAAAAGCTTCGTATAGGTCATTCTGATGGGCTGGTGTGTCTTGGTTCTTTCTCTCCTTTATTATTTTAAACTACGTAGATTCATAGATACGAATCAGTCTCAATGTTATTTGATCCTCCAAAAAAGAGCAAATATTTGGTTCGATCTGGGTTGTTGGTGATATCTCGTGTCCTATTCGTCTGTGTCTTGCAACAGGGGATTTGGACCCCTTAGATGGTTCTAAGCGACTATGAGCGGCAGTTTGTCTGGCAACAAAACTATACTATGTGTGAGCTAATCTTATTGACCATCCATAACATCTCTCTGGCAATCCTCGTGCATTTTTACGTTGTGCTTTATGGACATAAGCTCTCCGACTATGTCTAGATACTTAGGTAAATAGGGGCTAATCATGCATTTCCGGCTTAACTACCTAGTATTAAAAGTTCAAAATATTCCTTTACTTCCTATATGATAATGGCTACCTTCATTACTAGAATTAGATGTTAATTCTATCGAGTGTCATGTAAGCACGGTTAGGTTAGCTAGCCTTAACTTATAACGTCCTTCCCTATATCATAAGCAGAAAAATGTCCTTTGATGGATTTACATGTATTGACCATTATTTCTAAGAACTTCTACATCACAAGACTTGTTTTTAAGTCCCTTATGATACTAAACTTATCGACGACAACCAAAGATAAGTCGGTTGTATCCTTTACCAAATCTTAGTGTACCTAGATAAGCAATTAGGCAGCGTTGAAGTCTCATTCCGAGAGATTGATGTTATGAATAAATGTATTTTACACTTTCGATTGGTCAGTGTAGATGATCTGATAAATCATACACCAGTAGCCAGTTCACACCTTTAGGTGTTTCTTTAGCAGTATTTTCCACATTCTTGTTGATATTTTATAGAATAGTTACATCCGGTGAAGCTGTATAAGACATTTTAAGACATACATACCAAGTCCTATGCATTACGTCGACATGGTGTGTAGCACCAGAGAGACCGTGCTTACACAACCTAGCTTTGCAGGTGCTTATATTACAAAGTTCTAGGGCGAAATGAGTTTAAGATTCAGCCCCTAGTTTAAGGCTCTATACCGCGGAAATATCAAATTATTATTACTATGTATCCAGGCTCTAGTTACCATACCCCAATCCCTTCCATCAATTAATCAAACAAGATACGCAATAGACCATCATATTAGTTAGCCCTTATAAGCAACCCTAAATGCGGTCGAGGCTATGACTCAAAAATCTGTCGTGAATTGTCATTCTAGTGCTCGTTGCCCAGCATTCATAATTAGCCTTCAGTGGTCCCCCTAGCTCCGTATCATGTAGAGGTGCCAGGTGAGCGGGAGCTAGTTGGTTGACAACGACAATATCTGTTTCCCTAAGTATACGTCCGTTCACTATATTAATAGGCTCTCGACTATCGGTCTTCGTTAGACGTTTATTATTGTCTTTCTCGGTATCGAATAAATCGTCCTCGAAGATGTGATTCCTGGCAACACCACAAGAGTGTGTTGTAATATTCGGTGTTGTAGTATTCCCCCATGTCGACTCAGATGTGCCCTTGTTATAGTTGTTACGGCTCTGCTTGAAAAGAGGCGAAAGGACCGGTATACATGCAATTATTACACCTAAGTTTGCTTCGATTATCGACCATAGTACGACAGGTCCAGAATTAAGAGGGTTGCTGAGGGTTTTCAAAAATTGGATTCTGATGATCTGGATTCCGGTAATAAAGAAACCAAGGGCGAAAAGGCCCAGTAATATGACCTTCTTTCGTGTTTGGATCTTCGTTTTAATGAGTACTGGGAATGGAAGAAGCATGCTTACAACTGGTCAGAGCCCGTTCCACACTGCTTGAACAAAAGTCGAGCTACTTACACAGCGAAATCGAAAACGATAGCTAATGACGAGGAAGCCATGTAGTAAGGAATCTGGTTAATACATATCCCTGGGATAGTTGGATCCCACTTCTTTGCGATCTACCCAAGTTAGCCACATTGCAGACTTGAGTGAGCCCGCTAACATACCGGGTAACATTGGTTGAGTTGAACTATCAAACACGATAGGTGGAATAGCGTGCAAGAAACTAATACGCAGGTGATGCCATATTTGCACATCCCCTGAGGGACAAATCGAAAGTAAGATACTAGTAGGCTTAGCTTAAACCCGAGGATGCTAAGAGTATATCTAAGTATGTCGATTAGGAGTCGGAAATACTAGTGACTACTTAGTTTGATTCTTACAAAGAAAAGCCTGCAAGTTCCAACTGTTTGGTGTTAGATATAAACGCTATGTGATAGGAGCTTCTATCTTACTTGTCCGAAGGGGTATATATTTTGGGTAGGTATATCGTCGACATATTTCGTCCCTAAGCCCCATGTTGTTTCTGCCAAGTTCGTGTTAACGACAAATAGTATTAAACTGCAAAGGTAGTGATGCATACGGATTGCTGTGACCACGGTGAAACCGCACGTTAGAAGCTAGGTTTATCTTTAGTTAGGAATTACCGAAAGTAGATACGTTCGGAAGACCCATACCCAAGTTATGAAGATAATCCAGTCATCTGGATATATTCAAGTTCAGTATACCAACTACCAACTCCGTCTAGCTTTACTATGGGCAGCATACCTATTCCCAAGGCATGGATAAGCCGACCTCGAACATAGCCTCTAAGGCATATAAAGCAAAAAGAAATTCCCGATAGAACGCTTGCGACGGCCACAGTCGTCGGTCCATTAGTAGCAGTGTCATTTGGAGCGTTGTGTATCCACCCCATTTCTTTAGATAATTTCAAAATGCTCCCCGTATAGGATTAAAAAGTGTGTCGACATTCGCTTACAGACGCCTCAGGTCGATGTAAGCCAATGGATCGATGATTCGAAGATTAAGATAGAATATAGATACGTAAACAATTTCGTGGATACTCTAGATGCTTTATCCGTGAGCTTTCTACTTCCGTGGGCGTTTATTATCTTATTCTCTGACTGTCTCGGTAAACTAATGCGGTAGATAATAAGAAAAGGAAGCGGTAACAGTTGATCATTCACTGACAAGACACCGTAGATGTGTTGCACAAACGGCCTGCAATGAAACTTGGGGGTAGCCTCTTCATTCATGTATGTTACTACTATATTAGCCATGTATGTCAAATCACCTAGGACTTTAGCTTGGGGTCTGTAATTCCTGACAGTTACTTTCATGCCTTTGTGGTGTGATTATTGATTCTGAATCAAATCGTTTTTGGGGTCGTATCCTCGGTATCTCACCACGCGCCAACTGTCACACAAGAGGATTCCAACTCTATCATTATACATTATTACCTATATACAAACGCGCTTACTACTAATTCATGAGGCGATGTTATTCGCTGCTGGTGAGCTGCTGTGCAACACTCTCGCTGTATGAGAGCCATCTGATTCGCTTAACAAATTTTCGAAGTCGGTTGCTTTGGGGTTTAGGAAGTTTATAATTGGAAATGTCTGATTGCTTCGGTCCCGTGCGGGATTACCATTCTGATTTAAAGTAACACCACTCCCTATTACTATCAGCCATTTGAAAAAAAGGATTGTTTCAGCCCAAATGTACAAGTGAAATAATTAACAGAATGCAACGCTGGATATGACATAACATTTACGCGAGTAGATTGGTAAGTGTCTTATGAAAAATACACCTATATAACGGAACTCGATGATAATATGGTAATCTACTTTAAATTTCCTCAATACAAACATGTTGAAGCTTAAAATAACGTAAAGTCTCGCACCTGGGAGTATAGAAAATCGAAGAGACAGATACAATGTTGAACTCATAAAGGATGTCAAGTATAATATTTCTCCTAATAAAATTATAAGAGGTAGACGAAATGCTACCCCATGACATGAGACGTACTGCGGAAATGAAGCTTAATAATATCTTGATGTCAAACCAGTTTAAGGAGTAGTATTAAAGTGTCAGCCAAATTATTCCACCATATTCAATAAAATGGGGTATACATTAGTTAGTTGTAGCTAAGACAGCCGTTTCTTTCGTGCTAGTAGGTCTATCGAGCTTGTAGACTAAATCCCCGATTAGGTCACCAATGACAACTTGATGTACTTGATTTCGCCCTCGGTATGTTTTTTGAATACACTTTCGGTATATGGGAAAGTACATTAAACCTACTTTATAATCCTGTAAGGTTGTATAATCTACATTGCGTGATAAAGAGCTCATGGATGTTTTGAAATCATATGACACGCGGAAGATAACTGATATGCGGGAAGCCCTGGTCTCGGGATTGAGTAACTATATATTTGATCAGAGTGGATATCTCACATGGACTTGGAATTATCTAGGTTATGGGCTCGCGGATGTTCCACTATAAAGAGCTCGCATGGGTAGAATTACGGCTTAGGTAGCAAAGTTTAAGCTCATCCACTTAAATCTAGGTGTGTGCTCCTAGATTAGGGTGTTCGTAGCATCATGTCTATGACTCCAACCCGTCATAGAAACTCGTCATAGTAGCATATGTAATAGTATGGTCATCATGCACTTTAGAGTATTAATACTGGTGATTCATCATGAAAACAAACTCTCCTGTCTGCATCTGTTTAGAAACGGATTATAAGTACGACAAACATCTCCCCAAAATATCCACCAGAGGCTTTTGATAAACAATGTACTTGCAATCGCTTCGACTACGTACATTCTCCGGGTTAAGACAGTTTCCGTTCAGAACCAGATCTATTTCTATTACTTCCGCAAGAATGTCCAGCGCAGACAAGTCGCACGCCACAGGCCAGTCCAAAGTACCCGGAAAGGTTCAAGAAAAGGTACCCAAGGATGTAGAGGAGTCTCTTCCCGACAGCGTGAGTCTAACAATCTAGCTTTTAAGATATTCATTCATAGTTGCTTCCGCTGACCATCTCGAAAGATCCATCCCACGGGCAAGAATTCAAGCGAATCCACTAGCAAGACTCACGCAAAGGGCGGAGGAGAGGAATCAATTCTACCTAAGAAGGTTCAGGAGAAGGTTCCCGAGAGTATTGAACGAGCTGTGCCCAATGCCCTTCATAACACCGGAGATAAATGAGACTGCTAGCATCATAGATGTATGGTGGTGTCATCAACAGTATGAGAAGACACATGTCTCAGTTAAGGGAGGATTAGGTAGTTCAATATTTGAGAATGGTTCCTTAAATTCATAGTAATTTTAGGCTACGATATGTTAAAGGACTACACCAATTTTGTATAAGTTCTAATCTGGATGTCTGTGAATAGTGTTCGTAAGAGTGTTTTATAAAGCTACGATTATAACGATTAGGTACAACGTCAAGATTTACATAACCTGATGTATTTGCCCCTTTTTTATGTGGCTTGTAAGAGTATGACCGCTGTACATATGTAACCTAGTACTTAGGTACATCATCCCCCACCAAACTATACGTAGGTACCTCTCCGTTCATTATTGGGGATTAATCGCGGGGCAATTTTGATTTGCTCAGAAGCTCGACGCGATTCCATTTGATCTTCCAGAACCTACCCTACCTTATGTACCTCCAAATTTATGCCACGACAATTAGTTACACTCTTTTAATCTACACTAGTAACTCATACTTGCACAGCCAAGCAAGTACTTCTCACCCATTTTCTCATACTCTCCTTGAACCCTCTTCTCTGTCGCACGCTGTTCCCCTCCAACTTTTACAACCTCGGCCACCATGTCCACTGCTGTGGTCTCCGCTGATGATGGCCTCGAGCCGACCCTGCAGTCTATCCTAGACCAGAAGACGTTGCGATGGATTTTTGTCGGTGGAAAGGGAGGTGTAGGCAAGACGACAACCTCGTGCTCTCTTGCCATACAACTAGCTAAAGTCCGTCGCTCGGTTTTGCTCATCTCGACTGATCCTGCTCACAACTTGTCCGACGCCTTCTCCCAGAAATTCGGCAAGGAGGCGCGATTAATAGAGGGATTCTCCAATCTAAGCGCTATGGAGATCGACCCCAATGGAAGCATTCAGGACTTAATAGCCGGACATGGTGAGGAAAATAGCGATCCGCTTAACGGCGTGGGGGGCATGATGCAGGATTTAGCATTTGCAGTGAGTACTACGATATGACATGACGTCGCATGCTAGCAACTCAAGCTAACACCATGTTCTAGATCCCCGGTATAGATGAGGCTATGTCCTTCGCAGAGGTCCTCAAACAAGTCAAATCCCTCTCGTACGAAGTCATCATCTTCGACACCGCGCCCACAGGTCACACGCTCCGTTTCCTCCAGTTCCCATCCGTTCTCGAGAAAGCTCTCGCTAAGATTTCCCAACTCTCTTCCCAATATGGGCCCCTACTTAACGGCTTCCTCGGAAACCAAGGTACACTTCCGAATGGGCAAAACTTGAGCGAAATGATGGAGAAGCTAGAGAGTCTTCGCCAGACTATTTCTGAGGTCAATACACAATTCAAAGACGAGAACCTAACCACGTTTGTCTGTGTCTGTATAGCTGAATTCCTGAGTCTGTACGAGACGGAACGTATGATTCAGGAGCTAGCTAGCTACAACATCGACACACATTGTATTGTGGTGAACCAGCTGTTATTCCCCAAACAAGGCAGCAACTGCGAGCAATGCAATGCCCGACGGAAAATGCAGAAGAAATACCTGGATCAAATCGAGGAGCTATACGACGAATTCAACGTGGTCAGAATGCCGCTTCTAGTAGAGGAAGTCCGGGGCAAGGAGAAGCTGGAACGATTTAGCGAAATGCTGATCCACCCGTATGTGCCCCCTGAGTAAGGTTATATGCGGACTCGATTGGGTCGTCTGGGGTTAGGTAGCGTGGCGTTACGATGCCTTTGGGCCGTGATAAGGGTGTCATTCAAAGGAAATAGAGGCTCAAATGAGACCGGGGTGCTATTGGCATATGTATGTACTCTAGTGGGAAGATATCACATCGGTACTGAGCGTATTGTGATCGTCCTATTTATAGCTCTAGCATTGGAACAAGGCATGTAATACAGTTAATACCAATCATAAGATCCCCACAGATGTCATTACCCATTACAATGCAGGAACATATGGTTAAGTCATTGGCCATTCTTCTCTATCGGCCAATTTGGCCGTAGGATCGTTATGAGATGACAAATGTCACAATCACTAAATATCAGATTTGCCATATAACGTACTTGCTCGCTAAGTTTCGATGCTTATAGGACATCATATATAGGTGAAAGCTCTCAAAGATGCCTGTCCTGCATAGACCGAGAGTGAATCCCAGACGATCATCGCCATCATTGCCGGTTCTCGGAAGTCTCCTTAGCTTGTTGAGTCATTGTTAGACATAACTATAGTGTAATACTTTATTTACTCAACTGCACGTTCACGGGCTTTGCGGATTTATTAGTTTTGGCGCCGATGTTAAGTTCGAGAATCAGAAGATAAAATCCATGTTAGTCGAGCTCTACTAGTTAGATATATAAAACTACAAACAGCCCTCAGTATAAATATGGAGACAAGCCAGCTTTCGCCATAAACTGTGAAGCTATCAAGCTATTCTGGTTCGACGTTGACATTCGCCATGCAGCCTATCAAGATTTACAATGGGCCTCACGGTCAAGGACCTAACCCTTGGAAACCCATCATTGTAGCCGAAGAGCTCGGTATACAGTATGATATCGTCTGGATTCCGTACAGCGAGATCAAATCCGAACCGTACACTTCTCTGAATCCCAATGGACGGCTTCCCGCTATGATCGACCCGAATAAGAATGTCATACTCTGGGAATCCGGCGCCATCATCAACTATCTCATCGCCACCTACGATAAGGATCTCAAGCTCACGTATGGAGACGACAGGCTTCAGGAGAAGTGGCAGCTTCAGAGTTGGCTCATGTTCCAGATGAGCGGCCAAGGCCCTATGTTTGGCCAAAAAGGTACGCATTTTAAAATTCTAAGACACCTTACTATCCCCATAGGAAACATTCAGCTAACTCGATTTACTCGCGGAATAGTATGGTTCACGCACATCCACGTAGAGCAGAACGTACAGACGGCAATAGATCGCTACGCAGCTGAGGCTAGGCGCATCATGGGCGTAGTAAACGATTCACTGCGCAAGCAGAGGCAGAAACTGCCGACTTATGAGAAATCCCTGGGCGTCGACAATTAGTTTCTTCTATGAGATACATAGTAGATTGAGATAGATAGATACCTAGGTTAAGCCGCTTTCGTCTTCAGGAACAACGGGCGATAATAGCTTTCCTAATCGAGTAACCTTTTGAAGATTGTCTAACGCTTAGGGATTAAGGCAACACAGTGTATTACCATGATCGATCATACAGTGAATATTATGAATATTATATTCTGTATTCCACGGTGCTTTACCGCCTTTTCCCCATGTTCATCACCGATATTACAATTTACACTCGTGATAAACCACCAGTTACAACAAGATAGCTTAACCTAACTTCGTATGTAACGGGACCACCACACGCATCCGCCAATGTATTTCCAAGTACCTAACATGAGGTATCGGTTTTCAGAGCGAATGACGGATAACGTTTTGGGAGTGGCGTGTGGGGCGACTATGCATACAATATATACCTAGGTATGTATCCAAAGCAGACCAGCAGACCAGGCCATCTCAGGGGAAATAGTGGGCTTCCAGTAGGGGGGTCATGGCGGGGTAAGGTAGGTATTGTACAACAACAGGTAAGGCAGGAGGAGTAGGTAGCTTGGGAATACCTAGAGAGAGGCAGTTACACGAAGCTTTAGATGAAGCCTATTTGGTTATTTGGTTACACTGCAATTGTTTTTAAACTTTACCCTTCCAATCCTTATTTTCTCTTATTCAAAGGTTAATTCGAATAGACCAATCTAGGCAAAAGAGGAAACCAATTAAATAAATATATAACTACCAAAGAAATAACTACTCAAAATCTTCAAACATGGCTGCCGATATTCCTATCATCGACGCACACATTCACCTCTATCCCGAATCAGAGCTCTCAACTTTAGCATGGTCCACACCTGAGCACCCGCTGAACAAACAGCACTCGCTAGAAGAATACAGAGCTGCTACCGAGGGCTCGACACCCCAGGGCTTCATCTTCGTAGAGACGGATCGGAAGAATGACCTGGAAGCTGGGGAGAAAGGCTGGGAGTACCCGCTCCAAGAGGTCTCCTGGCTGAAACGCATCATCACCGGCCAGCCAAAGCCGGGCGAGGGCCATACGGCGGAAGACGCCTCGCTATGTACCGCCTACATCCCTTGGGCACCGCTACCCAGCGGCGTTGCCGCCATGGAGAAGTATCTCGACCTAGTAAAGCAGGAAGCAGGCGAGAGCTGGCCCAAGGTCAGGGGCTTCAGATACCTGCTGCAAGACAAGCCCAACGGGACCATGCTTCAGGATAACTTCATCGAGAGCTTGAAGCTGCTCGGCCGTCGGGGCTTCGTGTTCGACTTGGGTGTCGACCAGCATAACCGCGGCAGGGCCCAACTCGAGGAAGTCGTCGAGATGATCGACCGCGCACACGACGGTGTTCCCGAGGACCAGAGAGTCACGTTTATAATCAGTCCGTGCCCACTCCCCCCTTCTCATAGTGTAAGCCCCAAGCAAACTAACACCCACCCACAGACCACCTCTGCAAGCCCGACCTCGGCATCTACAACGTGCAAACTAGCCCGTCCTTCATCGCCTGGCGCACCGCCATCTTCACCCTGAGCAAGTGCAGCCGGACGTACATGAAGCTATCAGGCGGCTTCGCCGAGATGCCCGAGGCCCTGCGCCAGCGTTCCCCCGAAGATATCTTCGACGCCATCAGCCCCTGGCTAAGCGTTGTGCTCGCCGCTTTCGGCGCCTCCCGCATCATGTTCGCGAGCGACTGGCCCGTGTGCACCGTCGGCGTCGGCGACGACGCTTGGAACAAGTGGAAGAAGATCGTTGATCGCCTGTGCTGGATGGCCTCGTTTGAGGACGAGGAGAAGCGCATGGTTTGGGGCGGCACGGCGCTCAAGGCGTATGGCATTGAAGCATGATGATGATGCGGTTTCGGCTGTTAATACAGAAGAACGGAGAGGAGAGGAATATTGATGCTACATCCCCATGCGTTGCCGTGTTGCGCATTTGGTCTACACATGTTTAGATCTGATGGAAAATTGTTGAGACGGGTTTAGGAATTTATTTATACGGTTTACTACCCACCTACGTATGTGGCTGTCTCGCAATAGGCTAAGTTAAAAATGGTATGTAGGAGATACTGTCTTGATGATTTATTATAAGACATGTTTATCCTTAAAACATGACGCCTCGTAAGCTTGGCAACAAGCACGAGCAACATCCCAAGTACCTAAGGTATAGGAATCGATATTTGCCTGTGAGTTTGTCCTATTGTGTAACATAAAGTTCCCAGAACGAACTCTCCTTACGCAAATAGTAGCAGTAAATTTGATAAACATCGCGGAAAGGGGGCTTCTATTAAATTATAGATTAAATTCCAAAAGACAAATCGTGTCAGTTTCCAATGCCATTGGCCCGAGTCGCACGCCTGAACGCAGCATACGCTCCCTCTATAAATATGCCGCCCACGCGATGACTCCATGAATGCAAACTCTACCTAGGTACCTAGGTATTTACCATAGTAACGCCCAAAATGCCATCAGCATTGCCAATGGGTATATGAATTCGCCGCTAAGTAGACTTCCCGCTCCGCTCGTATTCATGCCGCAGCACTGGCGGTTGTAAGTGACATTGTTCATCTGAGCAGCCACTTCGAAGACGGACCCTGCAAAACCGCCCATATTGTAGTAGTCTACGTTCAAGAAGTTCGGCGCTCGCCCCCAGTCTGTGCGGCAGTTGTTAGCCGAAAGACCAAGACTGCCAACTCCTGTCACGTTGTTCGTTACGTTTAGCTCCGTCCGGGCGGGCACTAGCATATCGGCGCCAAGGATGGAGAGCTCGATGTTTAGGTTGTGGTTGATCATGTACAGCCGGTTCTTGGCATCATTCTCGGCCAAATTCGGTGGCCGTTGCACGATACAGGGGAATGCCTGGTCAATCGGGTCGAACGGTGTCTCCCACAGTTGCGAGAACTCGTCCAGGAGCCACGGATATTGTGTTTGGTTTGCCATGTAGTCCATGAACATCACGACTCGCTGTCCTTTCAGAACCATTTCGCTTAGAGTTGGCCAATCATCCAAGGCCATAGGTACGTAGGGCGGCGTGTAAATGTACCGCAGTATACCGGTTTGCTCGATATATGGCACGTATAAGCTGGGAACCGAACTATAATATATGTTAACTGCTGTCTCTACAAATTAGTTTAGGGTTAGATTTACTAATTTCCATTGCCTAGGAGTATGGTAACTACATCGTAGGGATGAGCTGCAACCCAGTTCTTCACTTGGGTCAGCCAGTCGGTGATCGGGCCAGCGTCAAGGATATCGCAGCTCGTATGACAGAAGTGAGGCTCGTTCCCCCCAGTGGGCCATTGTATTTGGCCCTGGATAAATCGGACACCGTCATTTAGCTGAGACGTAACATCATACTGTTGGTTTGCTGCCAAATTGTTTGGCGTGATAAAGGGGGAGTTGTGGCAAGCAACGTATGTGATGTTGCTATATTTTCGACTGCAAAACTCGGGATAATTGTTGCAGGGTTGCGTATTGGTCACTTCTGGAGTGGGTGACGAAGTAGAAGTAACATTCTCGCCGGATAATGCCGTTGTCGTTACAACAGATCCAGTCAGAAATGTCACCGTCTCGCTCTTCGAGGACTTTATTGTAGACTTTGTTGTGCCGTTGGAAGCTATAGAAGTACCATCGGTCTCGATCGAGCCAAGGCCAGTGCCTAGAGTAATCTGGGTAGAAAAGGACTGATATGCATCGGTCGGAGTCGTAACTTTAGTTAATGAGACTGTCGAGCCAGTCATAGTAGTTCTATCGTCACTGATGGTAGTTTGCCCAAGCACTCTAGCGACCGTGGCTAACAGCGCCAGGCTTCCGAACGGTGGTGCCATAGCTTCGTAGAGGTTGTACCGAGAGGATTAAGTGTAGTTAGACATGAAGAAAGCCACTTGAGGGTATTCGTGATGAGGTAATGGTATCGCAGCAAGAGAAGGCTTGGATTTGTTCCAATCACCTGAAAGAAGAAGAAAAAACTTTTTGAAAGGTTGAAATGATAATGTCTCTGCTTCGACAACTGGTTCCAGCAACGTGCCCACCCCTGGTGACTTAGGTCACTTGGTGGTATGGGAAGTCATTTGGTGGGCTGTAGGTACTTCTAGATACATGAGAGCAAACTTTTATGTGGGATCAATTTACAAGCCAAAAGTTGGAAGGCTGAGCTACATGTACCTTACTTGATAAAGGCTATTGCATAGGATACCGCTTAAACGGAACTGTCGAGTGGTGGATAACGAGCTGTCCTGAAGCAGATTGCAGGGAAAGAAGCAGGGTTTACACGCGTCTGTGGCTGGCTTCTGCTTCTGTTGGCGCTAGCGAGTGATGTCAGCGGTAGCTAAGAAATAGCTGAGAAATACGGGGCGGAACTGTAAACCTTGTCTAAAGCTTGCAAGTCCCGATTTTCATTATCAAGTCGATCAGTATCAAATCATTTTAGTGTCTGCCTTTAGCGCATATTTAATATACTATGTATACCTAGCGGGACACTTATGGAAAAGGTGCCTGGAATGCATTTCTATTTGAATAGACAGACAACAAAAATAAGCTATAACTATTCGAAATTAAGCGCGATCGCACGGATGTAACAGGGATAGTTGAATTAAAATAAAGCGCTTATTATATATTCGTATACTTATATATAGGTAGGTATGTACCTAACTTCGCAATTGGCGGAATAAGCTCAGGCATGTTTCAAAATATTGATAGGTACCCAAAATCTGGTTCACTGCTACAGAGCCCACAAAGTGTCTTGGCAAGTAACAGCAAGATCCGTTACCCGGCAGTCGACATAAGATGTGCAAGGGTCCTTTGAGTTCCTTGAGTGGGCCCAACCTTACCTTGGAAAGCTTCCAAACTCTAAGCCTCAAAAAAGGAGTAAATGTACTGGAGTTGTACCTACTTGGTACCTCTCTGATATCAATTATGTTGACCAATCAATAATTACATATACGATGATCGCCTGTTCAGATCAGGCTTCCCCCCCCCCACTGCTCTTACTGACTAGTTGACGATCTCAACGACAACTCAAAAGTGTTTTTTATCTTCCAATGTTACCTTGTTTTTCTTTCTATGTACAGATCCGTACTCACGTGCATTTGGATCTCGTGCGGTTTACCCGTCAGTTGTTTTCAACAACCATTCTCCGCAATCCACTCTGACTTATATCTTCTGACCAGTTTATGAAATCTGTGGTTAACTACATCTACATCTACATAAGCTGCTGAGACTAAGTCCTGGGAGATTGGAGAAACCCGGCGCACTTTGAACTATAGGATTTATCGAATATGACATTTGGATCTCTCTCTAATTTTCGAAGGCGACCGGCGACAGCGACGTCTTCTCACGATGGCCAAAAGGAAAGCCCCCAGCCAATCATTGAAAACCCGGCCGTCTTAAAGAGGGAAACTAGAGCACGTCGAGTTGCTATCGGGATATCATGCTTCTGCTATATAATGGCCGTCATCTTCTTGATTCTGGTAGGACCCGATTCTTCGCTTGCGTTTGGACAATACTAACCGCCTCTTCATTTTCTAGGTCGAGATAGGAAATACGAGAAATGCCCCCCTCATACGTGACATGTATTTCTTCAAACTTGATCTTTCCGACATTCTTCCCCAATCAGCGCCGACAAGTTTGACTTTGCAAAACTCGATCGCACGGACTTTAGGTCTACACGATTTCTATCAGGTTGGCCTCTGGAATTTTTGCGAAGGATATAATACCGAGTACGTAGAAGCCCCTATCTATAAGAACTCACAGCTAACATGTATATCAGTGGAATCACATATTGTTCAACCCCGACTACTCTCTATTGGTTCAACCCAGTAGAGATCCTACTTGGCGAATTATTTGCAGGAGCTTCTATCGCGTTACCTGCCCAAGTGAATGAAATCTTGAATATCTTGCGCATCGCTTCGAATATCATGTTCGGATTTTTCCTTACGGGGCTGCTTCTGAACTTTGTTCTGATGTGCCTAGCCCCAGTTGTCGTGTTCTCGCGATGGTGGAGCGGTCCTTTGGGTTTCCTCGCCTTACTTTCTACGCTGCTGGTCCTGATCGCTAGCGCTCTTGGCACAGCTATGTCTCTTATTTTTAAATACGCCTTGACATCACAAACCGACCTAAATGTCAATGCTGATGTCGGTCTGAAGATGCTTGCATTTATGTGGATAGCAACTGGATTTACATTGATTTCCTTTATTATCCATGCTGGCTTATGCTGTTGCTGTACATCGCGCCGGGACATCCGTACTGGACGAAGGACTGCAAGGCATGCCAACGAGGTTACCTCAAACGAGAAGAAAAGTAGGACGACAGCAGCTGCTTAGGGTTAATAGTAGAGGCCTTTGAGCCACTGGTTAGAGAAGACATTTCTACGGAGATTTTTACCGAATACCTAAAATATTTCATGCGTTTAATCTTTACTAGGATAGTTTGTGGGCATAGACTAAGTACCGGGGTTGGAAGGGCATTCCAGGGAAAATCATTAGCATATTTTTATCAATCAAATCACCAATAAATAATACCTTATGACGACGCAAGCAGCATAGTCTACTTGGCCTATAGTTATATGTTATGTAACTGCTTATTTGTACAATTTGACTTGAGTACATATCCATATGTGTGTGCATGTACATACTTCTATTGATGTAGGTATGCCCACTATGTGGCAAGTTGGGTAGAGATTTAATGCTAGAAAGGTTCGGTTGGTTGGTTCTCGGGAACCTCAACGCAATCAATCGAGATGAGAAAGGGCCGGAACAGCGGGAGTGGGGCTAAAGGCCATATTTTGTCACGTGCGGAATTTACATAGGTATCCCTCAGTTTCTATTTCTACAAGCACGGCTACCGCACGGAAGTATCTGACTAATATATCCGTGCCTACCTATCTAAGGCACCTCCTCTCCCGCGCTAGTTCTCTTCATTCACAATCACCTAACGCTTCCTTCTTCTTCTCACACTATTAATTAACCTCCTCTTTCCCACCCAAACCCCATCATTTCCATCACCTATTTCTTTCAGGTTATCACTTCTGCATCAAGCTACGTCTTGTTGCTACGATTTTTTTTAGTATCGCGACCAGCCATCGTCCTCGCTGCTGTCTCCGCCTTCTGCGACCGTGCACTCGAGATCCTGACCAAGATCAACTAATCATTATTCCCTCGTCTCTTCGATCGCCTTCATTCAGCAACGCTGCTATACAACATAAAGGACAAGCAATGGTTCGCTGATCCGTCGTGAACTAACTTGTAATCAGTGAAATTCTGGTAGGATAGGCTGGTGGTCTCGGGCTAACGAGATTTTTGACGGTACTCTGGGGTCGTGGTGTGGACTTCTGGTGGCATTTTTGCCTTTTCATCACAGGAGCTGATCTGGTGGTCAAGTCCGCCTTTGGCTTTGTACATCTCCATTTTTCTTTTACTGGAGAACGAGCATTCGCTGTTCTTCCAGGTACAGACTGAATTGATACCGATCTACTTTTTTTTTTCTTGCCAGTTGGTCATTGAGAAGAAAACAGGAAAGAAAGCGAGAGTTACAATAGTCACGCAAAGTTCCTCAACAACCAACAAGAATACAAAAACTCTCACTAAGTTTGCGAACAACCCACAACAGAATTGCATCAATTGCATCATATATTTCATCCAACTTTCTAGGATCGTCTGTTGCCCAACGCCTCGCGATTTATTGCGATTTTCTTCCCCTTTCTACACATCTTGTGACACGCTTTAGGCGTACTATTTTCAATCATGACTTCCTCTGTGTTTTTCAAGTTCAAGTCCCAAAAGGAGCCGTCACGTGTCGAATTTGATGGCACTGGTATCTCAGTCTTCGAACTCAAACGTGACATAATCGTAAAGAGTGGCCTAGGCGATGGAACGGACTTCGATCTAGCTATCTATTCTGAAGACGGAAGTGAAGGTATGTTCTCATTCTAGATTATGTGACCAAGGTGCTAATTAGCTTACAGAATACGACGATGACACAACTATTATACCTCGATCTACCACAGTTGTTGCTCGCCGACTTCCGCCTCAGAAACCTGGCGCAGGTCGAGCTGCCCGTTATGTCTCGGGAAAGATGCCAGCAAGCGCGAAGAATTCGTCACGACGCGAGAATGCGACTAAGGTGGCCAAGCCCGCCACCATCGGACTCTCACAGATGAACGCGGCAATGACCGAAGAAGAGAAGATGATGGCCATGTTCCAAGCTCAATCAGACCAGTGGACTGCCCAGCAAGAGGAGATGTCTCAGTAAGTTTACTAGTAAAACACGATCTTGTCCTATATATATGCTAACAGGTGGTAGTCAAACTGCAGTATACAAGCCAGGCGCAAAGAAGCCTACCAATGTCCCTGATCATGAACCCCCAAATGGCTACATCTGTTATCGATGCGGACAGAAGGGGCATTGGATCCAAGTCTGTCCTACTAATGACAACCCTGAATTTGACAACCGCCCTCGTGTAAAGCGAACTACAGGAATCCCTCGTTCGTTCCTAAAGACTGTAGACAAGTCAGCACTCCAGCAGACTGGTACAGACGGCGAGGAGGTTAAGCCGCCGGCTGGTGTCATGGTCAATGCAGATGGTGAATTCGTGATCGCAGAGCCTGACAAGGCTTCGTGGGAGCAATACCAGGCAAAAACAAAGTCGTCGTCAGCTGCTCAGAAAGCAGCATCTGCTGGGGATAAGGATCTTGAAGAGAAAGGCCTATTGTGCGCCATCGACAAAAGGATGTTCATAGACCCAATGAAGACTCCATGTTGTGAGAAGACGTATTGCAATGATTGCATCACCAATGCTCTCATTGAGAGCGACTTCGTTTGCCCAGGTTGCCAGATGGAAGGGGTGCTAATTGATGACCTCAAACTAGATGATGAGACATCTAATAAGATTCAAAGCTATCTTAAAGAAAAGGAATCACTTAGAACTAAAGAGCGATCAAACAGCCCCGCCGCGGTAAACTCTCCATCCCAGGCATCGGATAAGAAGGGGACGCCTGAGGTAGACTCGCCTAAGAACCAACCATCAGTTCCAGAGAAAACTGTTCCAGAGAAGACTAAGTCACCTACCCCCCCTGTCAGGGCTATTAAGTCTCCTTCTGCCGAGGCACCAAAGAAGTCGTCTACCCCTACCCCATCACCTAGTTCTAGTGCGACTCCCAAGCCCCAGGAGGTAGCCTCTAAAAAACGGCCGGCAGATGATTTATTAGAGAATCCCAAGATTCCAAAGGGACCCAAGGCTATGCAAAGAGCGAAGGAGGCCAAGGATATGCAAAACACGATGCAGCCAGGCATGAACAACATGCCTAGTATGATGCCTAATATGATGCAATACCCAATGAACTCTATGAATGGCTTTGGCCAGTCTAATATGAACAATATGAATATGGCCATGATGATGGGCATGAACCCCATGATGAACCCCATGATGGGTATGAATGGAATGATGAACCCGGCAGCTTTCCAAGGCATGAATAGCAACGGCATGTTCGGGGGGAACTTTGGAGGCATGAACGGTGCTGGTATGGGTAATATGAATGGCGTGGGTATGAATGGTGGCTATAACAACCAGAACCATCAACCACATAGGCCCAACTTTACGACGCCGAACAATGACAACGACGCCTACTTCCGTAAGCCTGTCAACCCAGGGCGACACCAAAACAAACAACGCCGAGTTCGTCCCAGTGATTATAGGGAGCTATAAAAACCCTTTCTCATACGAGTACGTATTTCGTCCCTTTACACGACGAATATGACCACACATTTTATGGCCACATCGAGAGTTTCTCTCCTACGACTGTACATTACACAACCACACTTCATTGCATCTTGATTGATAGGGGTCAGTCACGGGCGTTAAGTCGATAGGGGTCCACGGTTGGACACAAGAAGGGAGGACTAGCCATAAGGGAGTTGGGCGTTTTCATCATCATCATCATCATATTTGCTCTCGAGCTGCGCAAGCAGCATCGGCGAGAGTAAAGGGGTAGGGGTAGGGGTAGGAATTAGTGTTGGTTTTTGGGGGGGGTTCTTTCAGGGCCGGGTTTGCATGAGCCTCGGGCGATACGACCATGACAATGTCTCATTTGGATGCGGCGTGATACGGGCTACTTCCCTTCGGGTTAGAGAAGAAGGGAAGAGGAAAATAAGAAAAAAAGGTTACAGTAGAGAAGACTCAAGATGTAGGATTCGTAACTAAAAAATTCGAATCAAAGATGGTCTTGCTCACGCTTGATGCCCCCCTTCCGCCCCGCCCGATGTATATGTGAGGAGCGTAGTTTGCCTAGATTACAGATAATACACGGATGTGATTCGTTGCCTACCTACATACTTAAGTATCTAGAGGCCATAAAGACGTTCTCTACCTTGAATAGCATTGTTCCAGACTACGGGTTATGCTTTACCCTTGTTTTACCTTCCTACACAAAGTGAATTGTTCCTATTGTCATACCTTCATATGCGTTTAGTTGCTCATTCTCATTATCCACACGCTAGCTTGGCCTTGCCACCCCTTCGGCGAAGTGACGACTCTTTGATCATGGCAGTGTATGTATCATTCTGACGTTAACTGAGGTTGTACTCTAGGGAGAAGGGAGTACAAATGTTTTTTATGCTGCTATGGACCTCATGCTGTACATTCGAAATACCTGCAGCCCGGAGTTCCTTTAATATACAATTGTTTACCTACCTCGGTCTAATAACAATTTACGTGCTACGAGTGATACATATGGTAGATTGAGAATTGGCACATTGCTTCATGAAATGTCACTTGAAATTTTACTATTTTTCCAGGTCTAATAGGATTGAATCTCTTGCCAGCATTGCTTTAGGGTTTCAATATCCCATGGGCTTATATATAAACGTACCACAGCCGTAAAATGGCCAGCGCATTAGCTTATAAGCAATGGCCTTTATATAGGCTCATCGACCATCCAGACACTTAATACTGTCACTGTCACAAGGTCGCGGTTCACGAAGAGTAGTTTCAAGTTTGATGAATAGATTCAACAGTCCTCTATCCACCCTGCGGTGGCAGCTATAATTGACAAAATTCTGCCTTCCCAATCCATCCATAGGTCTCTCCTTTTTAGAGGTAGAGGAATGATTATTTACAGTGTGGCTTGCCCAGACCTTCATAGTAGGCCGAATCCGAGACCACTCTATTTAATTCTTCTTTTTAACATCCCCAAAAGCCGTCGCCGTTCAGCTCCCCGGCGGACGGTCTCGCTGTGTTTCGCTAGAGCGGGCTAGTCTCGGGGAGAAACTACCGCTTCATATATGTTGTCGGAAACATACGAAACGATCGCACGATCGGATTTCGTCTCTCGACGATCTCAATCGTGGGGGCCGTAGCATCGACCCTGATGGGTAGGCGCATCGGGTGCGGCAGGACTTGATCAATAAGAACCAGCTTATGACCGGGTCTGCCGCAAAAAAAAAAAAACCCGTGCTGATGCAATGGAACAACTGGACGAGCAGAGCGAAGAGAAAATTTGCCGCTCTGTGCCCGTTAATGAACGAACAGCCTCGATATCTCGTATCTTCGGCCTTCTGGCGTATTATTATGTGCTGCTTGGTGGGACCCCCCAAGGGGTGCAAGTCTTTACGCGCGTACCACAATGCCGTTTCGGCGGGAGTTGCGCGGGACGTAGTTTTCTTCGTCGCCGCTGGAGCAAGAGGAGGAATCATCGTCACTGAAGCCGCATCGGGTACCGCCACAGTCGATCTTAACGCGGTCGCCCTTGCGAGTAATACCGTATCGTTCGCAAGTGCAGTTGCTGCAGTCTGAGGCGGGTGTGCTGTAACCGGAAAGCGATGAGCTTGGCGATGAGCTGTCAGAGCGGTAGGACAGGCTGGAACCGGATGAGGAGACGGGAGAGCTGGAGAAGTCTGTGACAATGTCCTCCTCGTCGAAACCGGCGCTGCCGAAGCGTGCGGTAAGTTCCTCGATGGTCTCGTCGTCGCAGTAGTCAGCATCTAGGATGTGACGGGTGGCGTGGGGAGACATGGGCTTGGGAGCCACGATCTGCGAGACGGAGAGGGGTCGGCCCTTAGGAATGTCAAGGGAAGAAGGGCGCTTGGAAGACCGGTGCTTGTCCTTGGATGATGACGAAGATGATGTGTGCTTGGACGAGCTCTTGCTGGAGCTGTGGGACTTTGATGATGAAGACTTGCCGGACTTGGGCACGTCAAGGATGTTTAATTCTCGACCGGTAGTGGGCTCGACGGTCGACGGCTCACTGGGGTTGTGCGAGATGTGGTATCCATCGATGATGTAGTAGTACCAGTATCGCTGGCCAGCCTCGAGATTGCCCTGAAATCGGAAAGTGCCCTTCCACGAACCTGATTTGCTGGAGGTCTTGTCCTTGGAAAGGGGGATCTGGCCAACGTAGTTATCCCAAGAACCGAGCAGATGAACGGACTTGATGCCAGAAGAAACGCGAAGAGAGAATGACAGTTGGATGGTCGACATTGTGATTAATATGCTATTGCAAAAATTGTCGTTTCTTAAAAAATTTCAAGGGGCTTTTTGAGCAAGTAAAAGCTAGATTCTCGTTCTATTAGGGGGTTTAGCGGTAGTGAATTAGGGGTATAGTTGGCCGGCAACTACTGTTGTGTATAGATTTTCTCGTTTTTGGGTATTAAGTTGTAAGAGCACAGCTCTTGTGTATTAGAAAGGCAGAAGAAAAAAAGAAGAAAAAAAGGGATTAGAAGAAACTAGAAACTAGCTTTTGGTGTTTGAGTGCTTGCTGAAGAAGAAAGAGAGGAAAAGGAAAACGACAGAGGCAGGCTGTGTCGTATTATATGAGTGGCGGCCGTATAGAGAAGCCAAGGGTGCGACCTAATATCAAGACCAACACGGTTGGTTTGTTTCCCAGCCTGCGGTGCGGACAAGATGCCGCCACGGCAGCTGGATGTGCGGGGCCGCCCATCAGCATCAGGGATGGGATCGTAGGTTCTGTTTGGCCGGTAGCACACATCTAATTCGACATAATGTCACTTGAGCACTCATCTCCCGCCCTAAACCATTCCAGTCTTCGGTGCAACGAAGATGATGTGTGCCGGACTGCATAGCTGGCGGTTAATCCAGAGTGGAGGGACTGATAGAAGCGTAGGTACAAGGATACCGATTTTGAAGAATAAATAGAAACTGGACGGGAAACAGGGCCAAGCTAGTCGGGAAAAGGCGACTGGGCGTCTAAACCCCTGTAATGATTGGCCGATAGCCACATGCCGGCAGCCAATACCAGTTTTCGCCAGTCACATATCACACATCGAGGTGCTGCAGCAAACGAATCAGAGAGGAAGAAAGCTCTGCTCTATCGACATATTCTTCCTGTTTGTTCAAGACGCCAACTTCGGACTCAACAAACCAGCATGGTTAGATCCATGTGGTCCATGTAGACGAATGCGTGGATTTTCCTGCGGATTTTCCTGCACTCTCATCTGCAGGCCATCATGAAGGCCTCATTGGTGAGGTGATGCAATTCCACCTACTCAGCTTAGGTTAGCTTCGCCCATTGACAGCGTCCACTAAAAGAGGTGATTGTTGATGTAGAAATTCGACAAGATAACATTCGAATTGGCAATATAATATGATGTAAGGCATATATCACAATTGGATAGAGGCCATGACTAGGATGATCAATTATCCACTAGTTAGGAAAAAGAGAATGGATTCTGTCATCTCTATCACCTCTCTCACCTCTAAAGCGATGACGGACGCGCAAGAAGGATCGATGGATGGGTAAGTACACTTCTCCACCATACCCTCCCTACCTTTCGGGAAGGATTTAGTAAGTCTAGAACTTCAACAAGCTCTAACTAGCGGATACCAAATAGTTCGGTTAGCTATCGCTACGTTGCTGTCTAGCCGGGCGACGGCGACGGAGTCTAGGTTGAACTTCATGCAGGTCATGTCACTACTAGCTCCGGCGGGTAGGCGGGATAAATAATAAGGAAAATCCACCGTGCGGCCGTGATAGTCCGAAGTAACGGCCCATCTCGAACTAGGTTGTTCTTGTTTATCAGTATCGCTATGTATCTTGGTGGGATGGTGGCTCCATGCCCTATGCTGACAGCCCTACTGCAGAAGCAAGAAAAAGCAAGAAAGAGGGGGAAATGGAGAATTAGCAATTTTAACTTGAACCTGGTCAAAGTGCAGTAAAGTGGAGGGAAAAAGTTGGATCCGCGGCCGGGAAAATCCCGGATAGCGCTTAATACCATAGTGCATGCATTAGCGTTATGCATAACCATGCATAACCTAGGTATGCAATAACAGACATGGGATGTCCTAACCTCTGAATGGTCCGGAGGATTAGCCTTAATCACATGACTCCCCCTTGGCACAGCGCGTCGATGCAAAGCAACAAAATCGCAGATGCAAGTTTGGTGATCACGCACTAAAAAATCGTGAATAACCTGGAGGAATTATTAATTCCTCTTTGGAACCCCATCACCGAACCCACGTCCACCGTCCACACGAGCCCGCTCTCCACCAAGATCGCCCCTAGATTGGAACTTTCCACTACCCATCGGTTCCCGCCCTTCCTTTCAAAGCAAGGGTGGACACTGATGGTAGTTTATTCCTTTCTTAGGAAGTTCGCTAACTCGGCTAATAAGTCTTGTGCGGGTCTTATTGCAGTCTCTAGCGCGATTCTGGCGCTTATTAGTCCTTGTAAATCTATCCAAATGTTATGAGTAGACGATCTCGACTTGTAGTAAATTGTCCCGTTGATGAAGAATATGTACGTAGGGTATCAACAAGCGCGTATCGACATGGGCTAATAAGTCGAAGCGCATTAGCCGGGCGTCCCGATAGAACGTCATCATGATTACAACGGGTCATTCCGCAGAAGAAAGCCTCGTCACCGAGGTCACTGCGTACGTCAGGTCCTACATGTCGAATTACGACGGCTCTCATGACTTCAACCACATCGAACGTGTTGTAGGACTTGCCAAATACATCCATGATCACTCACCCGGCAGAACTACGCGAGACCCACAAGTTGTCATCTTAAGCGCCCTTCTGCACGATGTAGGAGACAAGAAATATCTAAAGCTGGGCGAAGATGCTTCAACCCTGGTATACGAGCTCCTTCTCTCTCTAGGTGCAGCAGAGCAACTTGCGAACCGGGTTCAGACAGTCTGCCTAGGCGTTAGCTATTCGAGTGAAATCAAGGATCCAGCTCGGGTCCAGGATCTCGTCAAGTCTCACCCTGAACTAGCAGTTGTTCAGGACGCCGATCGGCTCGATGCTATTGGGGCTATTGGGATCGGAAGAGTCTTCACATTTACAGGTGCTCGGACTAAAGCGTCCATGGCAGATTCTATCCAGCATTTCCACGATAAGCTACTAAAACTCGAGAGCATGATGAAGACGGACGTCGGACGAGAGCTTGCTAAAGCAAAAACCGAGAAGATGCATGAATTCCTCAAGTGGTGGGATGAAGAAGCGGCCTTTTCTAGTGGACTGTCGGCTGCAATCTAAGAACAGCCCAGCCGCTTAACTACTTCCTTTATGATACTATTATCATCTATCTAGTTTGCACGTACGCCGACCACATATTAGATTACAATTGGAAGCCTTAGACCAGAAACATCCTCACCAATCCAATTTTTCCTTTTTTCCCAAATGAGAACTCCACCTATTCATGAGAGTCAATCGTGAAGCGTTCTCTTCTTCGCCTTATTCGAGACCATTGACTTTTCATGTTCACGAGTATGCAAAACATAATGGGCTATCCTGTACGTCCATAACTTCGCGAATATTCACCATCCCTCCTATGTCACCAAAATTCATTGCAAAGTCCAGGGTGACGTTCGTATAAGGCTTTTCGCCAAAATAGTTGTACGGATATGCCCACTGTGTATCAGGACCCCCTATATCCGACCTCCTGGATTCCCAGTCTACTCCTTAAGATTAGCAATAAGGATATTTGACCCAGGTGATGCATACCTTTTCGCTGCCAGATATCCCATAGACGATCTATGGCACAATGATGAACCCAAAAGATCGGGTCGACCGTCGAGGACCAAGTGTTCGCCATCTAAGTAATATACCATCAGTCATATAAAGAGAGGCATTGATTGTGGCTTTCTTACATCGCCAAGCATGCCCCCGATTCCTAGGTGTCCACCACTGTGGACTGACACTCCCAAAATGCCAAGGGTGAGACCCTCAGTCCGGTGCTCGAATTCGAAATAGCTACTTGCGTCCAGGACGAAATTTGCCGTATCGGCGTTTAGTGTTCGCAACATCAACCAAAGGCTAAAGTCTCGTCGAATACAACGAGGGGTGTATTCGGTATGCCTCCCAGGTCCCATCGATGCGTTGGTTTCGGCAAATGGCCCATTCGCAAGGCATCCTTGAATTATTCTATTAAATCAACTGCTTTAAAGGTGTGTGTATGTTCAAAGACGAGATAACTCACCACCTCCTGATCTCCCAGGTATATCTATGTCTGTTACCCATTCGTCCGGAAAATCACTAATGTCCTCTATGTAATCGCCGTTGCCTTATGTTCGCTCAGTATATCTTCTCCAGGGGATCCTGGGGCCTTATGTTTTACCTCCAAACCCATATTCGGGGTCGAAAATTGGCGAGCCTAAGAGTGAAGCTTCGTCAACGGCATCTTGTGTCCAGTCTATTGCTCTTATTCATCAGCCATATCTCTTCCTCTGCAACGAAGATTTACGGCACGGACCCCAGTATCTTCACAAGTTAACAAGCCCGTATTCAATCTACCTGATAGAGGAATACCTACGGTACAGAGCCCTCATATGAACATTCGTTTCGGAGAGCTTGTTCAAATAGCCATAAGAAGTATCGGTGCCATCTGATCACATTAATTATACGTAGGAGCCGCCATGGGAAGGCAGCAAGTCTTACGGTAAGAAATGTCCCTTGGAGCATATTAATTCCCGGCTTTAAACATAATAATTAAGGCGAGGACTCACGACCCAATGGATGTAGTCTGCTTGGCTAATATGCAATGCTACGAAGTCGTCGTATCGAGATTTAACTCCAGCGAATGTGCCAGATGTCTCCCCTGATCTAGACTGAAGGCATCTTACAGCCGATATGAAATCCAATCTCTGGTCCTGTGATAGCGTTCTCCTTTTAGATTACTACCTAGTTAGCCGGTGGTCTGCTAGTATGTCCATCCCGTCACAATTAGCAAAGACAATGGACGGCTAGACAGACCAGTCGTTCCTAACATATGATGTCCCGCACGATTCTTCAGATCGTTTCGATCGTATTCGGCCTGAGACCATATTTATGATCATAAAAGTGATATAAACGAATGAAGTAAGGGTCAACATGGTGATACGATCTGCAGGTAGACAATTTGGGAATGATGAGCACCCGGCATCTTGGGAATTAGAAGAAAAAAAAGCCACCCTATATAAACCATCACTCTTGAACTAGACCGTATAAGTCACTTCGTGGGTGTGCGTTGCTCTGCACTAACCCTACTAGAGATGTGCTTATGCTGGGTTCTAGATTAAGATAAATTTTATACAGCAACGCAAGGGATATCTGAGCGCACAATCCCAAACATTAGCTAGAATGGCTAACTAGCAACGAATAAGCAAATTATGTACGACTCTATGGACAAGGCTTTAATGGAACCTGTGTTTTCATAGCGTGTATCGACACATGAGTGCTTGTGCTGGGAAGCGTGTCTAATATACCTCTTTTAACCAGCAGCCCCTGACCCATCCATCGCTGATAATAATATGTTGTACGACGGGCTGTTTCCTCCAACAACTAGTCATAGTAATCTCCACCTGCGGACGCGGCACATACATATTAATCCTCGCACCAGAAACTTTGATATCCAAACTTATACCAATGTTTCAACCCGGAAACTAATAGGTCAAAGACCTACCATACGAGACGGCAGCAGCAAAATATGGATAGGTGCACTTCAAGGCTTACCAAGGCCGAAGTTTCGGATCCTTAAACCCGGAAGACAGAGCGCCACGAAATTCCCCGTGATAGACGGACTAGCTTCGACTAACACACATCGCCCCCTTGCAAAAAGCAAATTCTCCCTTCTGGATGCTAGGACCCTCGATTCACCTGCCACGAGGGGGCCATGTCGATCACGCCTCGTGGTGTTCCACACACAGACACCCGGACCAAGGCGGCGGGCCGGTTTTTACAGACATAATGACAGCGGGCCAGACGGCAGGGCGCACGCGCATCTTACCACTAACAAACAAAATGCAACTAGCAAACGGAATTAGTCGACCCCTTGGTTGGAACGCTCTATCCAGGGAGACGAGGGGCAAGCCGTAGCTGTATTTAGGCGAAACGCAAGCCCCGTCAACTGGCTAGGAGAGACGGGATCGCCTTTGCGTCCTAGCCATACATACATACATACATACATACATACACACAGGTAAAACTTCTTGCTCCGTATGCTTCGGGTCGAAGCCTCGCTGTCTACGTAGTCTCCTTACCTCGGCTCTGGGCAAAGGACACTCGCTCGCCCGCTAGCTACCCACGCCCCCACGCGCTCGATGGAGGCCAGAGGCGCTCCGGACCCTCACGGCAGGGAGGAGATCGGCATCAACGGGTGGCTGATTGGGTTCTCGACCATATTCTACGCGGTCAGACTTTTCGTCCGCGTAGCGATCACGAAATCCCCCGGCCTCGACGACGCGCTCGCGGGTGTTGCCTATGTAAGCCCTGCTCTGCTGTCTTGCTGGCGACTACCGGTTGGGCGGCTTCGGGGAACGTCTGCTGATTGGTGGGGGTTAGATGCTGCTTGTTGTGCAGTCTGGGATGGATATTAATGGTATGTATGGCCTTTGTGTGGGATGACGCGACACTGGGACTGCGATGCTAATGGTGCTTGGAAGCTGAGTTCCTTGGTAGAGAAATCCAAGTAGGCGCTGCATCGGAGGAAGTCAAGGCTGGATTCTTCGCGGTGTGTATTTCTATTTAGTTATACAGAGTTGCCATATCATGTTCCTTGATGCTGATCGATTTCTAGTCGTTGACGGTTCAGACGCTGGTCTACTTTTGGACGGTAGCTATAGTGAGGTTTGCAATTCTTGCTTTCTTGCCTCGAATTATCCAAGATAGTAAGTATTCAAACCATGATTTATAGATATACTCCTCAGTACTAAACCTATGGTGTCTAGGGAATATTAGCATAATCTCATGGGTTGTTGCGTTAGTAATTCTCGTTCAAACAGTGGGCTGTTTTTTATACAGACTTCTCGAGTGTAGTCCAATTTCGTAGGTCGCATGTTTAAATATATAAGTCTTGCCTAGCTAAATATTAACATGTCAGTATAGGGATATCCTCAAGTCTCCGACGACGAAAGGACTTAATTGTGTCGATCCCAATATCCATAATAGCATGATGGTAGCACACGGCATAGTAGGCGTTGTTATAGACGTAATTCTGCTTATATTACCTATCTGGATGATATGTGCCAACATGTTGTGGTCCAAGAAGATGATTCCGATTATACTGGTTTTTAGTGTCGGACTGTCCGCGGTAGTTATAGGGGCTGGGCGTGTGGTCATAATATCGAAGCTGGACTTCACTAAAGCTACGTGCGTTATATCCTTTCCCCGAGCTATACTACCTATCACATAGCCCTATTTATCAGGGCTGACACCGCCAGGCCTACAGAACTTATAACATCCCCTCCCTAGGAATTTGGACAAACCTCGAGAGCCATATCGGCCTATGGTGCGGCTGCTTCCCTGCTGTACAAGTAATCTTGCGAATTGGGCGTTTTACGTCTTCCAGATTTAATGTGGCCAGTACGGCAAGCATCAACGGTAACCAGAATGGAAACGTAACTAGGAGTAATGGAGTGAATAAAGTCTATGGAAGAGAGGGGGAGAGTCGTACCGCGATGGACAGTGAAAGCCAATATGCGATCGTATTATTAGAAATGGAAAAGAATAAGATGCCAATAAAAGATGGGGATGCATCTATTGTATGATATATCTTTTGGTGTGTTGGGACGTGAAGGTGTAGGGGCGTAAGGGGATGCAGAAACCGTTAACTACTGGTATTATATTTACTGTTCTATCCTTTCAACCGGACATTCCCTTTGTAATAATAATACCTAAGACCCAATAAACCTGGGTGTCTTGGTTAACTTTCTAGGTTAAAGATTTGATCTTAGGTTCCTTTAATTATCGTACATGTCGTCGCACATAGTACGGGAGTTCTTCTATTAGAGTAATATATATTACATATAAGCTGAATAATGCCCATCTAATAAATATGTACACATCCATTTTAATTGATTATGTGGTAAGGCCAACGAGACGGTACCTTGCATTAGATCACCCAAGACATTTTATATCCATCACGGCTACCAGTAATTGCAAAGCTACCCCTAACCACTCAAGTGACATACACTCGGGAACTCGTCGTTTTCGTCCTTCGCCAAGGCCATATTGGCCATGTTCTTGAGGCACTATCATCATCACAGCTTGTTGGTTAACCCGATTGTGATACGATGTAACCATATCCTGCAGGCTATCTCACTTGTCTGGTTACCTCTACTCTATATGACGGACTTATCTGTTGGTGCCACCAACCCCCAAAATCTCACTGCGCATCCAGCCCAATGGGCTCCCGCACAAATGAGAAGAAATATGCAGAGTCTGTGTGGGCAGGCCGCCAATAGGGTAGGCTAGCTTCGATTTTCGTATTCTACAGTCTAGCTCGGATTGATCAAATGTTGTGATTGCTACTGACTTTTCTCTTTGTCCGTCGAGTTTGCTGTACATATTGCTATGAAAGGTATTGGAATAAACTTCTTCTTGCTCTTGACGATTAAATTCTTCAGGTAGTAGTTTTATACACATACGTGTATAGTCAGTATAATTACTTATACACCAAGTTTACTATATGTGCATTCGATCATAGGTTTACACGGCTGGCTGTCTCCCTGACAGCGGTCTATCTTACACAATGAGGCGCCATCATCATCCTACCATCACCGCCGCAGCCATGCTGCTCATCGCAGCCCTCGTTACTACCACCGATGCGGCCGCCTACGAGAACCTGGCTATACTAGATAATGCGGCTCTATTCCCTCAATCCACCGGCGCCTACAACCCCGGCCTCGGGCCCCGCCAATTCGTAGACGGCATGCCTGCGATCCCCGCATTGCCGCTATTTCCCGGCAAGGCAAAGCGCCAGGATCAGGTAGCGCAATGCTCGACAGGCAACCACAACTGTCTGGAACTCGGACCCATAGGTGCGCTGTGGTGCTGCAGCAATGACCGGTACTGTTTTCTGAACCAGAACTGGGAGCCGAAATGCTGCAGTCTGGGAACGACGTGCGGTTCGCCATGCCCTGAAGATTTGAAATATTGCAACGGCACCGCAACCACATCTACGACAGTCGCAACGTCGCCCAAGACGACGGTCGTAGAGCAGACTAGTGTAACCCCCGCGTGCTGCGGACGGGCATGCGGCAGCACTTCCTTCAGCTGCCAAGGGGCCTTTGGTGGCCAGTGTTGCCCGTTCGGAGCGAGCTGCGGCTCCAACAGTCAATGCTTATACCCACCTACATCATCTAAATCTCAAATCACTCCCGTCTCATCAGGCTGCATCGCCTGTTCCACCGGTGGCGGGTGCTGTAATGTTGGCAGCACCTGCACATCAAGCTTAGTCTCCGCGACGTCGACGGCGCAACTCTGCGCAGCCAACCTGACCGTTGTTAGCAACGAGGGGCTCTCGGAGGGTGCTAGAGTTGGTATAGGAGTCGGTGTCGCCGTAGGCGCATCACTTATCATCGGCGGTGTGACGTGGTTCTGGATCCACCGCCGGCGTGTGGCCAAATCGCGCCGCGACGGTGGGACGCTGGTGGGGTCCGGACGAGACGAGCCGGATCTTACGGGACCTTTTATCCCTCCGGGTGCTGCCATGTCAGATATAACGAGCCCGTCAAGTAGGACGGGCATGAGGCCACGGCTACATGAAGACGGGCTTGCGTACCCCTATTTTGGAGCTGATGCCGTCCCCGGGCCTTATACAGACCGCGAGGATAACAGCACCCCCAGCAGGGTCCAAGGCTTCGAGTCCAGGTCAAGTCCCGGGTTCACTGACCAAGCCGCAAGAGCTGCTAATCGCTACCCGGACGCTCCGGGGGATATCGTCCGGCCGGTTGAGCTTGGTACGCAGAGGGAAGCGCGGGCGGAACTACGTGACAACGACGGATCTAGTATTTCAGAAAATGTTTCTATTGCGAGTGGTGCTGCAGCGACCAAAGAAGAGAAACAGGAGGCGTATGAGCTCTATGGGAGTCCCGTAACCTCACCAGTACCCATGACTTTTGACGAAGCAGAGCGGCATAGAGCCCAGGAACTCTCCCCGCCAGATCCAAATCAGAAAGTAGAGAAGAGTGGGCATGAATGAATACCTAATTGGTGGAATATGATGGACGTTTGGTATATTACCCCTAATCCTAACTGTAACGAGTACCTAACATATGAACTTAATATAAATGAATACGACTGGATACCCTTCAGTCTGCAGACAAACGCCTCACTTTGCCTTCCTTGCCTTTGCTCCTAACGCCGAGCGTAAACATTGTGCGGCTGCACTAGACATTACTATCGTCTACCTTCCACGTATTCCACTGTCCTAACCAAATCTACCTGGCAAAAAGAGAGCCAGGTCAAGTACCCTCCAACTTAGTTTCGTAGATCGCACCACCTCAACTCCTTAAAAATGAAGCATTCCGCAACGTAATCGTAATTTGATAGCTTAAAACGAGGCCCGAGTTTTGCGCTACATCACAACACCCCCAAAAGGCGTATTCTGCCGTAAGTCTTCCACAAGTTCTTGTACGCTGCTTAGATGACGACCAAGCAGCGCCTGCTTCTCCTCTTGAGTCCTGGTCTCGCTGTCTTCTGCAGACTTCGGGCGCGCACCGTCCGCCGCCCCCTTTCCCGCACCAGCAAATGCAAAGGCCTTTGCAAGCTTACTAGGGCTGCGCTGGAGCAAGGGTGGGACGCCAAGTTCTTGGGCGGCGCGTGCGCTAGGGATGGAGGGCACTTCAGGCATGAGGTAGAAGTACAAGAACTCGACGAGCTTGAGCTTGACGTCGCGGCTCGTGCACCGGTTGCGGAAGAGGGAGGTTATGGTCAGCAGGCCGTCGAGGGCTTCGAATGTACGCGTGTTGCGCGGCGCGTCCACGAGGGCGGTGACCAGAGTTACGACGGTGGCGGATTGGATTGCTGGGCAGAAGTCTGGCTCGAGGAGGTCGAGGAGGAGCTATCGGGGGGGGATTATAAGTTAGCATTGAGGTAACCAAATAGAATAAGAATACCTATGTAGACATACGTTCATGTGCATCTCGCGCGAGAAGATGGCCTTGCTCGGCGGGTGTAGCAACATGACACCTTGAACTAAATCTAGTGCGCTTAGTATTAGGAGGTCGTTGGAGCCGTCGCTACCCCTGGCTAGGAGGCGGTCGAGAGTGTTAACCAGGCGCATAGCGACGTTCCATTCGAATCCCTCCTGAAGTTTGAAGAATTCGTAAAAAGCCGGGTCGTCGGTGATTTCGTCGAGGGTCTTCGGGGGAAGCGGTTCCTGGTCATCTTGCTGCTGCGCAATGACAGAACCGCGACGTTCTTTACCCTGCGACCGCGACAGGCAAATATTGGCTAGTAGACCCTCGACCTGACGTAGACCCTTGCGGATCTTAAGGCTATCATAAGATGAGAGATTGTCGAACGCGAGGGATAGGAGGTTCTCCATTTTTTAGGGTTGCTTGTGCTTCTGGTGGCTGTAGTGGCTTTCGGTACGGTAAGATAAGATGACGAGGCTAAACTGGCTGGGTAGGTATGATATGATGAATGCGATGCGACAAGATGCGAAATAAGAGATAAGAGTCGAGGTCAAAGAGGAAGAATAAAAAAAATAAAAAATACGCCAAAGTTGGTTTTTAGTTACGGCGGTAGACTGTTAATACAAAAGGACGAAGAGAATAATTTGGGGCATTACATTGGAATGATCTTCTAACCTCAAAGATCAAAAAAAGAGGAAAAAGAACCAACATGCAAGGCTGGTAACTGGGTTTTGGAGTGCTACATAGTTTCAAGGGTTTATCAAGTGTTTAAGTGGGGAGCTATCGTTAACACAGCAACGGCGGTAGGGCAGTAGTTTCGGCAGCCCGTCCTGCCATCCAGCTATCAAATCCAGCTAGTTAATCAACTATCCCTGTCCTAGTTTTAGGTAAGTGCATTTCGGGTTCACTCCTCCTTAGGGCTACATAGGTAGCTACCACCCACCTATCAGCATGCATGTAACATACCTTACAGAAAGGTATATGTATGTGCATATGTAACAGCATTGAAGCAATAAGACTCCTTTTATAACAACATCTAAGTGGGATAGAATTTGATTGCATTTAACATTTAAATCATATATGACACGTATTAAAAGCTTTTCATTTCCTAGCAAGATATCCATGCTGCAAATCTAAGACAATTGAAAACGTACATGTAGGAGCTCCGTACGGATGTACCTAGGTACCTAATGTACCTAAACCTAGCGTATGTCAATTGATAAGGTACAAGATCGATACCAGACCAGAGGTTGGGGATGGCAGGTGATGCGGGGTAAACATGACTGACATATTTGAGATTTGCAAACATGGATGAGTACCTACCTAAGGTACCTGATCCGTAACTTTTTTTTTTTTTTTTTTTTTTTTTTTTTTCATCGCACTATGTAATTGTTACCATATGGATCTCACCACATGTGAAAATCGTAACAGTGAGCTTCAACCTCGAATGACCACCGTACCTAAAGAAGTTAATCCAAATTTCTTTTTCTTCTTTTTATTGACATTATTTCTGCAATCACCCCTGACGGTCTCATCTATGAATCCTACTTAAAGGTCACATATCTGCCGTGTCTGTCTGTTTCGGCTAGCCGCGCAATCCATCACTGCGCCTCGACTCTGCTGATTGCTGTTTGTGATCGCCGTCATCTGAATCTAGGACTATCGATAATCAATGATCAATAAACCTAATACCAACATATTTCTACTCGTTTTTATATTTCGATACTACCCACATTCACATGATAATTATTTCTAAAAGTCAGCAAATAAAGATATACTACCCAACCTATACCCAACCTAATTGGTTTGATTTGCGCCGCGTTCTACTCGGCACGTCCCCTTAAATCCCCCGTTAGCCCCGTCCACTTATAGTTTGCGCCGGCGAAGAGCTAGCCAACTATAAATCCAGCTTGTCCTTTACACATCTGCTTCACCATTAGGAAACTTAATCAACATATAGGAACTTTCTCTTCTAAGAAGAGGGGAACCTCTACCTTGAAACCATGGTTCCTAACGCCAATAGTAACAGCCCTGTATCTAGCAGCTCTGCGTCACTGCAATCGCCCAATGCCATCCCTCCTAGGACTTCCTCTACGGGATACATTACTCCCCTCCCGCCCGTCAAATCTGTTCTACGCCCCGTTCCAGAATCAGACTGGTTAGGTCAGAATAACAACCGTCATCAAAGAGGCTTCTCCAGTTTTGCTGTTCCTATCACAGGCATGCATGCTACTGGCCCTCAAGACCCTGCGCGCTATGAGACGGAGGACTTGAACTACACTTCGCGGAAAACGTGGACAGAGCAGAAGGAAAAGGTACTAATGGGTCCCTTCGACTACCTGTTCGCCCATCCCGGGAAAGACTTCCGTACCCTCATGGTCAATTCCTTCAATGCGTTGCTAGAGGTGCCCCAAGAAAGTCTCGATGTCATTACTAAAGTTGTTGGTATGCTGCATACCGCATCTCTACTTGTCGATGATGTCGAGGACAGTTCGCTATTGCGGAGGGGTCTTCCTGTTGCCCACAGCATCTTCGGCACGGCGCAAACCATAAACTCGGCCAATTACGTCTACTTCTGCGCTTTGCAAGAACTACAGAAACTAAAGAACCCGAAGGCAGTTAGTGTGTTTACGGAAGAGCTACTTAACCTTCACCGCGGTCAAGGGTTAGATCTCTTCTGGCGTGACACACTCACCTGCCCTACCGAGGAAGAGTATCTCGAGATGGTCGGAAACAAAACCGGAGGGCTCTTCCGTTTGGCTATCAAGCTTATGCAGGCCGAATCAGCTATCCTCATCGACTGTGTTCCCCTAGTCAATCTGCTCGGCATTCTCTTTCAGATCCAAGATGACTACAGGAACTTGTCGAGCCCCGAGTACGGGCAGAACAAGGGGCTTTGTGAAGATCTGACTGAGGGCAAGTTCTCGTTTCTGATCATCCATAGCATACGCACAAACCCGTCAAACCTCCAGCTCCTCAACATCCTTAAGCAGAGGACAACAGACGAAGAGGTGAAGCGGTATGCCGTGAAGTATATGGAGAGCACGGGAAGCTTCGAGTACACTCAAAAAGTAATAGCAATCCTAGTTGAGAGGGCGAGAAAGATGACAGACGAGCTTGACGACGGTAGGGGGAAGAACATGGGTATGCATAAGATCCTGGATAAGCTGGTAATATGAACGGGCGGTACGACTTGACGAGAAGATGAAAAGACGAATTGTCTATTGGAATTTTGGTGGGGGCTGTATAGAGGATCTATAATTCATACTCTCCTATTGGGGTGGGGAGGTTTGCGGGAGCGAGCTCGGTGCGGCTTAGGATACCCTCATTTCCTATTTTTCAAATATATAAGAAATGCGAAATATAGGTACTTATGTTTACATTGTTGTGACTCTGCCCTTATGTTACCATTGGCCTTTAAGGGCGTAAGACTTCGGATGGGTTCTTCAGAGTTTTTGAGTTATAAACGATTTAATGTGAATACAAGTGAGAATAGCGCAACAAGAGCAATACGAGTCATAATATAATAATATAAAGAACGGGATGTAGTAGTAGTACATTCTTATATGGACCAATATCAGGAAATTCGTCGAGGTAACTTGGGAGTTCCTATAAGTTAGGTACCTAAGCTCCCATACCAAGGTTATCGTTCTAAAACAACTCCTTTCAAGCTAGGAAGAAATGTATATCAATACTTAGACCTTAATACGTAGTTAAGACCGTCTCATTCCATCTACTATCCGCTCTATTAAATAAATACCGTTGGTTGGTGTCATACATAGAGTGAATGCCATAATAGTTAAAAACTATTAACGTCCACCCTTCTATCCTCTTCCGAGGGGGCTGCGCGCCTCTTATATACCCAATCTTAGTAGATCTACCCCTAACGCACTTATTGACGCTTTCTTTTACGATATGCCTTAGATACAAATATATAGATATCCCATCGTTTAATACGTAACAAACCATGCCGGCAATGGGAGCAGATATCTGGTTTCGCTTATACTTGATGGAAGCATCAATATACAATAGTTTTATCAAAACACCACGCCAGTATCTGCGCAGGCCCGTCGTTAACACGAGCACATTGTCCAAAGACAATATCGCCATACAAGAACAATAGTCACGACAAAGAACAATGTAACCGCATCGAAGCCGTATTTAATAGCCCACATTCCAGCTCATCTTAGCACGCCAAACCCATTGTTCTCTAAACATACCTAAGACAGCAATAGACAAAGAAACACCAAGAAGCAAGCCATTAGGTTAGCTGGTAGCTAAATCAAATCTGACAGCCATGTCGCAAAACCCATCACCACTCCTCCGCCTCCCCACCGAGGTCCTCGATTCGATCCTCGAGCACATAACCTCACCACACGATTATTTCCACCTAGCGCGAACCTGCCGCGCCCTGTGGGAGCACGAAGACCCGCTGTACGTGTGCGTGGTGCTCGACGCGCGCATCCTCTGGAGCAACATAATCGGCGGCCCGGGATCGTGCGTCCGGCGGTGGCCCGCACGCTACGAGCCGCTGCTGTACTGGAGTCTGCGGACGCAACAGCCGGTGCACGTCGTGGCGCGGCTCGTCGACCGCTACTACCGCGTGTATCCCGAGGCGATCCAGGGGTCGCGAACGTCGGCTCTGAGGCCGGCCGCTGCATACGCCATCTCGGCGAACCACCTCGGCGCGCTGCGGGTCATGCTCGATATGCGTGTGATCCCGCCGCTGGCGGACATGGGCGAGCAGTATATGAACTGGGCTGTCGAGCTGTGCGATGATCTCGCCATCCCCCGCTGGCTTGTGGAGAACGGAGTCAGGGTTACGGCGCCGCATATGTTTGCCCTTGATAGGAGGGGGCTCGCGTCGAGTCCTGACGCCGACTGGCAGTGGTTCTGGGGCCATTACAGTTCGCCCGTCGCGACCACCACGGGCAACGCGGGCGGTACGAATAATACAGGTGGGCCGTAAGTTCGAATACGTAAGTAATAGTCTTCCCCTGAGCGTGATTACGACTTCGCTGGAACCTGAGAAGAGATAATGCGTCTCTAATTAGACTTGGATACGACGCGCTCTTTAGCTTAGGTATATACTTGGTAAGTACGTAGAAACACTGTAATTTGAAATTACCCCTAAACGGCGTTATTTGGTCGGTGTATCATCTCTGGCGTATGAATGTAGTTCCTTATATGTTTTCTAATGTTTAATGTCTATGTGAAACTCCTTAATGGCTAGAGAAATTGTGTCCGCGTAGTCGTAAGAACTCTGTATCACACCTCGCTGTTGGAACAATATACTTTGTGGTCGACTCTTATTCAAGATTCGGAATAAAACGATTATATAGGTGTTTCAGTGAGGGTTTTCCTCTTTACCAACCGTACCCATCTCCTCCGCCTCCACTCGCCTCTCCTGCCGTCGCTATCCTCTCCTTCTTCCCAACTAGGCTTCTGTGGGGTCTTTGCTTTCTCCTTCCCCTTGACTGATGTAGGTTGTTCGATTACTCCAACCTTTTCACCCGCCTGCTCGTCGTATATATCGTAAACCCACCTCTCGCCCTCGGTCTCGACCTCGACGCCTGTGATGATACGCTCCTCCACCCACTCACGGCTCCAGAGATCCAGAGCCCATTTCTTCTCGCTCCACTCCCAGCCCTTGGGAGGAAGTACATCTTCAAAGAAACGTGTGCCAACTGGTCTATCTCCGGCGATGCGTCGTGGCGACAGCGGGTCGTAGGGTGCCGCACTGAATAACCATGGTTCCCATTCACCCGCGTTTGAGAGGCGCTGTAGCTCAAAAATCTCCACTTCCCTGACTTCTGGCGCGTTGTCGAGTATGACATCGCGATCAACCCACTGCTCTATCCAGCCTCTAGCTTTCTCCTCTTGTGGATGTATATGCTTCTCGTGTGCAGCTTGAAGCTGCCGCTGAATAGCAGGATGACCAGCACATATAACCACCCAACCGATAGATAAGAATATCAATCGCCATGGTAGTATATTAGACGCAATGCTCATGAAGACGCAGACGATGAATAGGGATACAAACAAGGCGCTACTCAGAGCTTCGTCACTGAAATTTGTCCGTGGTACTACTAGCCTTATAATATTGTCGTGGAGCTGGCTGAAGTCCTCCATACTATTTTGCAAGTCCCTCATGTTGCGGAAAAAGTCCCTACTCAACTCCTTGACAGGCTTGACCGTAATTGCAGGGGCTAGCGGAGGTCCATGGGGCGAATATCCTATCGCTTGTTCACTTGACAAGCTGAATTCGGCTGCGGGATGGCGGGCTACGAAGCTCGGGACCAGGACACAGACGAGGAGAGCTGTCAAGGGAAGAATTGGTAGGAGATAGGGGTCCAGACAGACGAATGTGAATATGGCGAGAAAGGAGATGGTATGTGTAGGTCGTCTCCAAGAAAGTAAACGGATTATGCGGGCTTGAAAGACAAAAACAACTCCGATACGAGCATTGAAGCGGCGGAAATTGTTGGACATGGTAGTCAGGTTAAAATTAGGACGGTCCGCGCCCGGAGTATTAGGCTCTTGAGAGGCTTCATCCTGGGGAAACTGGGTGTCGTCGAGGGGCACCACCTGAGATAACAACTTCTCGACTAGCTGGTCCTGAATCTTGGTTTTCTCTTTGAAAGCCGAGAGGCGGCCGCGGAGACCCTTGCGCCGGGACGGAGTCTCGCTATCGGAGTGGTCTCCCGAAATTGAAGGTGTACGCGGTCCAGGTGGCGAAGAACCGTCAAGGACGATAGTTGGGATGGGCTCGTCACGGTTGGCGAAGACATCCGAACTATAGTTATCCATTTTAACTCTAGAACGCGATACTGCTATAATATTTGTTGAAACGGCTCGTCTGTTTGCGTTATGCCGGGCTTCACGATGACGTAAGTCGAAGATCCAGGGAGCTTGGGGAAAGCTTTGACCTTAGCCAGTATGGCTACGAGAGCTTGGACAATGCTCTAACATTATATGTCGTAGAGATATGGTAACGCTACGATGTTCAGCTTGATGAATACTGTATTATGAAGATAAGAAGCTGAAATTATGGAATACGTGAGATGAGCTACAATGAGTTGAAATGGATCACATGCCAAAGTTGCCTAATAATACATAGGTACCTAGCCTTACCTAAGAAATACGTGGTGGGTTTGATTAGCGGGTTTGATTAGCGTATCGATAGCAGGCACGACAGGGCTGAAGGCACTAAGAGGATAGCGGGGCATGCTGCATGCATTTTTGGGAATTGCAGGGGTCCATGAAGCTCAAGACAAAAATGTTTCCAACAACGTAACGAAACATAAACCTGTCTGTCACATACCACCTCCGGGAAAATGCCAATCACAATCCTCCAACCGGCATTACTACCGGCGCACAGCCCCCGAGATGCAAACTACGATTCCGAGTCAGATTCGGAGGGCGGCGTCGACCTGGAAGGCGACATCTCCATGACGCGCCCGACCAAGCGAGCTCGACGGACAGGCGACGACTCGATCGTGACTCCCGGCGAGGTGATCACGGAAGACCCTCAATGGATGCGGTAAGACGGTTCAACAATACCCACCATTGCATACTAGTACCAAGGACAGACAGACAGAAAGCTAATACTGTATATCTTCTTCTTCTTCGCAGCGGCCACGGCACATACACAACCGCAGACCCCCCCGCCATAATATCCTCCGTAGCAGGCACCCTCTCCAGAACCAACAAGCTCCTTTCCGTGCGCCCTCTCCGCGCGCGCTACACCCCCGAGATAGGCGACCTAGTCGTCGGCCGCATCGTAGAAGTCCAAGCGAAGCGCTGGCGCGTCGACGTCGGCGCCTCGCTGCTCGCACAGCTGCCCCTCAGCGCCGTCAACCTCCCCGGCGGCATCCAGCGCCGCCGCACCGAGACCGACGAGCTGCAGATCCGGACCTTTTTCAGCGAGGGCGATTTGCTGGTCGCCGAGGTCCAGCAGCTGTACTCGGATGGCGGCGCCGTCCTGCACACGCGCAGCCTGCGCTTCGGCAAGCTGCGCAACGGCGTGTTCATGGCGGTTAGCGGCACCGGCGGCGGCGGCGGCGTTATCCGCGCCAAGCGGCAGACTTTCGTGCTGGATGTGGGCCGGGCCGTGGGCGGTGGGGGTGCCGCCGCGGATGATGCCGAGAAGATTGATATCGTGCTGGGCGTAAACGGGTATATCTGGGTCAGCAAGCATGTCGAGGGCGAGGGCGCGGCATCCGAGGGCACAGGGCCGGGGATCACACGAATCGAGGAGAGCGTGGGACTGAATGTGTATTCGAGCCAGAACGATGCGATACCGCCTGGCACGATGCGTGAGATTGCGCGTGTTAGGGGTGTTATCAATGCTCTTATCGAGCATGGCTTGCGTGTGGACGAAGAAATGGTAGTTACGGGTTATCATGAAGCGGTCGAGATGGCAAGAGCCGATGGTGATGGCGAGGAAACGCTATATCTTGGAGGTGAACGAGGTCGGCGACTGGCTGATACCCTTGTGGGGCGGTAGGGACGGTCCAAGGCCAGCAGGTCAGCAAGGGAAAGCAACCAATAATGGTTTGGTTGTGTGAATCTGTCACGTTGGCATATTTTGATGCAAGATATGTCGTTATAAGAGAGTACCTGTCACTAAGACAGCTATACTGAAAAAATACAAATGTTAAGGAGTGAGATACCATCAATTTGCACATTAGTTAAAGGTAGTTATACTACGTTCAATGCTGTAAGATATTTACTATCAGAAACGCTCATTGGCTATTTTCATCATAATTATATACTTTCAGTCCCCATTCCTCCTTATAGACACTTTTTCTTAATACCACCACACATTCAATCCTAATAGGAACACTGCTATACACATATAAAACGTAGCGTAACTCGATACTCGAGATAGACTCGTCATATGCGTAACCGTCTTACATAGGTATACAACTGAAATTCGATCCAGCACATCAGAGTGCAAATCAGAGCTTCGCTCGTTGGGCATTACCTAATCTTACTACCGTAGTTAGCCAAGCCAAAGTCAACGGATTAGATAACAACGAGGAGAGTTTGGAAATGATATCCCTTACATCCGGACGCTTCTTACATGAAGGGAGCCGCAAACACCAACATCATATCATTTCCAAAATTCAAGACCGCGCCCAGGTCGATACCGGGAAAATATGGCATACGCCGAGGTAAGGAGAATAATCCACCTCATTAACGCACCTTTGGCAGTGGGGCCGCCGAGGCCGAAGATGAGCCAGAGCCAGTAGCCGGGACCGGAAAGGGGCTTGCCGTCGCGATCGAAATTAGGCTTGGCGCTTGTCATCCAGATATGGCGCTTGAACTCGGGCGCCGAGAAGGGTGGATACCGTGAGCGTAGCAGCTTGTCCATCCAATTCGGTACTTCGACTATCGTACGCCGGTGCGTGAAGCAGTCGAATCCCGCTCGGCCGTGGTACGAGCCCGTGCCGGACTCGCCCACGCCTCCGAAAGGCAGCGTGGGTACCGCGCCGTGCATCCATGCGTCGTTGATAGTGGCACCACCGGAAGTCACTTGGCTGAGGACTGCCGGGTATGATTAGTACGGTTTTAGCACGGCAAAGGTATAGACACTCACTCTTTTCATTTTCGGCTTTGGATCCGAAAGTTGTAACCGTTAGAGGTGTAGAGTCAACCGTATTCATGATCTTAATGGCATCCTCGACGGTATCGTAGGGAATAATAGACCAGACGGGACCGAAAGATTCGTCCTTCATCATGGGGTCGTCGGTAGAGTCCACGAGAACAACGGTTGGTGAGATATAAAGATCAGATCTATCCGTCTCTCCGCCCAAGACAATCTTGCCGTTGGTGGTGTCGAGCATCTTCTTTATGCGGTCGAACTGCTGCTCATTGATGATACGGCCATAATCCGAGCTCGCCTTAGCACCGTTGGGGTAGAATTCCTTGTAGGTTGCGTTGAGATGCTTGATAAAGTCATCGACTAAGTCTTTCTGAACGGTCACATAATTCTGCGATAAGCAAACTTGGCCGGCGTTGATCGTTTTCCCCCACATGAGACGTCTTGCGGCCAGTGCCAAGTTGGTAGATCTGGAGATGAACGAAGGGTTTCGACCTCCAAGCTCGAGAGCAACTGGCGTAAGGGTCTCGGCGGCCTTCTTCGAGACGATTCTCGCAACAGTCGGACCTCCGGTGTAGAAGATCTTATCCCACTTCTCATTTAGTAAGGCAGTGCTCTCCGGGATTGTTCCATTGACAACGGAGAACGACTCGGGGTCAAGATACTTCTCAATCATCTCCTTCAATACCATGGCAGTCGCAGGAGCGCTCTCAGAAGGCTTAATGACAGCGGTACAACCAGCCGCAATAGCACCAATGAGCGGAGCGACGTTAAGCACTAGAGGGAAGTTATAGGGGCCAATAATTAGAACAGCGCCTAGAGGCTCCTTTTTGATACGTGGTTTCATGGCTGAAAAGGTCCAGGCATACTCGATATCCTTATCGTCCTTTACCCAGTCCTTCAGCTTTTTGAGAACCAGGTTAAGTTCCTGGATCAAATGGTGGATTTCAGACAAGATAGCATCGTGGGGCGACTTATTCAAATCCTTCTTCAAAGACGCCTGGAAATTCTCACTGTAGTCCGTGATACCCCAGTACAACTTTCGAAGCTGTACAAGCCGCCACTCGACATCTTTGGTCTTTTGAGATTGATATGACTGGCGGACTGTAGCAGCAATCTTAGGAATGCTGTCGATGGGCGTTGCCTCAAAGGCGGGGATCTTGATGTCAGATGTCATAATAGTGGTAGAAATCGACGATATCGGAATAATAAAAGAAGTTGGCATACAGGACCTAGGCACAGTGAGAGAGAGATATGAAAACTATTTACTCTCCTCGGAGCTACAAATGATAAATTGACGAAATAGACAATAGAAATGGAAGATTTATTGGCATTTCTGTATTTATAAAAGAATTCCAAGTTTCACCCAATGTTATATGAATCTCGAACCTGCCAAGTAAATACATGGGTAAACTGGGCCGAGGTTCTTAGGAGGTATGGGCTTCAGCTGCGGCCTGCAGACGCAAGCCACAACGGCCTGTAAACCTAGGTATTGTACATGCAGGTACCTATGCAAGCCATAAATACAATACCTAATAATCCCGACTGCAGGGTCAAGCCATGACCTCTCCGAATTGTGGACTACAAGTACGTATTTCACACTGTAAGTCATACTGTGAGATTAGAAAGGTATTGTACCAGATACGTACCTAATGTAAAAGCACAGACCAGTTTAGCTTGCCCTATCAGCCTACCGAGCCCCACTACGTTTTCCATACACCAAAAATGTCCTTATCAAAATTCAACGAACTTTTTTTTTTCTTCTCTAACATCAATCGCAACGCTTCGCCGGCAACATTCAACCCTCAACCACCTCAATCGACAGACGCAGGATTCGACCTCTTTGCGTTCATAATCACACTCAGTAGCAATGGCTCCCCAAACAGTATGTATCACATGACACCGCTTTGCTGTTGGCCCAGTCTCTCTGGCAATCAGCGAGATGATGGCGTGAAGCAGTAGGCTAAGGTCAATTTTTCATCATGTAGAAGAAGTCCGGCAAGCAGGCCAAGACGACGAAGAAGGTAAGTTATCCCATTCATATCCGATCCTGTCGCAAAACACACAAGTTTCTTACAATGCGCCTCAGTTCGTCATCAACGCCCAGCAGCCTGCCAGCGACAAGATCTTCGATACCGCTGCCTTCGAGAAGTTCCTCCAGGACAAGATCAAGGTTGACGGCCGCACCGGCAACCTCGGCGACGCCATCGTCATCCAGCAGGCTGGCGAGGGCAAGATCGAGATTATTGCTCACAACGAGCTCTCCGGCAGATACCTCAAGTACCTGTGAGTTCCACTCGATTTTCCACGGCACACATGACCAAATATAAAGTTGCTAATGCTTGTCACATTTAGGACCAAGAAGTTCCTCAAGAAGATGCAGCTCCGTGACTGGCTCCGCGTCGTCTCTACGTCCAAGGGTGTCTATGAGCTCAAGTTCTTCAACGTCGTTAACGACGAGGCTGATGACGATGAGGACTGAATGGACATGGAATTATGACGAATGGGGGAAATTGGCGATTGTGCATGGACTCTGCGTAGGACAGGCACTTCGATGCTATGACACATAGACTTGAATCCCCAGGAATAAAATCGCCATTGCCAGCAAATATTTGACCTCTTTATTGTGATTTTGTCTGTACACACTTTCTCAACCTTTGGGCTGTATAGCTCCATGAATGCTTGGTATCTCGTCTATTATGGTAATGCTCTCATAACGCCTTCAAAGGCCACCAAAGCCATAGCATTGGCTGGAAATGCTCTCAAGAAACACGGCAAAAACCCTCGCCAATACCCTTTAGCACCGCCCTCTCTATAAACAGCCTGCGCCGCCTGTAGCCAAGTCTTGAACCTCGGCGTCCCGTCATTAAGTTTCCCACCCATCGGATCTGTCATGATCCGTTGCTTAACAACATCGCTCGGATAGCTCGTGAGCCAGAAGACCTGAGCGCTCAGCCCGCCTGCCCAGAAATTGATAGCCGGAACGCCGAGACTCGTCCGATCTCGTAAGAGACGCGACAAAACATCGTAGGACCCCCACCAAAAGAAGAAAAAGGACCGGAATATCAGCGTCGAAAACAGCCCCTTGTAGATGCCGCGCACGCCGTGGGCGCCGTAGATCTTGCGTACACAGTCCACGGGCCCCAAATACAACCGCTCGGTCTTCTTGGCCGAGTACTGGATCTGCAGGCGCGCCTTGACGTGCTCGACAGGCGCCGCGATGAAGCTCACCGTGCAGCCCGCTAGAACGCCGGCGAGCCCGTGGCCGTAGGACGGCAGATGCGCTGCGGCGTGCGAGGTGGCGGCGATAGGGCCCTCTTTCTCGGGCCGGGTATCCGGCGGCGTTAAGGGAGAGTGCGGCGTCAGGTGCCGGTAGAAGACGTGCTCGGCGAGCAGGCGGCGGTAGACGGTCAGCGACCCCAGCATGATGGAGTCCATGAACATCCAGCCGACGAGCGGGGGCGTGGCGCCTTTATACAGGCCGCGCACGCCTTCGTTGCGGATCGTTTGTACGACGCATTGCAGCGGTCCGCTGAAGCGTGTTGGGTCGGTGGTTTGTAGGCGCACTTTGATCGTGTCGAAGGGGTGGCCGACTGTAGATTGTATATCACATGCGTTAATACTGTATTGTCTTTTTCCCATTGCTATGTCGCAAGAAGAAGAGGAAGAAGAAGAGGAAGAAGAGGGCCCTACCCGATAGCTTGGCGATGCCGGAGAAGACACCAGCTACGAAACCCTTGTAGTTCTTGTTGCCCTCTGCCGGCTTTTGCTTGTGGTCGGCCGTCATTGTACGGGCTGGCGGGCTGGGTTACATTGGAAGGGAAGGAAAGTTAAATTTACGTCGGAGGAGTAGTGACGTCTATGCTTTTTTTTTCTTCGAATTCGATATCGAATCCGGGTTAGGCAAGTTCCGGAGCCGAGATCGGGCGCCGGGTTTAAGATGCAAGTTCTCGGTCCGTGCCGTGGACTTGGGTATTAAAGTTTTAAATCATGGCCAATTGGAATTGTCTGTTATTAATGCATGGAAATTGTGAAATCGGTTTAAGCATTAATATTAAATTCATAAAATAGAATGTATCGTCGATCCTCTCGACGTTAGTCCAATATCCAATATCCCCCTTTCCCATCTCTGTAAACGTTGGGAAAGACGTAAATATGTAAGTGCAAGCTCATGTCACAACCTGATAATCTAGCCTGTCCCAGTGTATTATCTCAACTCCGAAATAAGCAGCGCCGTTATCTCTCAGGAAGTTGACTATGTCCTTGCATGCCTCGTCCCACAACTGCTCATCCTCGGCATTATATTCGCGGTCGTTCTCGTCCCAGGCCACTACCATGATAGTCGGCACGGCAGCTATATTAGACCCTTCCATCCGTCTATTGGCGGCTTCAAACTTAATGGACCACTTCTCTCGTAGACTTTCTCTAGACCCTAAAAACCCATCCCTTGTTCTTAGCTCTTTGATAGTATTTTCTAACTCGCCAGACAGGTTCCGTTGTCCATCTCGTGGTGTCCATGGTTCCAGGTTTGGATAGCACACTCGCTTCTGTTCCGCGTTAGAGAATGGGCATATTTCAGCTATCGTCCATGTCTTGTTCCTGTTTCCAGTTGTCGGCTTGTCGATATTGAGAGGGAATGTCAGTGCTCTTTGAAACATCCTAAGTAGTATAAATGTGAAATGTGAAATTGATTTAATTACTGTTTGGCGTGTGTGATGAAAATGGTTATTAAGTTTGAGAATGAGGATGCATACAATCGGTATGGCAAATTTTCGTTTGACAGGATTCGAGCAGATAAGGGTTGGAATAAGCTATGAGAGTTATGCTGACGCTGACGCAACCGGAAATAATCACCAATGTTAGTAAGAACACTTTCTTTAAACATGTCTTACTATAAGGTACCTGTTTTACCAGCTTCCAGGACATGATAACTATACCTAGTGATCGCGACGACTTACTTCATAATGGGCCATTGCTCCAAATCCCCCATCTACCGGCAAGATGCACCGGAATTTATAGATCATCGATTACATCGGCCTCGGTATTATTTAAGTGTTTGGCGATACCCCTGAGTTAGATTCCGACAAAGCACAGTGTAACCCAGTAGATGGACAACTGAGCTCACAGAGAAGCTCTACAAGTCTAAAGGCGAAATAAAGAGGAACCTGACCAGACATCCTGCAAGCATCAAGTACTAAATACCCCTGAATTAAAATTCACCAAAAAGGGGGTAAATTTTCCAAATGCATCAATATGACAAGCAGCTCACTCATCTCTCCCAGCTTTTATTGTTTCCCATCCAGCCAACAGTATTAAAAAGAAGCCACCCAATAGTCAGACTTACACACCACCCACCCTCCTACTCCTCAACCCTCACCGCATCCGGTATCGCCTTCGAGCCCGAGGCTATCTTCTTCGCAAGCGACGCAAGCGCCGTCTTGCTCAGCAGGTCGAACACGGAGATATCCGACTGCAACTCGGAGTAAACCCAAGCCCGTAGCTCGACGGCAAGTAAGCTGTCGACGCCGTAGCTGCTCACCGGCCTCGTGACTTCAATGTCCTCTATTTGGTCCATTGATTAGCTTCGTTCTCTTTTCTCGTTCGTAAAAGTGCCGCTACTGGGTACAACTTACCAGCCGCTATCATCATCGACTTGGCGAGCTTCTTCACTAGGGCGTCTGCGACGATATCTGTCGCCTGCTCGAGGCTACTCGCCTGTGCGAGCTGCACGCGCAGCTGCACCGTGTCCTCGTGCGTCGCCTTTGCGAGCTGGTGGATGTCGACCTCTCCGAGGTGCGCAAACTTGGCGTCCTTGTAATAATACGGCTTCTCCTTTGCGCCGTGTAGTAGTATGCCTCCCGTTCCGAGGCCGGTGATGACCTGTGGGGGCACACGTGCGCCGTTGAAGCTCTCGCCCGTGATGGCGGCTTGTAGGATGCTGAGGAACTCCTTCTCTAAAATGCCGATGACGATCCAGCTCTGCATATTTTCGAAGACGCGGTCACCTGTTGTCTCCTCGGCTAGGAAGCCGACGCCTAACACCATGCCGACGTCTATGGCGCACGCGTTAAGGCCGCGCTTGCGTCGGTGATGGGCTAAAGCGTCTTGGTATGTGTTGCCGGCTGCGTAGTTGCCTTGACCACGGGAACCACCAATGCCAGCGATAGACGAAAGCATTACGAAGAAGTCGAGGTCGTTGGGCAGGTAATTGTGCAAGTTCCAGCTCCCTTGGACCTTGCTTCGAGTTGCAGCAAGGAATTGCTCTGACGACATGGTCTGAGAAATCTATTCCAGGATATATCAGTTAGCAAAAATCCACAATATGAAAACGGGATGGGAGTGACTTACACTGTCCCTGAGCACCATGGCACCCTGTATGACACCACGAATAGCAGGCCAATTCTCCATCTTACATCTATCCAGACATCCTAGTAGTTGGCTTGTATCTGCTACATCGCACGCCCATGCGTCTGCTTTGACTCCTTGACCAGCCAGTCGAGTTAATAAGCCTGGTACAGATGCTTTGCTAGCCCCTGAACGAGACAGGAGGAGGATATTCTTTGCACCGGATTCTGCCATCCAGTTGGCGATGGAGCCACCTAGACCACCTGTACCCCCTACGATCACGTACGTTGCATCAGGGTGGAAGCGCACTGGAGCCGTACCTGGTGAGATAGCTTGGATGATATCACCATCCACAGCTTCTACCACGAGCTTGCCGACGTGTTTGCCAGTCTGCATGAGTCTAAAAGCTTCTTCCACCCTTGAGAAGGGCATGGTGGTGATCGGTGTGACAGGCTTTACGATGCCCGCACGGATCAGGCCCATGACCTCGCGGAACACCCTTGCCGTGGTGAGGATGTCATAGTCCATAAGGTCGATCAAATTAACAGAGTGAAAAGACATGTTCTTGATAAACGGCGCCATGTCCAGCCCAGTGTTTCCAACAATATCCTTTTGGCCTAGCTCAATGAACCGACCGAAGCGCGCGACGCAGTGCCATGATTCCCTTAATGCGTCGCCGGCGAGAGAGTTCAATAGGACATCTACGCCGCGCCCACCGGTATGCCGCTTAACCGCCTGTGCGTAACTCGCGTCACGGCTGTTAAAAATGCGGTCTTCAGGCACATTATACGTATCTATCAGCAGCTGCTTCTTCTCGCGCGACGAGACCGTGGCAAAGACCTCGGCGCCGAAGTACTGGGCAAGCGCAACAGAAGCCTGTCCTAAACCACCGGCTGCGCTGTGTATCAGGATCGTCTCGCCCTTCCGTATATTTGCAACAGTGACCAGGGCGTAGTATGCAGTGCTATATACGAGCGGAACCGAAGCTGCCACATTGAAGTCGAAGTTTTGGGGGATCAATTGGACCATAGACTCGTCTGTCCTGATGTAATTTCTGAACGTTCCTTTCTTCCAAGTCATCACCTTGTCCCCGGGCCGGAACGTCTTGACTTTGTGGCCGACACGGCTCACAACGCCACTGGCGTCAAGGCCGAGTTCATGCTGCGAGAGCTGACCCATTGCGATCATAACGTCCTTGAAGTTAAGACCTGCGCTCTTGATTTCGATTTCGACTTCGTGGTCAGACAGCGGTGCTAACGCAGTAGGATCGCCCACGAATCGCAACGTATCAAGCCTTCCCGGCGACTCGATATGAAGCGTTAACGGGCGACCCTCTTGCTTGAAAGGGGCTGGTTCGGGCTGAGCAGCGACATGTAATGTTTTAATCAGATCATTTACACCCTTCTCGAGGACGATCCTCTGAATCATTGGAACCCCATCCCTTATAGCGATTTCCCAATCCGGGCGCTCTAGGCCTTTAGAATTCATAAGCGTTATGAACACTTTGATAACTGTAGAGATCGTCTCGTCGGTATCCATTGCAACATTAGGGTCTAGATCCAGTGTAGAAAGAGCAATGGTAGGATTCTCGGGGCGAATGGCCCTTGATAAGCCAGTCATGAGGTTAGATTGAGGGTTCTCGCTGTCGACAGTACCGCCCCGTGTTACGTACGTAGCGGTTCGGGAAGAAAATAGAAGGTGTTTGAGGGCATCCCAGTCCTCCGTAGATACGTTTGGGAGGAACCCTTCGGGTTTGTCAACATCGACTAAGATAAGGCACGATTTGTTCTTCACGTTAATGCCAGTTGTGTTTTGCAATCTCATAGTTACCACGTCACGACCAGCACCCCTCATTTGCGATGCGATATTCTCTGCAAAGTTAGATGTCTCCTGCTCGGGAGTTGTTGGTAGAACGATCATGACTTCTTGCGATGTATCCGGAGGTTCAGGTGCAGTGGCAGTGGTGACCATGACTGAATTTGTCAGATCTATCTTCTCCTCAAAATCTGGGAAGTTAATCTCCACGCCGGAAAATCCCACGTCGAGCATGAGGTCATTCCATTTATCTACGGTCAGACATGGTCCTTCGTGACGTCCGTCCCCCTCGCCTATAGAGTGTCAATATATTAAGCAAGCCTTAATAATACTTACTGTCGAACTCACCATACCACCAGCCTTCAAGTGAACCCACAATCATGTGTGTTCTAATTTTCCCAGCTGGTTCCGTGATTTCCCTGAGAATTAGTTTCCCATTTCTATAATCACAAATTAGTAGTGTTGCTCAACAAGTAGTTACGATATATACCTACGGCTTTAATAATTTATGGACATGCCTCAAAGTTTGCGAGAGAGATCTCGTTGCATGAAGCACGTTCGACGCGACGATCAGATCGTAAGAGTACTCCTGGAATCCTTGTGAAGCAGGGTTCTGTTCAATGTTAAGTTTTCGAAACTCCATAAATGGAGTCCAAGGTGCCAGCTTCCCCATGGCTTTTTTGAAATAGACGGTGCTTATGTCAGTGAACGTATACTTCGTGAAGTGCGGTGAGGTATCGTGGGAGCCACCGAGTGATTCAAGTATAGGTAAGCTCACGCCACCGGTACCCCCGCCTACTTCGAGAATATTCATGTTAGGATTCTTGTGCGCTAGCAACTGAATATAAGCTGTCATCTGGCAGTTGTGCCGCTCCATACCCAAGGAGTATTTGTACCAGTTATGAAGAAGGTCGTTGTTCATCAGAACTTGCAAAGGCGGTATTTGCCCGCGGAAAATCTGCGGGAGATGTTCGCCATGCGCACATAGGATAGCACCATCAGAAGAAGACTTAGACACGCGGTCCAACAGCTCAGACTCGGCCTTCTCTCCCAAGTCTAACCAGTTGGAATCTGAAGTTTGGTAGCAAAGCTGGCGCTTCTTACCCATATCATAGCGTTTGTGCATATAGTTGTAAAACAGCTTGAGATTCCACCCTAGGCCCTCGACTTCAGGCAAAGAGAGTTCGTTCATGATGCGCTTGATATAGATTAAACTAGCAATTTCAAGTTCTTCTAGAGTTTTGCGGTGGGGGTTAACGATTTGCCTAGCAGCATTGATACTGATATTTTCGATTTGTTGACGATCTAGAAGAGATACATCCGGTTTCCATTCGAAGACCGTCGCTAGCTTGTGTAGGGGCTGGGCGGAAGCAGTGTAATTTTCGTTATCATCATGGACGACAGCACATTTTATACCTTCAAAAGTGACAAGCGGTTTGTCCCACTGAGTGTCAGCCACGAAAATGGACCATTCATCATCCCCAAAATCTAACATATTCCGTTGAGAGTAGCCAGACAGGACTGTGCCGGGTCGATTCGGGACATCCGATGACACCATTAATCGACTGATACCTGTCGGTACCATGGCCGAAGTAATATCCTCGTTCACCTTGGTGTATGATAATAAAGCCATGTGTATTATACTATCTAGTGTAGCGGGGTGAATAATGTGAGGATACTCAAAATTATGAGGCATGAGACTCTTCGTGTCAGGAATCTTTAGCTTGCAGACACTCCAGAAGTTGCCCTTCTTTATCTCGGTTAAGTTCCGGAAAACAGGGCCGTATTGAAGACCGATAGAATCAAGATGCTCGTAGAATTGCCGCGGATTTCGGGCCCGAGAGTGGTTTTCTTGGATGCGATGGTATTGTTCCGCATGCTTCGCTGCGAGCAGTATACCTTCATCGGAGAAAAATTCTTTGGGAACCTCTTTATAGTTGATGCGGATCAAACCTGAGCAGTTCAGTTCCCATGCTTCTTGGCGTGAATAAACTTGAAATTCCTGCCAGGTTGAAGTGAGAGCTCGCGATTCAGTGCGGTGAGGCTTGATTGAGAGCATAGTCTCGACACCATCTTCTTCATCAGGAACTACGATAGCCTTGCTAATGATAATATCCCGAAGCTCGTAGTTATCAATTTCACGATCTTTGGTGGTGTTATGAAACATAGCCTCGATAGCCATAACCATCATACCAGCAGCAGGGTAGAGTATAGAACCTTGGACCTTATGTTGCTCCATCCAAGGCACCTCCGTCACCCGAAGAGTATTCCGGAACCGTGGTTCATTAACCAAATTCTCGAGGGTTGCTAGACCAAGGAGATCCTTCCTAGGGCTACCTCGGAACCTATGTGCTTTGGATAATAACGACTCCGTCCAATACTTGGCACTATGGTTCCAGCTGAAAGGTGGTAGATCAACCAAAAAGTCGTCAGCTGGGTTCTGCTCATTGACAGCGTTAATATCTACAGGGTATCCGGACTGGTACAATTTGCCCGCGACGGTAAATGCAGTTTCGCATGCAGTTGAGCCTCTTAGGATCATCGATTGGTACGTATAGCCCGCCGCGTACGATTTGAGCGTGTCGTGGCTTAGAATTTGATTCAACGGACCTTCAAGGGCAGAATGGGGGCCAAGCTCGATGAAGTTCTTAACAAACCCCTTTTTTACCCGCCCCTTACTTTTTTCTTCCGAATAAGTAAGCATACTTTCAACCGCTCCGGCGAAATTGACTTGGCCAACCATATTAGCTACCCAATAAGAAGGTCCCAATTCGGAATTCTTGGCCAGATTTCCGGTCAGAGATGAAAACATCTTCACCGTGCTCCGGCCTTCAGCAAGGGGTGTGATTTCACTAATCGCTCGATAGTACCTATCCGCGATGACCTGCATGTGAGGCGAGTGGTAGGCGACGTCTACTTTTAACTTCCTTGCGAAATGACCACCATCCTTGAGTAGCTTCTCTAGCTGGATTATGGCTACGGAGTCTCCTGATAGGGTCACACTAGAGGGACTATTGATACAGGCAATAGTGGCCTCACCTTCAGTAACACGGGCAATATATTCTCGTACATCTTTGTCTCCGAGTCCAACAGCTAGCATAGAGCCGTGTAGTTGTGGAGCGAAGCCCCGAATGCAGTTCGAGAGATGGCCACGGTGGTAGGCGATGGCCCAAGCGTCGTCGCGTGTGAGTGCCCCTTTAGCATAGGCCGCTGCGATCTCGCCGCTTGAATGTCCAACGACAGCTGTAGGGAAGATCTTCCACATTCTCAACAAGTCTACCAGTGCCACTTGAAGCGCGGTACATATAGGCTGGCTAAGGTCTGCTGAGTCTAACTTCGACGTGCTCTCGTCTTTCCAGATCTCAGCTGTTCTTATACGTTAGCTCGAATCCTCACAGGATCAAGAAAGTAATGAGTATAACTGAGTCAACTTACTCATGAGTGACCAAGGCGCTCCTAGTTGTACGAAGTATCTTCCTGCTCCCTCAAGACTTTCTCTGAACACAGGAAGCGCTAGAAGCTCACGCCCCATGGCGTACCACTGTGCACCCTGACCAGTGAAGACGAATGCCAAAGTTAGTGCGGTCTTGGTTTTATTAGATCGCACACTTCCAAGAGGTTTTATTAATTCTGTAGAAGCTTCTTTACACGATGTTGCGATAATAAATGACTTCCAGGGAAGGATGCTGCGTCGTCCAGCGAGGGTACGCGCGAGCCTACAAAGGAGCTTTTTATCATGATTCCCCTCGATTGCTTCAGTAGAGGTTTTCTTAAGTTTGGCATCGAGGTATACACCATACCCGTTTGAAATTCGCGAAATACCGGCCTGGTCATGTGAACTCCAAACAAGAAGTTTTGGAACCGAGGACAGGCTCGACTCAAACCGACCTCCTAGTAGTCCTTCCAGAGATCTCCACTGCTTAGTCCCGTCGCTAAGCTGGCTCGGCATACCAACATCATAGGTTGTGCCAATACCAGAATCAGGGTTAGAAGTCGGTGATGATCCATTGAGAACCTGGACATTGTGATTTCCAGATAGGCCCCGGGCTTTCAAGTAATGGTATGCATCGTCAATTATACAGTGGCCATTGGTTCCACCATAACCGAACGAGTTGATACTAATGCGGCGCAGTCCATCTCTCGGCCAAGGCATAAGCTCTGTTGGAATCGCGAGGTTCCAGTCTTCCATCGGAATTCTTGGATTGGGCTTTTCATACCAGATAGTCGGTGCAATCTCCCCCCTTTCCAGCATCATTATACCCTTGATTACCTGTACAAGACCAGAACCTCCTTCCAAGTGTCCAATGTTTGATTTTATAGACCCTATCCAAAGGGGGTCCCCAGGGGGTCGAGCTTTTCCGAAAGTAGCTGAAAGAGCGGATGCCTCAACTGGGTCGCCAGCTGCTGTTCCAGTACCATGAGTTTCGACATAAGTTGTATCCGCTAAACTCAGGCCGGCATCCGCATAAACCTTTCGAATTAATGTTTCCTGCGCGTCCGCTGACGGCATCGTAATTCCAGGGGTGTTTCCGTCTTGATTAATCCCCGAGTTGCGGATAACGCCTCGAATTATATCGTTGTCCCTAATGGCTAGGTGAAGCGGCTTTAAGATACAGAATCCGGCTCCTAGTTCTCCTATCAGCATGCTTGATATGTTGTTATTATAAACTATAAAGATACCTTCGCCTCTAGAATAGCCATCAGCTCTATGATCAAAAGAGTGTGATTTCCCTTTTGGACTCAAGAAATGTAGTCGAGTCATTCCACTCATGACATCTGGTATGATCATTAAATTGGTTCCACCGACAACAGACTAGGAAGATGCATTAGCTATAATCTGTATCCGTCTTCTATATGACGCACTAGTTTCGATTCGCCTGTACGAAGACTTTGGCAGCCAAGGTGAAGGGCTGCTATTGACGATGAGCAGGCAGTGTCGACACTAATACAAGGGCCCCTCATATCGAAAAACCAGGAGACCCTGTTTGACAGCATAGCAAGGCCTGTTCCAGTAGCCTGGTACGTGGGGAGGTTGTCGCGATCATGCGACAACATATCGTGATAGTCCTTCGTGAATGTACCAACATAGACCGACGTGTCAGACCCTGCTACATCTTCCATGCGAATTCCGGCTGAAAGGTATGATTTTAGATTTGTTTTCAAGCTGTATTAGATAAGTTGACATACCATTCTCTAGAGCTTCATATGTGCATTCGAGAGCCATACGCTGTTGAGGGTCCATCGCCTTAGCCTCTGCAACGGGGATGTTAAAAAAAGGGGCGTCGAACGCTGATATATCTCTCTTCATGAAATGGGCTTCTTTGAAATTTATCGTCCCGTAGCGTTCCGAGCTTGGATGATAGAAAGCGTCGATGTTGAATCGGTCAGGTGGAATTCTGGACGCAGCACTTCTGCCCTCGGATATCATATCCCAGAGTTTCTGCGGATTTTCTGCGTCACCAGGAAAGCGCCCCGAGATCCCAATGATAGCGACTGGCATGACGGCATCTTCGTACGGAGCAGCAGATAATATGCTGCTCCTCTGGTTGTGACCAAGAGAAGGCATATCTCGACTAAGCTAATAAGGTGATTCATTTAATCATTAGGGGTTAGTCTTTCGAGTTGATGGGGGAACCCCTGTTGTAAGCACGATTCCTGATATTCAGACTTCGATCTGATAGTACAATAGGAGTGTGAAACAACCATAAAATTAAGCTAAAAGACTACATCTTAATTTATATCGCCATCATATCTTATTGTGAACGAATAAGCTTCACTAACTAACGCAAAGCACAAAGATAGATACCCAAGATAGGTTTCTTTCAGTAGGTACATACCTAAGTAGGCATGGCCACAGCAGCCAATGCGTCTTTCCGATATCATATGCCTGTCCCCCGTGTTTTGATTACACCTGCCCCGTGTGTATTTTAGCTGTAGTACAACTATCTTTGTATTTCATCGATGAGAATTACCTATAACTACTACCTCCTAAAGATGTAGTTAATGTATATGCAAATCTATAACCGTATTTGGAGTTTCTACAGCATATGTATAACGAGTTTTGAGCTATCAGTAGTTATGGCTACCTCAGCCTTTAATTTGACTTTAGAGTCTACGCTTCATAGAGGTTTCTACTATGTAGGTAGGTAGGTGGGTAGGTAATACTATGTAGAAGCACATGTTGTTAATAGAAAATGATACAAGAGCCAATCAGAAGTTAGAGGTAAAGACTAAGTCGAGTGTTACACGAAGTTTTCCTGATAGGGTAAGATACTTAGATTTGATTGGCTGATTGCTCAACTCTAAAATGGTACCCAAAGACCTGTATTTAAATGGAGTTCGGCTATACTTGCATTGCCACTCAAATTATTGTCTTAATGTTTTGCAACTTGATACGAAAAATTCTTCACAATTGAAAAAGTCTCAAATCGATCGTAGGCCGCGAGGGTTATTTCATATGGATCTACCCCACATCAACTCTGCAGGAAGAACTGATTCCTCTATCTCCCGATGCCGGCTTAGAGAATCTCACGGCCGAAACTTCGCGGCCGAGTTTGTAGTGCTGACTACACGAGAGGTGGGGTTACAACAAGGGAGTTGCATACAGCAAAAGTCATGATTGGTTGACGTGGTGGCGAAGCCTAACTGCTAACGCATCCTCCAATCCCGGCCGTCGCATCCCTAGACGGCTTCCGTTGCTGACTATTAGATGGGGTCCTAACATAGGTCCTAATCTAATAAAGAAATGCTACTAGTCAGACGCCATGTCCCGGGAGCTGAGGCTATATTCGCATCCTCATGCAAGTAGGAATAAATAGGAGTAGAATGAGGTAAGCATCTAGACCGGCTGAAGCCACCGATTGGTTTGCCTACTACAGTTGCGTGCCTTTTTTTCATGGGACCCTTATCAAATGCGGTCCTAACGGTTAGTATGGTCACAATCCTATACATATCCATGTCAGATCCGTAGCAGGATGCTTATAGATACTCCGACATAATATAAGGCGGTAGGACAACTTGTGCTCTCTTCTAAAGAATCTACGGACTTTGCTTTTCAACTAACCCACTGTTCAACACTTACACGGAGAAAAGAAAATGAGTACTACCATGGTCACAGAAACTAGCTCTACGGGCTTGGGCTCGGGTATCTACACACAGTCTATCCTCAACTACCTATACCAGCGCTTAGTTTTGGAATTCAATGTCCCTTACGTGTGGGGCTGCCCATGCGATGTATTACTCAACCTTTTTGCCGAACATTTCTCTCAGAACCATCTAGACTGCGGTGTCGCCACGGGTTACTTTCCCGCAACCGTCCTACAACGTACTAGCCAAGCCAATACGCAACGCCAAGTTACCTTGTTGGATCTCAACCCCAACTGCCTGGAGGCAGCTAAGGCAGCTATACAGGCAGAGGCGCCTCAAGTTCCGGTTTACACTGTCGAGGCGGACATAAAAGCACCCGTACCAGCTGCGTTAAAGGGCAAGAAGTTCGATACGATATCCATGTTCAACTTATTCCATTGCGTACCCGGGGGGGCGAGCAAGTTCCAAGCACTCGCCACCTACAAGGACGTTCTTGCGGATGACGGTGTGTTCATAGGATGTACGGTGCTGGGCGAAAAACACACTACCGGCTGGTTTTCTCGGAATTACCTCAGCCTCTACAACTGGGTCGGCGTGTTCAATAACTGGGATGACAAGGCGGAGGATATCGAGAGCGTACTTCGATCAGCATACAAGGAGGTTGATACTTGGAAGGTTGGAATGATCCTCATGTGGAGGGTAAAGGGTCCTAAGAAGGCCTAAGTACCTAACATATCTAATATTCATAACACCGCATTTATGGGGACATGAGCTGTTCATGGGGATGGGTCCGTTAGGAGTTTGGTTGGCTACCTATCTTTTGTACCACAGCAAGCAGTTTTCTCTTCATGGGTTAAACATAGGATAGAATTGGATAACTTGGAGAAAAAATACCTCAATACATCTGATTAAACTACAATTCGTGCTAATCCTGTCATACCAGTCTCCATGCCAATACGAAGCTCTTGTTGAGTTAGAAATAACGCATCATACACTTGAGGCCGGACAAGTAGAACTCAAAAAGGTAATAATACCTAAGCTGTTTCCGCTAGCCGCTCAAGGACATGAGGTATTACGTATTGTATGCCGGTCCATGGCAATCCAGTTCTTTAATATATCTTTAATATATATTGAGGCGCTTTATTGTGTACAAGATCGTTAGGGGTACATGTATATAACCATTATACCTCAAGATGTATGGATACATCTGATGTCCGCCATCTTCAAAATGTCTAATTAATAAACCACAGTGACAGTCCTATTAATTAGGTAAGTTGTGATCCCGGAGTTCCCCTATCACCGGGCCGAGGACGTTACTATCGATCACAAACGAATTGTCACTTTCGTAGAGACAAATCGTTCGTCAAAGTGCCACACATACAGGTGGAGCTATCCGTAATGCATCTTCGATGCTAGACACTGATATATCAACAGCTCGGCGATCAATACCGACTGAAGCCTCCGTATTACTACCCAAAGTTGCACAGATCTCATCATCGGTCATTCTTTGGGCAGATGCTTCTAAGAAGGTCGATCAGAAGACGAAGAATAAACTTATGTCGAGATAAAGAATCATCTAGTGTTAGATAGATACCCTTGATTGGTGTTATACATAGAGTGGATGTCAAGATAGTCGAATTAAACTATTAACACCTGTTCTTCTATCTTCTTTCGAGGGCACTGCGCGCCTCTTATAAGTCCAATCCCAATAGACCTACCCCTGAGTCCACCCTTAAGCCATTTATTCCCTAGCATCTACCAAAACTAAAGAGCACAACTTAACACTTAGCTTCAAGAGAGGGTTCATAATAATACGACAGGCAGATGATATTGTTTTCATATAGGAATTTCTACGTCAACTAGCCGTTTCTAAAATTATTAAGGATAAAACTACTTTAAATGTGATCTAAGTACTATTTTAGATTTAAAAGGTGTATTGCCATATGTACAACACGAGTAACGTAAAACACAATCTAGCCATCTCACCTAACCTGAGTACATATCGCCATAATAAAACTTAAAGGGAAATATCGTATACCTGCCTACTCGTTGGTATCTCCTCTTCAAATTTAAGTAAGGTACCTAGGTATTTAAAGTCTAAAGTTGCTAATATTACTAGGTACCTAACCTAGGTATTAACTGTTAAATCTTTTTTGAAAAAAATCTTTAAACCATATGATTAATGGTTCATGACAGATGGTAGTTTTCCTAACACTTGGGTATACAGGCACGTTTATTCTCATGATTTATAATTAATAAAGAAACTTTATAGTAAATTCAAGCTTTTTGTTCAAGACTTTTAATATGTTTATTGTTGTTGTTGTTATTGTCATTGTAAGCTTCCATAACACACTATTTGCTTGCACTTTTCTCATAGCTTTTGATGTATAACATGCTCGTTTGAACAGCTAGTTAGAGGAAATTATATAAATTAAGTACCTAGATCCCATGAGGAACTTTTACGTTCTCTCCAAGCTATCACATCACATTCAACATTACCTTGATCAATACTCACCAATACTTACTCTTCAGCAAAAACATTTTATATTTGTAGATATTCTATACTTCAAACGCTACATCCATTTCGGAAATGTCTGTTACTACTCAACCTAGCCAGCCGCCTTGCCAAGGCAAGCTTACTGGTACTACTATCCCTAACAGCCTGCGTCCAGGTTGGATTTGCTGCAAAGACAACTATAAGAACGGCCTTCATGTAAGGGCATGTGAACAATGTTGCCACCGAAAATGTGCCGATTGTGTCATGGATAGTGTTGAATAAGGAAGCCGTAAGAGTAAGAACGTAAAGCAACAACTAGGTAGTTAGTAGATAAATGTTTATAAACCCCTTTGAACTTATACTTTGGTTTACAATTAACTGCCTAAGCTATGTTTGTGTTACTATGTTTATCAACTAAAGTTTATTTAAGTACCTAAACTTCCTATTAAGTGAGTAGCTGTGATGTTATTGGCTAGAAAGTTTACTAGGAAGTACGGAAGTCGCCTTCAAGAGTTATGTCCATACCAAGCGCCTGTCAGCTTTGGCCACAGTTGTTGGGCAGCTTACCTCACCTGGCACTCCAAGCTCATGAAGTATACTAAAATATACCCTCTGCTATATAGGTACCAGGTATGTAACTACACAACCAATATATATATAAAACGCCCTTTTTAAGGGCTTAATAAATTTAAAGGCTTAAATCCATTACGGTCAAGATTCAAGTAAAATAGATAGGTATTATATTTAAAATTTAATAAGCTAAGTAAAATACAACATATTTGGAAGTACATTTATTATTATGGCTAACAGTTGCTGCTAAGCCTTGCCAAGCTGACAGGGGTTGGCCTATGGGCAAAACTTTTGGAAGCGACTTCCGTACGCGTTACACGAATGATGGAACCCCACCTAGCCCCGCGATTGGGGTTCACCTAGAAGCTTCTACTGCACGAAAAGCTTCACCTTCCAGTTGCTTCGGGCTGGAATACGTGCAGGTGCGCTGCATTCCAATTGCTTCCTATAGCTGCAAACAGTTCCACACCTGCAATATTACTTTAAACTTTCACTTTCAAGGCAATCACGTTCTCTCCAGTCTTCACCCAGCTCTTCATAAATTCTCATACCGTCTCAATATTTCAGTATTTGCTATCACATTCCCTTCCCCCCACTACAACCTTACAACCTTACAACCTTACAACCTCACCACCGTCAACGACACAGATCCAATCCTACCACCTAGTGTACCTTAGGCATATAGCAGCCTGATCCGATTACACAAACCCACAACTACAAATATGGCGACCTCGGAACAACCTAAGAAGCGTAGCTACGTCTTCTTCGACATCACCATTGGCACCAAACCCGCCGGTCGCATCACCTTCGAGCTATACGATGATGTTGTGCCCAAAACCGCCGACAACTTCCGCGCGCTATGCACAGGTGAGAAAGGGCTCGGAAAGTCAGGCAAACCCCTTCACTACAAGGGTAGCATGTTCCACCGTGTCATCAAGCAATTCATGATCCAGGGTGGTGACTTTACTGCTGGCGACGGAACCGGCGGCGAGAGCATCTACGGCGAGAAGTTTGAGGACGAGAACTTTGAGCTCAAGCACGAGCGTCCCTTCCTACTTAGCATGGCTAATGCTGGACCTGGTAAGCTACATTATAATCTCTTAAATATGCACGTTACTTGAGGATACTCTAGACTTACAATTGCTCTTACTTATAGGCACCAACGGCTCTCAATTCTTTGTTACGACCGTCCCCACGCCGCACCTCGACGGGAAGCACGTTGTTTTCGGTGAAGTCAAGTCAGGAAAGTCTATAGTTAGGCAGATCGAGAACCTGCGTACCAATAACGACAAACCTGCGGAGGACGTTATCATCACGGACTGTGGCGAGCTCTCCGGCGCCGCCGCACAGGTATCCGACGTTAAGGCCCCGGATGCCTACGGCGATCAGTACGAGGACTTTCCCGAAGACGAGGCTGACCAGCCACTTTCTGCGTCGCGTGTGCTCCAAGTAGCTAGCGACTGCAAAGACTTCGGCAACAAGGCTTTTAAGGCCGGCGATGTGCTCGGCGGCCTCGAGAAGTACCAGAAGGGTCTGCGATACCTAAATGAGGAGCCCGAGGTTAAAGACGACGAGAAGGATCTGCGCCAGAAGCTCGACGCTCTGCGCTTTACGCTCAACTGCAACTCTGCGCTGCTTAACCTTAAGCTCGAGGCATGGGATGACGCCCAGCGCACCGCTGCGGCTGCCCTCGCCGTCTCCGGTGTCTCCGGTGTCTCCGACGTAGAGCGTGCCAAGGCGCTGTACCGCCAAGGTCTCGCCCTCGTCAAGTTAAGAGATGAGGATTCAGCCCTCGCAGCTTTAGAGCAGGCCAAGAAACTGGTTCCTAACGATGCTGCCATCACCAAGGAACTCCAGGCGGTTAAGAAGCAGGCTGCAGCTCGCCTGGCCAAGGAGAAGGCTACGTACAAGAAATTCTTCTCGTGATCCCGCTAGCTGCTCTTTAAAATGGCGAGGGGCAATGAAGAAAATCGTTCACGGAGATTAGGATAGAGTAGGCGCCGAAAAAAACAATGAATATGATGAAAGGAGAGGGTAATAACTTCGTACGAGAGAAGACCTGGTTGATGCGCTTTGACAATTAAGTTCTCGATAATGGTTCCTAACCTAACGTATGATAAGGGGTTAGGAGTGAGCAAAGGGGGAAAAAGCCAAAAACTATTTAATTACCTCAAGGTATAAAGGAGAAGGGGGGTTTGGTCGGGTGTCAGGCTGGACATCGATCTTTTCCAACCCTTCGGAGTCTGCATGTTTATAGATAAAGGAAGACGGCTGTTAGTCACCACCTATCTCATGTATTTGGCGAGAGCAAACGCATACCTAGCACACATACATAAGGCAAGGTTAGATTCTAGGGAGCGTAGGGTATTTCTGAACTGGGAACCTGAATGAATGATAGAATCCATGAAATTACATTTCAAACATCACAATTCGAACTACATGTTTGAGAACCCAACGTGTTGAATATCTCTCCAGGTACCTAAGTTTGGAGTAATCTTTGATATATTGTATGTATGTGTATATCCATGTCCTAGCCGGCGAGCTAGACACCGTAGATTTTATAAAAAGTATAAATTACCCCCTCTCTCCTTTTTCTAGGTCTCGTCTTCTCATCCCGTGTCGTCTGTCTGCTTTGCAACAATCATCTTCCCACCCTGACATATCTGATGCAGTAGGTATGTACGGACACCGTATAATATGATATGGTATGATAAAATATTGTATGATATGGTATAATATGGTACGATGCGATATACGGACAATCCGAATGCTCTGCTTCTCTTATCGTGTAATGTAAAAGGAACACCTAAGTATAGGTACCTATGTAATGTAATATAAAAACAACAAAGTGAAGAGGGGTCTAAAACCAACCCCCCGATCAAGAATAGGCCTCTCCTAAAAGTCTTTTTTTCTTCTACCAAGCCTCCCAAGCCCGCTTGAAAATGCAGAAACAGAACTCTTTTCCTGAGGAGCGAGGGAATAAAACGTTCAAGCCCGGACAAATCCACGCTAGGTAATTTTCTTCGTGACGGAGCTACACCTTTGGAGCCCCTGCAATCTATTTTTCTAGTAAAAAAAAATCACCCATGAAGCAGCGCAGCAATACTTCTCGACTGGCTTGCTTTATCTTAATCACAAGACGCTGGCAGGTCCCTTCGCTCCTGGAGGGGATGGCCGTTTCGTTAATCGGGTTCGAGAACGTTGCAGCCCCTCCTGCATTCGGTCCCACGATTTAGCATATGGGTATCGGTTTGCGGAGTTAAAGCATAACTAGTGCCTTGAGCTCACGTCGCTCTGCCAAGATTCTGAGAAGGTGCTGAGGATACCCTTACTACTTCTCTCCTCCTTATCTCTACTCTTCTCCTGTGCTGTCGATGAACCGGCCAGCTCCTTTTCCCTTTCCCTCTCCTTCCTCTTTTCTTTATCCCTCTTACCGCTTATTAAGCTGTGTAGAAAGCTGCGAGGATTTTTCCCATGCTTCGCCCGTATGGTGTTTGAAGTCGACATCTCTATATTATCAGACACGTGACGAAGGACTCTGCTTTCTCTTCCAAAGCTCCGGAAGCCCGAACGGTCACTACCATCCGGCTCGCTTCCAGACGAACCTGGGGGGTGGTACGAGTCATTGTCGTACCATGGTGTTGAATTTCCGTATGCTACGTTGACTGCCTCTAAAAGAGTCGTCTTTTCTAAAGTCTCGGTTAGTTCATCCGTATCTACCGATTCGTTCTCAGACGCGCGAAGTGCTTCGACTCTAGCGAGGCACTCATCAGAACGTCTTTGAAGGTCCAAACATATTATGTGGAATTCTGCTAGTTCGGCATCGAAATCCGCAGGATCTGTAAATGTAGATTTGTGACTAGACTCGAGCCAGAGTTTGACCAAAGCTGCAAAATTCCTAGGATGGTCGATGAGGTACGGTAGAGAAGGGAAGCCCTCTCGAGATGTCGGAGATAGGCGACCGAGGATTGTGACAGGAGTAGAATACGAGGCAGGGACGGTGAAGATACTACGCTCAGTTGGTATCGAACACGTTTGGTCAATATAATCTTTGAAAGGTTGCCTATGAATACCTAAGAATCTGTTCATAGGCTCCATCCAGCTTTCTTTCTTGCCGAACGTGGACAAGTTCGCCAGAGCTTGAAGTCCTTTCGCTATAAGCGTTAGTGTTCGTTGGGCCCGACTTCGTGGATTGTCTCGTAAGAGCCCGAAGAGCTTGGGATTTAGGATTGCTGGACAAATAAACCGAAGAAACAAGAATCCTGATACACTTGTGTAGGTAACAGTGCGAAGAAAGTCGCCGTACCGATCTTCCGCGACAGCTCGGACATACTTGAGGATTTGCCGGAGCTCAAACGGCAGTTTTGTTGCGGAATCAGCGATACACCCCCACACCTCGGTCGTCAGTTGTACCAACAAACCCCAGTGTTGTTGCATCTCATCGTTATGATGGATTCTGCTCGGGTCTACCTCGCAATCCGGATTTAGCTCATTGATCTCAAAAATCTTGTCCGCCAGGATATCCTCCAAGAATTCCTTTCCTAGCCGGCGCATATGGAACTCTAAAGCTTGAGTGAGCAGAGAGTTGCCCCGAAAGAGGAGATTGGCCTCTCCAGCTAAGGTTTTCATATCGCGGACAAGCAGGTCCCTGTCGCCCGCAGAATTTGAAGAATCGGTTGACTTGAGTCGTCGGCTGAAGCGTAACCTCTTCATATTGTTCTGGCTTCCAATTCCGTCTATCTCTTCTTCAACGAGAGCCATGAGCCATTCACTGGTACTTCCAGATACCTGGTAAATATTCAAGAGCAGTTCTGCGAGCCGACGCATGGAGGACGGTATAGCTAGGGCGATTTGGCTTGTCAGCCCAACGCTGAACTTGTGGAGAAGTTCAGATAACGGCTCATAATCTTTCGTTCCAAGAACAACCAGTTCATCATGATTAACTTTGACAAACATGCTCCCAATAGACTCCTGCTTCTCATCATAAATTTGAAACCATTGCTCATGATCCTTTGCACGTTCCAACTTTTCCAAGGGTATATCCACCGCTCCACATATAACTTCCGTCATATTGCCAGTCTTAGGAATACCTAAAGACGCTTGTAGCTGATGACTCAAACTTTCCAAATTTCCATCAAGTCGTTTTAGAATAATAGATAAATACGGTAATGTCGTAGGTAATTCGGTAAACTGGGCAAACTCCCGCCAGAATGGGTTCTTCGTATCGGTCTGCGTTGTCGTGCGGGATCGAATTTCGCCATCTAATATTACTTCGGCAAGGTAATTCCCTGTTAAAGGATCTCGTTCTTTGGAATGGCGGTCGTAATGCTCTGGACCCGGAGTAGCTTTTCTTATTTTTGCCTCGGTAACTCTGATTTGAACGGTTTTCTCCAGGCGAAACAGCTGTCCTTGAAATTCTTTCTCGAAGTCTCGTATTTCAACCACCTGATCTGTAGACGTTTCAAGACCGTATAGATCAGGCACAGCAAACGCTCGTAAGAGTACAAACCAGACCTCAAAGAGAACCCTAGAATCTAGAGCGAGATATACAGGTCGGAATATCGAAAGCTGCTTGGAAGTAGATGAGTAGATCGGGAAGATTGCTATGCAATATTCTTCGTCTAAGACAGACCTATCCAATTGCTGTATAGCACAACGGGAGAGCTGTGGCAGCTCGATGATAGAAAGTACTGCCACGTCATTCTCTGTCATCAATTTGAATTCGCCATTATCTTGTAGGATGCAAGACACTCTCCTCCACGACGTCGAACCCGAACGGAGATCTCGGGTAGATGGTCGTTTCACGATTGCACGCGGTGACGTTGCGGTGCCTTTGTCCCACAGCATCACCTTACCGACCTTGATGATAGCCGCATCTTTCGAGGACGAGCCACCTACGGCTACAGATCCTCGCCTCTTCATATCCGGTCGAACGGACCCGGGTGAACTAGCGCTTCTGCCGTTGGCGAATCTTACTGTAGTGGGGCGAAGCTGCTGCCAACATAGTAGACTAGCGAGCCACAAGTCGAATTCCGCAGGTGGGAGAGGCCGTAAGAAAAGCTCGACACCCATCTTATTGTTTAAAATTTCTAGGCTCTTTCCTTTGTCATCTAGACCGTCAACGGGCACAACCCTGCACCCTCGAAGGTCAGTAACTAAGGGAATAGGAAACTGTCCGTTCTGGCCCGAATCAAAATATAAGCTGCCTCTATCTTCATCAACCCAAGCCGTTCCACCGTACCAGGGGCCGTTTGTCTCGGCCTGATACTCGATTTCACCTCTCATGCGACCGGCCAAAGTTTTCATGAGCAAGAGAATTTTGTTCGCATCGTTCGTAGGGATCGGGAGTGACAGTGAATCAACGGAGGGTGGCGGTGATACTGGAGGAGAAGTAGGACGAGAAGAGCCGCGTTTTATTAGGCGCCGGTTAGAAGGCTTTTTGTCCTTGCTTGATAATGAGGTGATTTTTAAATCCGGGGGCCTAGTCGGCGCGACTGATGGATAGCCAACAGACTCAAGCACAGTCGGCGGGGGACGAACTTCGATATCTATAACTGCTTGAGAGCCCGATGACGAGAAAGATCCTGGTCGATGCCTGCTATCGGTTGTGGAAGGAGATGTGGTTTCTTGTCGCAGTGCTACCGCTCCATCCATAGTATGCGTGCGTGGTCTGAGAGCTGCCTTTTGATTCTGCGACGGCAGACTAGAGGAGGTATTATCCAAAGAATCGTCATATGCTTCGTTAAACACAACACCCCGTCTCCTCCTTTCTCCGCCGGGTATAGATCTAGGCGAAGCGCTACCAGATTCCTGGGTCGCCTGTACAATGCTGCTCGTGTCCGTAGCCCCGCCATTCTCACATAGCTCAGGCGTAGCCGCCCGAATACTATTGCCCTGCATGTTGGCATTGAATTCTAAACCCGGACGCACATTACTACTAGGAGCCCATTCCGCACTTGGTGGTAACGTATCTCCCACGGTAGCTAACGCCCAGTCTGCAAGGTTGTCGATATGGTGGCCGCCTTGAGTATCTCCTCCTGTCTCCAGCGGCGGAGAGATACCGCGATGGTGTTGTTTTGAAGGCATAAAGATTGAGAAATTGCAGCATTGAGCGCCGGACAGGTGAGGCGCAGGTGGAAAGGATTAATATCGCGTCTTGCAGTTACGTGCAGTTACGTGTATGATTGTCACAGCCATCCACCTCTTTCAACAGCAGAATGACGCGAGCCTGGTTTGCATAGAAATGTCGTCTGTCATAAATCGGTAACGGATGGTATTTCGTTCACAAGCTGCCATCGGGGGATGGACATTCTAGATGGGCAATGTGGTTTTCGAAAAACTATGTAGGTCGGCAGGTGGATCGGCGCATGGTAAGGCAAATTACGCAAATTCGAGTCGAGTATCTGTGACGTGGATTTTGCAACAAATTCGCTAGTTGAATGTTTCCTTGCAGATATTATCATAATATCGTGTGCCTATTTTTTTTTCAGACTTTCCGTCCAGTGGTACCTCTATACGGCACGTGGAGCGTTAACCATCAGGGATTGTAGCAACCGGTAAGCTTTCAGAATTTGCTACTTGAGGTGTGGGCGAGAAGTCGAGTGGTTCAAAGCTGACCGTCTGCCGGGCTCGGCTCGCATTAGAGAACGGTCAGGAGAGCACAGCAGAGTGTGCTATGTGCTGTTCTACTCGCTCGTTAGGTGGCCAGGGCCATGCAGGAAGAGTAGGTCGGCTTTGGGGTTCTATGGGTTCTATGGGTTCTGGAGCTTCTGGATTCGCACAGCGAAGGTCGGAGTATTATCTGCAGGACCACTGCTTGTTCTGAACCATTGGAGCGCGACGATTGGGTCCCCGGTCCAGGTTCAGGGTCGAGAGAGGGTCAAGACGGCAAGCTACCGGCCAGGTAATTTGGTGGGGAGAGAGGGTGCGACGACAAATAAGGAAGAGGTGCCGCCGTTAAAGAATAGCTCTAATTAAACCACGTAGAAATGATTGTCTCAGATGCAAACTGCGGGCGAAAGGCTCGTTAGGTGCGATGTGCGTTGTGCATCGATCACTTGCTGGTCCTCAGTAGGACGGAGATACATAGAAAAGAATAAATGGGGCTGAAGAGGATCCGATTTACATATTATTTGAGCAAAGAGAAGAGGTCATAGCAGATACTGAGATGGAAAAGTCAATTCCAGCTTCCATGCTCCGTGCTTCGCCTGATTTGGTGCTAGGGATGCCTGTAAGCTGTAAGATGGTAGGTACATAGGAAGGAAGCGGCTTCTACATAAGGTTACTGCCATTACCGCTACCTAGTAAACCTTAGGCAGCTAGAGACAGCTAGAGTACATACCTAAGGCACCTAACCTACCTAGGTACCTACCTAGCAGCTACATACCTTAATATGTAAAAGTTAATTGCACTTACCAGGACCCCAGTTGCGCCTAGTCGCCCTAGTTATCCCCCTGTCAAGACCAGTGACAACCGCTGCGACCGCTATATGTAATTGATCTTATTAGAGTTTGCCTGGTTAACTCCAACATCTACCACGCTATTTTAAAGTCAAGAGATTTCATCTTTACTCAATTGTGACTTGTTACTATCGATTAATAAGACAGGGACCATAACACCAAACATTACGCCAATGAAGAGGTAACACACTATGGAACTCGTACATGGGTAACGGGACATGTCTAACCGATCCCCGTTCGAACATTCATACCTAATCTGTAACCTAGTTGTCCTACCGATTATTTTCGGTGTTGATAGGGACAACCAAGGGGGGCCAGCCAGTCCTTGAATTATTAGTGTAGGTATATGCTATGTACATACCTACCTAGGTATTACCCAGGTATAGTTTATATGTACTATGTAAGGATGGACAGAAACACTCTATCATCCGAATTCCTCGTAACACCGAGTAATCTAATCAAGTTATTAGGTAGAAGCAAGACGATGGTGGGCACGGTGATGATAGCAATATTTCGGTATATGACCTATCTAGGTACTGTACTAGCATGGCCTGGCCGTTGCTAACAGGGCAACCGTAATAGGTAACACGGAGTTCCGGACTAAAATGTCCTGAAAATCGATTTGATAAACAGACGTCTGAAAATAGTAGGTGAAGCTCATCGTCCCGTTCGCTTACCTGCTTCGATTCTTCTTATTTTCTCATCTTCCTCCGGCATCTCAGTGTGGGGGTCGACGGCCCTGAACGAATAGTGTTCAAGGACATTCCAATATCGAACCTTCTTGTCCTAAATCTCGATTCTCGGTTGGGTTCCGAATGGACATGAATCCATGGGCGTGAATCCATCTCGCTTGGGGAGAACATCTTACCTCAGTGAGCAAGGTTTACCATAGTATTGGTTACAAACAATGCTACACAACATGCCGTCGATATAAGTTGACTACAAGTCGCCCAAGTTCAAATTTGAGAAGAAATGCAGGTTTCTCGTGGCTCATCTCGGCAAAGCCTATCACGGAGCCGAAGCCTCGCGTTTGGGGGGTGACTGAATGCCACCGAATTCTCTTCGCGTCCTGAGGCGTTTATAGCCTGCTCGTCTTGTGTTGCCCTATCCAGATTCCCGGATCTCCTACGTTGGTTCCATGAAACCCAAATGCACACACATGCATACAATTCCATATTAGGGCTTGTGATGTGCGTACGACGAATTCCCAATTGGCCCTGTCTAGATTACTTAGCCAAAATTTCAGGAACATTTACGTATAAGTGGGTTACATATCATGCATTCTCATGCATCCAATATACTCGATAATATAGTGTAAGTCGACATCCGACATTTAATCCTAGGGGAAGGATTCGCGGGTCGCGGGTCGCGGGAATTGGGAATTGACTTATTACCGAAATGGAAATTCCTCTGAATATTCTCGAACGATTGTGACGAACATAATCGGTGAAGTCTGGGCGGAAGGTTACAAATCGGTCAGGAAAATACGAAATCCACTTCAATAATTACCACCTGGACCCTACCAGAACAAAGTTAAAATGGCCCGTTCCGCAGTGATCACCCGAAGCCACATATTTCATATTTCTAATTACATACCTTAGGTATGTACATGTATGTGCGTATGTATATAATCAGATAATATGCACAAGCCTGTCCCAAGGATAATTGGGTATCTAATGTAACATGTGTTGCTATTGTTCCCCCCCGTGGCGTCTTTCGATTCCGCATATTCTCGAAAGAGACGAAAATCGAGCATCGCTCAAGTCTTACGAGCAATTCGAATTGCAGACATGTCCATCTATGTTTGGTATGTATGTACCTTCACTTCTGCCAAGTCAGCTAAACAGAGGTCCGTGTCTTGCATTTCTGGCGTCCTTCCCCGCTGTCCCATGTCTCTATGTATTCTTCGCTTAGCCCGACTCAGCCAAGCCAAGTGCCCACGCAGCTGCCGTCGAGTTCAAAGCAGCGGTAGCGATGAAGAACAACAACAGCAGAGATACGAAAATTGGGGCTGGGAGGATCAGAAGATCCGGGGACGACCCATTCTTGAAACGTTCGATTTGTCTTCTTCATATCCTTCTTCTACCTATTCTACCAGCAGGGAACAAAAGTCATGAAACAAGATTATGTTGGCCATGAGACGGGGCTACTCGGCTCCTGCAAATGATCCCCACACACGACTGTAGCGTACACTCAAGCACTCAAAGGACCGAGAGCCTTGCCGGCAGCTTACATACGACAGTCCCAGAACCAGGCCTTGGCAACATACACTAATATACACATGTATGTACATGTGTACAATAAGACCTGACAGGTGATTTGGACGGGATCCTATTCGATAACCAAACTAGGTAATATCTCGTACAAATGCGCCCTGCCCGTGACGTATTTTGACAGCTCAGCTCGCTGCGGTTCGCACACGTATCCCGCGAATCAGCCCTACCCAAAAGATGGAATCCTCGGGTAAAGAGATACTGTAAAGAGGCAGTCCCTCCGACCCAGCAGTATGGGAGGTGGGCACCCTCAGCTTCACTCCATATGATTACTATCAATGAGATAGGCATTACTAAAATGTGCCAAGAGCAACACGATAGGATAGATTTTCAGGGTCTCTTGCAGCTGTACGTTATATCCGCCCAATTATCCAGTTTCCCTAGTCTCGGCAATATACACACATGTGTGATTGGGTACCTAGTTCTATATATACCCTGGGGCTCGATGGCTGAGTTTCCGAGCTTCTGACCGACGAAAAATCATGCGGGGACGCCACAGCCTGTAAGGTCCTATGTAGGTAGGTATGTATGCACGTAGAGCCGGTACGACATGACAAAAAAATCATCTCGAGAATGTTAAAGCGGCGGTAGAGTTGGTTGATGGACAAGGGTTGGATAAAACAATCCGGAGCAGGTATTCTACTATGTACAACTTCGTCCCATCTCTTGCTGCTTTTGCGAAATACTCAATAGGGGGGAATATAACTCGGGATATCAAAGGCGAACCACCCCCTACTGCCAGCTCCCTCATTTACCCGGAATCAATGATCCATGACTACCTATTCACATCACCACCCCGCCCCCCTAAAAACCTAGCAAGCTCTGCTGGCGTAGTAACGAGAAATGACTTATCGAGGATGGTATCACCTTCTCTGATGCGGCTCGTAAGAAAATAAGATAGCGTCCTTGTCCTAAACCACATATCTGCCAACTCCAGTTGCCCAAACTCTACCTCCCCCTCTCTGTCGTCCCAAAAAGTATCAAACGGTATCCATGGTTGCAGCTCCAAAAAAAAAATCGAGGTATAAGTAAACGCGTCCAAAAATTGAAGTCTGCCGAGAAGAGGCGCGACTTTTTAAATATATCGAAGTCTCATAATTTGCTATCTTCCAATTAGGAGAGATATGTGTGCGTAGATGTGTTCCCTTGCTCGTTTAGCGAGAAAGGCCCTCGATCGGGCTGACGGGGAGACTCCGAGCAATGCTGAGGTCGGTGCTACCAGTACGTCTCAGGGCTTGCGACATGGTCTCTATGTTGAGATCTCCATTTACAGAAAGACTGTGCTCTGCAGAGGTAGGACTTCCAAGAGGTTTCCGGACAGGTGACATGCTTAGCCCCTTGATAGATCCTGAGATGCTGTTCGGTGGCGAGGTCTCCGGTCCCTGCGAAGAGACAGGTGATCTTATTGGGGAAGGAGAGCGATTGACTCCTCTCGATCCAATAGAAGTCAGGCCAGCAAGATGCATAGAATCTCGGCTGCTATTCGGAGGTATCTGCTCTGCCTGGACCACATCCGCAAATGAGATGAAACTCAGACGCCTCACATCAGCGGAGTCGAGTGATCCGTAGTTCGAAGCAGCCTCCTCCTTGTCGGAGAAAGCAGCAAGATCCTCAGCCCATGAACTAGACGCGGTTTCAAATTGGGAAGCACCAGTCACAGTCACGCTGGCAGGTTGGTGCGCGTTATGGGTCACGATCTCGACGGAGTCGGGGTTGAGGCGATCATCGGTAATAGCTTCGGAGGACGCGTCGAGGACAGGTGGGATGTAGTTTTCAGTCTGGATATGGGACGGGATGGCCGGCGAATTAGGTATAACGGTAGTACTTTCTTGAACGTCTCGCTCGAAGATTTGCGAGCCTGCAGGAGAACTTAATCGTGGAGACGACGAATATAATCCCCGGCTAGGCGAGGACGGTGTCATATTGGGACTACCAGCTGGAATTGGAGAGCTAGTCACCGAACGTTTCGTTGATGTATGAGGCACATCTTTTGCAGATGGCGAACTCGGCAGTCCCGAGGAGGATTGAGGGGAAGGTTTAGCACCAGGTTTAGAATCACCCTTCTTCTTCCCAAATCCAAACAAACTTCGCTTCTTCGACTTTGGATCGGTTTTGGTGGAATCACTCTCCATCTCCTTCTCGTTGTTGTCTGTGATAGTTGAAGTTGAATCACCTTTAGTGTTACGGTTCTTTTCTCTCAAATCTGGAGTTAAATCATTTTCCCTGTTGGGTTTTATAGAAACTGCTGGTGCAAGACTCATAGTGGATCGGTACCGCGATTTAGAATGGGGTGATTAACGGGTAACCCTCGATGAGTGATATTTAAATTCTGGAAAATGCCAAGACAACCGTTAGCACGAGACCAAAAAATGACGGAACCAAAGACGAAGCGTATATGCCAAATAGGAATCCCCGTCCTGTAGTAGAAATAGTGCAAATATTGTTGCTGCTGTTAATTCAAAGGAGGGAAACCTGGTGGTGTTTGGCAAAATTGATGGGGAGGCCTTATAACTCGAGTAGAGGAGAGAAGAGTTGGTAGTTGGTAATCCAAATCTGTTAATCCTCCCGTATAATAAATTATCGGGGTATTTTAATATAGATTTAAGTAGACTGCCACTTACCCTCCGTTAAGTGCACCTGCGAGTAAGTGGAAACTGATCGAGTTCGACCAGGCGGATTTCAGTTATTCTTTCTTACTTCTCACTAGTATGATAGGGAGAATGTCTTGCGTCTGCCTGCCCTATAGCTTGTTCCTGCTAGGTGTTGTTGGTACGACTGCAAGTATGCGGGTGCGGTTGCAGGTGTAGATATAAGTGGAAGGGTGAAAGTCTGATACAATACAGCACGATGCAAGAGGATGCAAGTGTGCAGCTTGGGGTGGGAAGCCTGGGAAGCCTTGGGAGAGACCCTGTTGACGATCGCTTCTTGTCCTAATACGTAACAAGACTAAACCAGAAACTAGAAACCAGAAACCAGGAAGACCAGGATGAAGGCAGGTGACAGGCAGCAACGATCAGCAATTTGCTTGTGGGGATTAATGACGCCGATGGATCGTGACTAGATGACGACGATAGAGAAGGGATAGGTTTTGTGTAAGTGCCCGGCGTGCCTTGGGTATATTAAGTAGGTATGTAAGTAGATAGGTAGGTATGCTGGTCAACTATTTAGGTACAGTCATCCAGGATCATGGGACGGGTCGCCGGTCATTAATTGAGCCCGAAGATATCAGCCTTGAGGCGGAGGGCCAGGGGATATGCGGAGAAGGAAAAGAAGTAGAAGAAAAATAAAGAAATAAGGTGCTAAAGGCGGGATGTTAATTAATAAGAGCTCGTTAATAATAGAGCTCGGCCTATGCAGGTTTTTTATTTTTACTCGTCACGATCAAGGTTCACAGATGGAAGCGATCAAATTGTTATGCTTACTTTTTTTTCTTTCTTTTCTTTCTTTTTTTTTCTTCTCACAAGCTTTGCGCTGATATGCTAGGAGCCCGCTTAGCGTTCCCAAAAAGTTCAAGAATGCGCGCGTTTGTGTTGGTATGTATGTGTTGGTATGTAGGTACTGTCAGACTTAAGATCAATATTTACAGCTAATAGATAAGAGAGATGACAAGAAGAAATTTCTTGCTTCGACGCCGGAAACTTGGGTGTGATACGGTATCACGTAACCGTATTTGATTTCAGAAACACGAGGGGATATTGGGAATATTGGAGATGGCTAGCTAGTCTTGGGCATTCTGCTCATCAGGTCCTAAAAAGGGGGCCCGCAACAGGCGACGTCACTCGTGGTGACAGAATCCAATGATCGTCAAGGACACGAACAAGGCCAGGATGAGGGAATGCCCCCCATCAGAAGCACGGCTTTCGATCGTTTTTCCCAAGCCTGATTTCCCAACCTTGCTAAAGTTCTTACCTACTCCAAGTAGTTACAATATGTTGTTATTTATGTAACGATCATGATGGTCATGGCCGATTGTGAACCCCTCACGACGAAACTGGTGATGAACCAGGACAAGTCTCGAGGGAGGGGCATCAAAGGCCATCTATTGGACCCTTTACATTCCCGCAGCTTGTCGCATTAACATCAATGCAATCCCACGAGCTGAAAATAGGCGAGAGGGCCAGTTGAGACGACCATGGCCCAACAACCACAATGCTGACACAGCCTGCCTACGACTTGCAGCACGCCACTGGCGACCAATTCGCTATGTAAACCTGGAAAAATTTGTAGAACATACCACCACGTCCGTCGTCCTGAGCCCAGATCGGGAAATATCATCTATGTGTCTTAGGTGGTTTAGAATATGTAGTACCATCGACGCCATGTCTTGTAACGCTCAAGCAGCCGAGCAGGGCAAAACTCCCCTCCCTTAGAGATTGATACGCAATGATAGTTATTTTCGTCGCAATCTTAGTCCAATCTTAGTCTTTGCCTCTTGTCTCTCTTGTAGGTCGTGGGGGCAAGGGCATTACCGTTAAGGGTACCAGTCAAACATGTAGGCTGAATCGATTGGGCGAACCTAGAGATACCAAGGCCTGGGCCGTCTGGCACATGAAACCCCTCGAGCTCGACCTAACGTAGGTACGTCACTTATCATGAGGGGTTGCTGTGTTGATTGGCCCAAAGGGGTGGGTTTAGGTAATGTTTAATTGATTAGGTAACTAGGTTAGAGGGTTGAATCGTCCGAGTTCAAAGAGAAACCTGTCCGCGTGAAGGTCGGATAAGTGCATAAATATTTACGTACCTGAATACATATACTTGACTCAACACACGGACCACCAGATTACCTTAGGTAATAATACCACACCTCTAGCAAAAGGTCACATGACCTAGGTACTCGCTCTATCCCACTCGGCCCGCGGGATCCTCCGACAAAATTTCACCTGCACTTGGCCTATGGAAGTAATCGACTAAATTCATAGAAGCATTCGAGGGCCACTCCCGGAGGAGAGGGAACGAGACAGCATTCTCCCAATTAAGCAGTCTTCCCTCTCTCAGGCGCGACATCCTTCTTTATCCTGACCCAAAGTCTCCAACACATCCCACAAGCCAGAATGGAGGCCCGACCCCTCGTGCAGCCTCTGCTGCGCTCCATCAGCAGCACATGTACCTCCACGAGTACAAGAGCAGCAGTAGTAACAATCGCCTCTATACCACGACGGCACCAATCCTCGACATCCCGCACAAAGCGCGCCTTGAAGATCGCCCCTCACCCCTCCTTCTTCCCCTCCTCGGGCGAATCCACGCAGGTCATCTACAACCCGCCGTCCTCCATGCCCTCCGTCTACCACACGCCCTTCAAATTCCTGCCTCCGAGCGACCCCCGGCGGAAAGCCAATCTCGCCCAGCTCTTCCGGTCCTCCGCCGACGCCTCCTCTTCGAAGTCGGCCCTCCCCCCCGAGCTCAAGGACCACGAGCGCAAGTACAACGTGACGCGGGAGCAAGTGGACGAGATGCGCGAGCTGCGGGCCACGGACCCCGAGCGTTGGAGCGTGCTGAAGCTGGCAGAACGCTATGGCTGCGCCCCGTATTTCGTCATGATGTGCTGCCGCGCACCGGACGAGCATCGCGAGCGGGAACGCGCGATCCTGGGCGCTGTTAAGGAACGGTGGGGTCCCATTCGCACGGCTGCTCGCCAGGAGCGGAAGAAGCGCAGGGACTTGCTGCATAAGGATCTATTATAGGCGTGCTAAGCTACCTATCTATGCGTCTACCTATTCGCCTATGCATATCCCTCCCTAGTACCTAGCTGCCTCGATCTGCCATAATACAAGAGGGTTGGCGGGGTACCTTGGCTTTCTATCCCCTGTGAGAAGTGGAACGGAACGGGAATGGTAGTCAATTCTTACCTGCTAAGATGAGATAGAGGCCAGGATCTGGTTAGGAAATCTGCTATATACCATCGGTCCCAAGTGAGGTGACTTGTATCTATACGTATGTATATAGTAAGAGGGGATTGGGGACGAGGCGGACGACTAACGAGTGAAACCGGATGGATACAAAGATCAGATCACAGCCCTAGGCCAGGAAGCAGACCTACATGTATCACCAGACCTTAAAAACAATAAAGTTATACATCGCCAACGAGCCAGTATAGGATATGTCATCATCAACATTGAACTGACGCATCTCAGACACCCAATAAGAACCAATACCTTATATCCGAGAGCTATTTTCTTTCTTGAGCGCATAAATCATATTTATACCTCCACTTACCGTAATATGATATGATATTTAATATGATATTTATATAAGATGTGTCTTATACCATATTTAGAGCATTCATCAATAAGCTTCAATTATTCCGTTCATATGCCTCTATTCGCTATCTACGCCTGAGGACCCCCTTTTATATTTCCGATCTACTTAGCTCGTTTAACCCTAGAATCTGCAAGATGTAGTATGACTAGGTATATCGGTAACTTACCACCGTATTTACGAAATACCTAGCGTTGACCGAAGAGCCCTATTGCTTCCCGTTTGCACTGGCGTTTGTGCTATGAGCCTTTGCAATCTCCCAGTCCTTCTTTCCTGGAATTACTCTCCAGCACCAGCCGCACCAACTACGGCTGCGTCCTGAAACCTCTCGGCCTAGGATTTCACCCTTATTCTTTTCATCTTCCCACTCGGGAACGCAGGCGCCAACGCGCACGATCCGCACGAGTTTCGTCTTGACTACGCCGCCGATGCCCTCAATTTCGTGACGGGCGTATCCGGGCCTTAGCTGCGGGCTCGGTGTCCGGCGTTCCGACGGCGGCGAGCCCGAGATAGAAGATGCCGGCGACGGCGTAGTCCAGGGCGACAGGGTGCCGTTATTCTCATCCTGCTCCCGGGCATCCGCAGCGTCACAGTCGGTTTCCTGTTCCCGCTCCTTGGAACCACAACACGCCGCCTCTCGGCCGCAAATCACCCCCCGGTCACCTTCGCCGATACCGGTGCCGAGACCCCCGAGCACCTCGCCGTATTGGTTACGCCATTTCCAGATGCTACATCCGGTTAGCTTAGACGAATAAACGAAAAAAGGGTGGTGATCATCTGGTGGTGATCAGATGATCAGGAGACGCGTACGCCTTATAGTCGTGGTCTGCTCCGCGAATACTCCTCCCGCAAGGTTGGCAGAGCCAAACTCCTTTTGTAACACAAGTGCAGATTGCCTGCTGCATTTCTTCCGCGTCTACGAGAGTGTCTGGTGATAGCGACGGTTTGACAAGGCTTCCGAGAGGAGCCTTGCTGCATGGGAAGCATAGTCGGCGATGCCTGTCGCGAAGCACAACGGGAGCCGGTGGCTTGATAGCGCAGTTCTACCACGTATCTCGTTAGATGCACAGCTAGAATGATTCATCGAGCAGGAAAATGCTTACCCGGCATACAGCCGTTGCGCATCGCCTGCATTCGGCTACCATATCCCTCGCGCAATTCCCGCTTTTGCCATTATAGTCCCCGGTCCGACCGTCTTCCATATAATACCAATTCCCAGCTCGGGCACGGTAACGGAAGGTGTCTTCGGGGTCGACGGGTACATCCTCGTTGACGCAATGGAGGGTATGCGCAAGAAGGGTGCTTCGATACTGCAGAAGGGCCTGGTGGACCTGACGACAGGTACGAGACAGGTTGTCGAGCGTGTTCAGGTCGATAGACGACGCAATCGCCATAACGATACTGGTGGTCGAGTCAGCCTTTTCTCCCCCGGCCTCACACGAGGAGTATGACAGCCAAGGGGAGGTTCTGCTAATAGAAATGCCATAAGTGAGGTTGCGTCTGCCTACGGATAACATCCGAGAGCCTCCGCCATCCCATTATGCTCGTTGAGGTTCTCTGGCTCTCGATCTATCGTAGTTTCTTGGCTCTCTCCTCCGTGTAGCCCGTTCAGCCCATTTGGTAGCTGCTGCTGCTTGACGCGATCGCTATTCCACTCGGGCTTTAAGCCGTAATGTTGTGTCTGCGGCGGCTCGGCCTCCTCGTCGAGGTCTACGAAAAGTGCCATCTTTGGTGGTGCTGAGGGAAGGCCAGCGTGGCGGGTAGGGGGGGGAGGGATAAGAAAATAAGACGGGAGGTCAGGGACCCGGGTTGAATGTTAGAGTAAAGAAGAATGACGAATAAGAAAAAAAATCGGAGACTTTGAAGTTAAATATATAAAAATGTTCCCGGAAGGTCTCGACGACATGGAAACAACTCCCGAGTCGGTAAACCCCAACCGTTGCGATTCGTGTTTGGATCAAGTATATGCAATGTATGTAGGATGTAATGGATTCCGTAGTTGACCTATCGTACCTACCTGGTATGGTACGAATATAGACATGTACGAATACTTACATGTACATCGTACATATGTACATAAGGATTGATTCATCTATACCGCAACTGCCATATCACAATCCACGATAAATAAATAAAAGTACCTACTGCCAGTCTGCTAGTCTGCCAGTTTACATCTGGAGGTACCTAATGCACCTAATGCACCTAATACATAGCGTCCCCATCTTTACATACTCGAGTAAATATTACGTGTGCGAATGTACCTTCTTCGTATTGTCTTTATCAGATCCGTCACCGCGCACCTGTACGCATACTTGCACGTCTTTAGCAGGTTTAACAGAGTTGCCAGCTTGCCTATAGTAGGCAGGTGGGGTCGGAATTGGGACAAGTAATTCGCTACCTCGCTACGGCTCCGCGCATTGATCAGCGCTACGAGACACTAGCATCGCAACGGGGGGAGGCTATGATCCGCCCTTTACCTAACAAGCCTAACTGTATTGCAGCACGCCATCTAGGAATTCAGCGCAGTCATCAGGGGCAGAACCTGTCATTCCTTGCCCTTTAGGTTTAGATCGCTCCTTAAGTCGCGTTTAAAGACCCTCTACTTCATGTTATACGTTCACGTGTCCTGCAGCTATCGTGAGACCTCAACGGCGTACATATTCTAGTTTTTCACCGATGTTAATATTTGTAGTATATACTGCTAGGTACATATATCATGTTGCACACCGCTCACGAATACAAAGATAGAACGGACGAATAGCTACCGCTTATCCTAAACGTGTCGGATCTTCCGTTACGTTCCCCCCCTTTTTTTATAGGAGCTCACACTTACACCGACATCAATCCCCCCCTAATTCCAGTCACCGATTTTCCATCTATTATTCATATGAATGGGCAAAATGCCATCAAAAAACATGAACTATACTACGGTAGTTAGGTAGTATTGGATATATATTTTGACGCTATTCTAATAAAACAGTAGTCAGACAGCGATGATATATTTTAGAGAAAGGTACATATCATGCAGTGCACATAAGTTCCATGTTTCTGTTTTCAATGCCAAGTCGGTCTCAGCTCTCCATGAATGTTATTAGTAATAATTATGGGCGCCGCCCTTGTTCGCGTGGAGGCGCGTGACGATAGAATCTAGGGGAGGTTTTACCTAAGGTTACCACCAAGAAGGGAATGTAAATCAAGTCCGTCCATCTCAATGCTCCTCAAACTACCGATGATATCCATTTCCCTCCACTCTATCCAGTAAGTTAGGAACTGCCTATACCTACTTATTACCTTGTATATATACCATACGCTCATTTCCACATTATCAACCCTCCATATACAATTCACCATGAAAATACCATAAGTGCTGGGTTCAGCACGACGGGGAGCAAAAAATGGCAGCCGACGGTCCAAGCGAGCGGCCAGATAGACGCTAAATGCACGATTCTCCACTGGCCAGGAAACACGAAGTAGCCGCATATGATAAGTGCGGTCATGAGGATGCACCAGATGAAGGTGCCCTTAAAACGCCGAAGTAATCGCGGTATCTCCTCGAGAAAATTGACGTCTTCGACTTCTTTGGCTGTTGCGCCCCAGACCATGTCGACACTAAAGAAATGGCATAGCAGCGCCTGCGAGACGTGTAGAGATAAGCCACCCAAGAAGATAGTCATCAGCGGGATCCATTTGATATTGTTCCAGACTAAACATGTATGTTAAAAATCAGCCTCTCGTCTTTAGATAATCATGCGTGTAGTATAAAACTCACAGGCCCCCAGAAGCGACATCTCGTTCAGGCGATACCTCAAGATGCCCAGCGAGAAGTTTCCAAGCCCCGTAAAGACTACAATGACCGAGATGTAGATGGCAAAAGAGTCTATATAGAACTTGTCGTAAAACCCAAAGAACCATCCTGACAGAAGATAGTTCATGAGGGTTAGTATCCAACAGGCTCCAATGGCGTAGTACGTGCCGATGTAGGCGCAAATGGTCATCTTCTTAGGCAAGTGTATACCGGAGCATATAAATTTTCGAAATAGAGGCGTGACGGGGCCTAGCGTGAACCAAAACTTTAAGGGGTGAAATAGCAATTCATTGCAGCCGTATGCGTATTTCTCCCATCGTGCTAATTCGTCATATACCGTTAGGGAGACACCCTCCTGAAAGCCATCTCCGGTATAAGACGCGAACCTGAGCTCATATCCGGCACATTGGAGCTTAAGGGACATTTCAAAATCTTCCGACACATGAGTCTCAGACCAGTACTTTTCATAGCCGTCTTCGTCTTGGTACGCGGTGGCGTCCTGGATAGCAGACCATCGTAGAATGGCATTGTGGCCTACAAAGGGGCAAGCGTCACCATTTGCCACCACAAAAGTGATAGCTGAATAGATGAGGTTCGTGAACCATTTGACCCTATAGCAGTGTTAGTGCGTATATATATATATATATATATGTGTGTGTGTGTGTGTGTGTGTGTGTGTGTATAAAAGACGAACTTACCCTCCCTCGAAAAAAGACGGCGATACTTGCATAACTCCAGACGTGAATTGAAGTATTGCTACCTGAGGAGACTGCTCCATTTCGCTAACCGCATCTAACAAGCAGTCCGCTGGCACACGGGTATCTGAGTCGACTATTAGGATGTAGTCGCCCATGCGGACATTGCCCTCGGCCCAAGTGCGGCCCTGATCTTCCCGTAAGACTTCAGAGAGGCAATGGTTATACACAGCCCGTTCATCAGTCTCGGTCCAATCCGGAGATCTGGGTATTTGAACTAGCTTATCTTCCACGCGATTACTTACCATCAAAGCGTAGTTCATATTTGATGCCTTTTTGAATTTTCCCCGCCTAAGAAAGGGCTGGCTACCATCGTCTGGCTTCGGATTGTGCTTTGGTCGAGCGACCCAGCCGATATTGTTCTCCTCATAGAACTCCTGCCGAGCACAGGCATCC